GAAAATATATATACATAGAAACTTTTTCCGTTTTGTGAAAACGACAATAGAAATGCACCATAAAAACTGTAGTACCACCGATGGTGTGCTGTCACGTTGGTCGGAGCAACAAAAAGTTCAAAGTTCGATTTTGTCGTTTGACGAATAAACATTGAATATCCAACGTCAGTCATTTGCGTTGAATTACTTGAAATTCTCAACGCGCGGGTAATATTCCGATGATCGCACAACACGCAATAGCCGGACATTTCTCATTTTTTATTTTACATGAATTTTTTGACGACGCGTCCAGGCTCATTTAGAAGGTATACAAACAGATTCGACCAAGTCGCGTAACAGCTGACAAAAAAAATCCCCCCCAAAAATAAGTGTCCGAGTCGATGATGATGATGATGATGGTGTCGATCCACAGCGCCACGGTCCACATAACGGTGGTCGACGTGAACGAGTACGCCCCGCAGTTCCTGCAGCCGGCCTACGTGAGCACCGTTGACGAGGGCCGCCTGTACGAGAAGATAGCCCGCGTCGAGGCGTCGGACCGTGACTGCACGCCCAAGTACGGGGACATATGCAAATATGAGATCCTCACGGCCGACCAGCCCTTCGTCATCGACAACGAAGGCGCCATCCGCAATACCGAGCCCCTCGACTACGAGCGCTCCCACAACTACATACTCAGCGTCGTCGCCTACGACTGCGGCATGAAACAATCCGCCCCGGCCATGGTCACCATCAAAGTAAGTCTTATTTCCACGTGATGTACTTGATACTTATACTATATGAGGTTCTTTTCATTTTTTTTCCACTCGATCACCTCTTACATTATTCACGTCATCGGTGAGTTTGCAGTACATTTATTATTATGTACATGGTCGAGGACGAAGCTTATTGTTTACCCGCCCCAGTCACGTTTTCGGTTCGTCAGTTGACACCTAAATATTTCACTGCCCAGGTATACTCACAAGGAAATGTAATTATTGGAAAAAGTTGAAAACACAATGAGCATGTAACATTAAATTTGTGACGCGACTATACGTAACATCGTGAAACGGCGATGAACAATATCTCCATTGAGTTAACCGAAGGAAAATTGTTTGGCGCAACGCTGTATACACGAAAGATTTCAATCGACGATTTAAATAGTAAAAACAAAAAAAGTCCATACGGGGTATACATGTATGCCCAACAACAACAAAGGGGCGCCCGAGGATAAGAAAAATGTTATCTACACCAATTTGCTGTATAACGGGAACACTCGGTCTTCGACAATGGGCTTCGATCCCTGTATCGCTTTCTCCTCTCTTTCTCTATATAGGTATAAACGAATCGGTTTGTAGGCATGTCAGAAGCAGCGCGTCTGGAAGTTCAATGGGGGACGGTTATGCATTGAAATGTACAAGTATATACAGTTGTATACACGTGGCGAATGGCGCAGAGGAAGAGATGACTCCCTCCGCTGCTGACCCACTCCTGCGCTTTTTATCATAATAAGTCTATACACCCATTCCCGAGGCGCGATCATTCGGAGGGTAGGTCTTTTTTTTTTCTCCTCCCCTCCGAGCTGTTTATTGGAATTTTTTAACGAAGGCGGTATTCGAGTTTAAGTGGAATTTCCTGGGTAACTTGCTTTGTCACTGGCTATACGAGAATAAATGATAACGTCTATATATACATAGCTTCTGATAAAAGCTGACGATGGCTTTGATGGAGTATATATATATTTTTTTTTCCTTCCAAAGTGGGAAAGAGGGTACTTTTTTTTTTATAAAATTAAAATTTCCATCCAGTATTTATTCCGATACACGCTATAAGCTGCATGATAAACCAGAGGTTTAATATTTGCGGCGCATAATACATCCAACGGTGAATAGGCTTTCATTCTCGCATTCTATATCGTACACCCATATAATACGTATATCATCCGGAGGTCTCGAAATAGGGCGCGCATCAAATGTTGCGCGAGCATCCACACATCTACGTGTGCACAATACCGATCGGAGAGAAACAGGATCGGATTTTCGTCGAAAGGCTTATTATGTTGGTATACAATACGCGCTCATCAGTCGCTGCGTCGCATTATAACTTTGCTTTCGATGATAAGACTTACGCTGATCCCTTTTTTTTTTTTTTTTTTTTTTTTCTTTGTTATTCACAGTCATGACAGACACGTGGGACTGGTTTGCTATACCTACTTTTATTAGAGCAAATGGTGAAACAATTACACACGGGAATTTATGTAAAATGAGGATACATTTTCAACTTCACAAAAGTGAGTTGGCCGCGAGTATTTTTATTATTTCTTTTTTATAAACTCTGTGCTTACTCAACGGGAGAAATTGAGTTTTTCAAGTAATTTGCATTTAGTTGCAGGGCTCGAAGTTCGGTTGATCATCACCTTGCACTCGCAAAAAAAAAACAAATTGTGCCCTGCAATCGGAACGCTCTCGTCAAAGAAAAATAATTTCCAAGTTATTTTACTACCGAGTTCTGAAAAAAAAAGATCTGGTTTTTCGTTACAACTTCGCTAATTATAACTTTCTTCCCTTGCCTTACTTTCTTCCGTGACTCAAGTTCATTATTAAAAATACAATCCAATCCAACAATTAGCTATTTAACTTACAATGGCAAACATCGTCTCAACTACATAACGTACGACAAAAGAATCTCGTCACACGGTAACACCTGAAGCCAATCGTCGCATCATTATCTCGTATAAAAGTGATTGTCGTATATGTATATGTATACAATAGATTAGCCGTATTCGAAGTCATCATTCCCATTTAGTACGTATATAAGAAAAGAAAAACACGTATAAGGGCTTATCGATCATCTGGAATTACATCATATTATCTGATGCGAGTATCATAATTGTATATAGAAATCGTGAGCATATAAAACCAATGAATCAGCGTCATCATCCACTTCGCGTGGTGAATCAGTTTTCGGAGAGTTTGCCAGGGAGGGCGTGTTCCGTGACTTATCGGCCGAATGGTATTATCGCCCACTCGCCCCTTTTATTCCCCACACCAGACCGAGCGTATTTTTTCTTCGCGTTTTCATCAATTACAATAAAGACTCGAATAATATACATATATATGCACATATATTTTACATACACACGTACACACACACACCGAGAGGTTGTTTGCACAATGGATTATTAATTGTTGTCACGTCGACCAAACAAACGTGGTTAATAACTAAATGTGGATATAACGTGTGCATATACATATATACGCTAATTTAATCACCACAACAAATATTGATTCTCGAGTTTAACCAAAATAAATATAGTCGTATAGTTGTGCTCGTTTCATCGAAAATTAAAAAGAGTACATTTTAATACTTTAAATATAGACGGGCTCAAAAAAAAAAAAAAAAAAAAAAAAAAAAAGACACACACCCGCAGCAGGGGCAGTAATAAAATTATCATAAAACTGTTTTAATAAATTTTCAAAGAAATTGTAGCTCCGTAGCGAGGGTACAAGCGAGCGTGACGCGCGGCATTTAAACATTTTGCGCGCTCGACTAAATAATTATAACGAGGAGACGGTGCAGCCGAGAGAGGGGGGTGGGGTTAACCGGGTTAACTCTAACGATGCACGTTGGATTGAAAAATCCCCGTCGCTTTGTGTATACGTATACAGTTTTTGCCTTACACTCCTCCTTTTAACTGTTGTAATGTATTATCGCATAGCAATTACGCTTTGTTGTTATTGTTTTTTTTGTTTTTTTGTTTTTAAACATTGCCTCATCGCAAATTGACGTGCACCTACGAAACCAGAGAAGCGAAAAAACGTGCTATATAGCTCATTTAATCTATACAATGTGTACACGCACGAGCACACGTGGTCGAGGTAAAAAGTATTGATCACCGAAAATTTTTCAAACTCCCGGTCGTGTGTTTATATACAAGTGAGTCACGGAAGAGAGAGAGAGAGAGAGAGAGAGACACGTCAGGGGGTGGGAGTATCGAGTTCTCAAAGTGCCGTAGGGGTCGTATACAGTAATACGGAGTAACAGCGCGGAAGTGACACGCACACGTATGGTGTACTTATATATATAACTTGCACCCCATTCCTAAATCCTAAACCTCTTCTCCGTTCTCCGAGCGCCCCTAGCGCAGCGTGTAGCGATTTATCATTGGGTGTGACTCAGACGCGCACTCTTTTCTTTTTCTTCTTCTTTCCCCGGTAAAAGTTGAGCCTCGGGGCACAGCCAAGGCTGCAGGGGTGCTGGATGAAATTTTTAAACATGTTTTGCAGGGTATCATCTACACGCAAAAACTCGCTCGAAAGCTTTATTTATATTTATTCCTTTTTCACGCGTCACACACGGACACGTACAGTATTTTATTATTATTATTATTTTTTTTTTTTTTCGGGGTGGTAGATATGCGCCAGCCACTACGTGAAGGATCTTTTTTAATTAAACTTTTCGGCACGCGTCGGTGGGTTTGGGCAGCAGTTTCGCGTACCTGTACTCGCGCATTGAACGTTTTTAAATAACGAGCATAAGGGGGGGGGGAGGGGCATATTATTGTGCTGCGTCATCGTCGACAAAAAAAAAAAATATATGCCAAAAAACGAGACGGACGTTCTCTTTATTATTATTTTTTATTTGTCTTTTTTTTTTCATTCAGCTGCAGACTGCTGATGCATGGGTATATATATACATTACGGATTTCAACAACAACGAGTGTACATATAACGGGGGAGCGCGTTGTTTTTCCCATTGAAATTGAAGTACGAGAGAAACGAAACAAAGGGGGAAGCGAACATCAATTTTTACTTTTTCCCTATACGCGTTAGTTTTCTCTTTGGCACGGGGATAAGCCAGTGGCATAAATCTTATTGAAATGAAGCCAATGGACGATGTTGGATCACGTATACATATCAGCCGGCTCGGCCTTCATATTACCGGGAGGGATGAGATCTTGAAAAGTCTTTGAAAATTAATGGACCGAAATGACAATAGTAGACTTGAATTGTCCATACAGGTACTTCAGCCTCCCCCTCATTAAACCGACTCTTGCTCGATCGACGTTGGATTCGCGAAAATCGATGAGACTATTATGTACACCCTGGTGATTAACCAAATGGTCCCGATCGAGTCGAAGAAGCAGCTCCTCCGTAGCGTATAGGTGCTCCGATTCTTCTTTGAATTTAAAATTAACTCGCTCGTGCGGGAAAAATCGATCCCGTTGGTACTTATACCTCATACACGTGCCATTACAATTTGGGATAGCTCAAAGGCAAATCCCGTCGCGCGCGACTCGATCAATCGAAAAATCCGAGATTCGATCAGGTGCTGCAATCAAATGATACTTGGCGAGAAAAAGAGGAAATAAAGGCGCGATTTGGAATCTCATCCCTGCATTGCTTTTCAATCCGTTCCTCTCCAAGGGGCCAGGAGCGCAAAAATAGATTCCCCCCACCCTACCGGTAGTGCTAGATTGGCCATCGGATAAGCCATTTAAAAGCCCCGAGCGTACAATCGATGTTGGGCTCGTCTCCTTGGGAAGGAGAGAAGGAAAAACGAGAGGCAAAGCTGATGAAAAAAAGCGCTCTAATCCCCGAGTCGCTCGTTGGCCACGTCGCGAAACAATCGTGATGGCACCTGCAAACTCGACACGGCATCGCCATCGTACACGTATATACATGTACTAATCAAGCGTTTCTTCTTCTTCTTTTTGTTTTTTTTTTTTAGGTCAACAGGGTGTGCTCGTTGGGGTGGCGCGGGGTGCCGGAGCGCGTGGACTACGCCGCGGGGGTCGAGGCTCAGCCGCTGCTGCCGTCCGCCCGACTGGAGCTGTGCGACGCCCCGTGCAACCTGCGCAACTTCCGTACGACCCTCAGCCTGGCGACGGACCACATCGGCAAGGGCTGCGACCGCGACACGTACAGCGTGCGGAGCCAGAGGAAGCTGTGCGGGGCGTCGCGGGACAGCGTCGACCTGCTGCCGAGCCCGGGGCCGGACGGCGGGGCATGGACGGTGTCGCTGTCGCGGGACGAGGGCCGCGAGGCCGACGAGATGTTTGAGTTCGACGGGGCGAGCTCCGCGGCCATCGTGCCCGAGGACGTGCTCGATCACGCCCTCGCCCAGAAGTTTAGCATCGGCGTGTGGGTGAAGCACAGGCCCAGGCCGAGGCAGGACCCCCACGTCAAGGAGCACATACTATGCGCCGCCGATGACCACAGTTTGTTCACATTTTTTTCTTTTTTTTTTTCCCTCTCACATCCCTTTTATCCTGTATGCCAACGCAAAACTGCAAATCGAGCGAAGAAGACGAGGCGGAGTCGGGTGGTGTGAAATTTCGATACGCGCGAACGGTTTTGTCGTTGTGTTCTAATTTTATTCCTCAAAGGCGATCGGGAAAAATTCCCTCGGCGGTAATGGTATATATTATATACATGTCGCAGTAGCCGCGGAGCGAAATAAAATTTATCTCTTTTCCTATTCGCGAAAAACTATGTTGACGTTAAATGCATCCCGTCGATGGTCATTGCTGTCAATGAGTCGTTTTTCCCCTTCCTTTCTTCCGTCACGTATAGATGATGTATACAGTGATTAGCGTGGAAGAAGAAAAATACGTTTCACGCTCTCCCGAGCCCGGCGGAAATAAGCCAGTCGCGTCGATGTTTCACGTTGGAACATTTTACCTCCTCGGTGCACCTTCTCCGTCGCTCGTACGAGCGCACACACTCGCGCGGGTACACGTACAAGACACGTACTCGTAAATTGCTCGATTAGGGTAATAGCGCGAGACGTAATGGATGTTAAGGAAGGTCTTACGTTGGCAAACGCATATATCCGTACGAGTGTGCGTTTGTCTGGGAGGGTTGTCGAGCGCTCTCCGCGTGTTTTCGTGAACTTTATATCCCCTTGACGGTGCACCGCGTAACTTGTTCGCATATGCCCCCCTACGCTTGGGCTCGTAAGTTGAAAGTTCTTTTTAATTAAAGAGAAAAAGAAAAAAAAATCTCCCAGACACCGTCAATTAAAAATCACCCCCTTTTTTTTTCATCCCTTGTATGTTTTGTGCACACGGAACTATACCTTACCTATACGTATATACGTAGACGAAGTAACAAAGCGTAACACTTAAAATTGCTGGTATACCGTCGCGACGCGCGAGCGTGGAATGTAAATGAAACCGATAGCGAGTTGTAGACAATACGTGCGTTTGATGAAGTATACAATTTAATTATACTGCCCAAAGCCGCAACGGAAAAAAAAAAAAAAAAAAAAATTGTACAATATATTATACTCGACGCAAAGTTAGTCTGCAACCCGCACGCGTAGAGCCCAATTTTCCAATTTATTCTAATATACTTATATCACTTTGAGCTCGGAAAATTGTTTCCTACCGGCGTCCGCATCAAAAGGGTACATAACACATAATAATTCCACGCTCTTTTACCCTGGTGACACAAAGCAATTTTCACAATTCCCGTCTTCAGAGTCAATATCTCTCTCTAACGGCGTGTACCGCTCGTTATTTAACTTTGATAAGTATGCGCTGAAAAATACACTTACCTATCCATAAAACGAAAATTCCATCTATTCTAGAACATTTTAATTAATGATATAAATATATTACAATGTATTATACATGGACGAAAATGCAAATGGGGCCGGGAATAGATAAGAATAAAATTTCCATGAATTACCCCTTATGCTTAGGGATAGCGGAGTTCAGTCGTGTAGGGGTGAGGGACGAGGATATACGTATATAGATCAGGAATAACCGCGTATGAAGAAATACTTTTGCACTTTGGGAGGGAAATTTCCGATGAAATGTTATTGCATACATATCCATGCACTTAAATTCCAAAGTTGTATGTAGTAGTGAGGACACAGTGCAACACACGTACACGTATGCACGTGTATTACGAATGGGTTGAAATTATTATTGAAGAAAATCTAGCTATTAGAAATTCCATTATACGACGGCGTCGGTGGTGGTGGTGGACGCCTGGTTAGTTTCGAAATCCGTATAAGCCATTTGTTCATTAGGATCAAACAATGGAATGATTGGGCCGCTCCATTCCCGATGGACTCGACATAGTATAGATTTCGCGAAGCTTTCAAATATGGCTTTAGTCCTACATCTACGTAATATAAAGCATGCCTCAAGTATACCTAATACGAAAAACGTAATTTCATATACAATTATAAAAATCTATTTACAACGTGGAAAGTGTTTCAGTTTAGGTATATTATCATATATTTAAGGTAGTGCCCATATCGCGAGGAAGGAAAAAGACAATAATGTCTAAATACCTGTATTACTGTATGCCACAGCCGATGCGGTAGACCGACAATACATATATATATATATAAATTAGAGCAGCGCGCGTTTCGAGTGACTCTGCGCTCAAAGTTTTTTGCGGTCAACGGGAACTCAATCTGTACGCAAAAGGACGCTCGGGTTACCTCTCTCGTATTTTTTGTTTCTTTTCCCTTTTCCTGTACACCCTATACACCGAGAGTTTCCAACGCTTTACAAAATGTATACCTGCTTCAAAAAAGATTCGTTACATCTATTTCCTTGTGTTGTCGCAGAGATGAACCGACACCACTACGCCCTGTTCATCCGCAACTGCCGGCTGATCTTGCTGCTGCGCCGTGACTTCACCGAGGGCGACCCGGACATGTTCCGCCCGGCCGAGTGGCGCTGGAAGCTGGCCCAGGTGTGCGACGACAGGTGGCACCACTACGCCGTCCAGGTGAACTTCCCCCGGGTGAGTCTCTTCGTCGACGGCGAGGAGTGGCACGCGGACAAGATGAATCCCGAGATCATCGACGACTGGCCCCTCCACCCGGCCAAGGGCATCAACACGACCCTCGTGGTGGGCGCGTGCTGGCAGGGCTCGGACAACAAGACCAAGCACCACTTCCGCGGCTACCTGGCCGGGCTCTCGGTCCTCGTCGGCCGCAACGAGAAGCCCGACGTGCTCTCCTGCCTGAGACACTGCCAGGAGGGCATCCACGTGCCACCGATGGAGCTCCTGCAACCCGGGACCCAGCTCCTCACCAACTCGGACCTCAACGAGCTAAGGATCGACGGCGACAACAGGACCAACGTCGAGACTCTGCTCAGACGCATCGGCTACACCAACTCGAGGCGCTTCCCGACACCCGGACGTCGCAACTTCCGCCTCGACACCACCATCATTTGCGAGGGCAGGGAGGACAGGCCCCTCACCGTGCCCTCCGTACAATCCTACGTCTTTGTACTTCCACCCCCGCGTCCTGGAATCACTGTTAACGGTGAGTACCTACGTCTATCTCTTCGGTCCACCCGATCGCGCAGCCGATTAAGTCTCCTCTCGCACTCTTCGAAAGAGCTTTCGAGTTTTGCCCCCTCCCCCCTTTCGAAGCGAGCAAAGTTCGCGAAATAAAAGTCCCCGAGACGTCAAACTCGCGTACAAGCACGGACCATTAGGGCGAAATCCCCGATACCACAAAGTTCGCCAAACTTATAATGACCCTCGATATTTTCCGATCTTATATACCGTCGCCGTGGAAAGACACGCAAAATCCCCGTAAATCCGCGCGACCCAGCATACATGTATACTTTACTCCTCGTATGTATAACTCGCCCGAAAGCTCCAAAGTAACCGTACGGAGGAGACGAGCAAACGTGGGGGACGCGTATTCAATGTATCCCGGCAGCTGCGGTAAAAGCCTCCCCGGTGCGTTTTTTCTCTCGAAAAAGCTTGTAAAAACTTTTCTCATTCTCTGGTGCTCGGGCACTGTTTCCGCGAATGGCCCATGCTTATATATATATACATATATATACCATCAGAGCCACAAAAGCAAGAGGAGAACTATATGGTGCGTGCGTGCAGGGCACAAGCGAAAATAAAATGCATAAATTCATAGGTACCGGGTACGTGGCGCGCGAGTACGCCGACTTCCGGCTGGGTGTGCGAGTGTTCCCGGACGCGCGGGTCACGGCAGGCACGGCGGCGCGTCTCGACGCCTGCGCCGTCAGCGTCTACCCGAGCCTGAACCCCGACCACGAGAGCCTGAGCCTCCCCGGCGACACCCTCAGGCGCTTCCACTCGATAAGCGCCAGGGTCGACCGGGACGGGGTCGTACTCTCGGGGGCCGATACGCCCCACAACTACCAACAGGTCATCAGGTTCATCACCTACACGAACCACAAGCCCGCCTACTACCTCGACCGTGTCTTTAAGCTCACCTGCTCGGAGCTGAGGTAAGATATCTGGTTTTTTCTTTTTTTTTTCTTATATATTTTATTACAGAGCTATAAGTACTTTTATTAACATTAAAATACCGATGTTCATGTGTCACGATTCGTTGCCGATCTCTCATTGCAGGGTGCCTCCGATGAATTATTCATCCCGTCTTTTTATCTCTCGTCGCTCGATTGATTATAATTGGGCGCTTGTATCGATGAGCCCGACGCTTCGAATTTTAAAATCTCAATTTGTATTCCAAATGGAAACTCGAGAGTATACCGGTTGTTGCGCCCGCCTATGAGCGAGCGAAACGTTTACATTTTCCTCGAGATTTTTCCACCAAAGTTTGTTCGCAAGTGCCCTTGCAAGGGCTCTACTTGGTGTGTAACGTTTCGTTTGCTGTATATGCATAGAGCCCACGAAGCACGAACTCGAAAATATATACGCGACCGAGCGGTGAGGCACTTATTCCGATTTCCCTGGAAAGCATGGCGCCTCTGGTATGAACATTTTTGCCCGATAACTCCCCGTGCGCCCTCGTTCGTGTATACCTTCAAAGTAGGGAGGTGAAAAAAAAAAAATATACATCTTTTTATCCACGAGAGCGGACGACTTTTGCTTCGAAAACGTTTTTTTTCACCGAGCCATAGATACGTAAAGCTCTACTAATTTTTTCCCGTACAGGGAGAAACCGTTTACTCGCAAATGAAAGAAAAAATTTTGTGTTTTTTTTTTTTTTTTTTTTTTCATCTCTTTCCCAAAGCGGCCGGATCGTCAGTAACTCCACGCGAAAACAAACTTTGGGACGAAACTTTATTTTGTCAAAAAAAAAAAAAAGAAAAAGGCAATAAGTTTTTCCATGTCCAACGGTGAAACGAAAAAAAAAAAAAAAAAAAATGTTCGTTTCAGCGGCCGATTCGCCAGCAACGAGTACATCCAGACGCTGGCGGTGATCCACCCTAAGGAGAAGAGCACGTCGCCGGTGCCCCACTCGACCCACACCGTCAACGACATCCCGATGGCGAGGATCGTCGAGCCGCAACCTGGCCACGCTCTGCTCTCGCCCCATCACGCCGAGCTGAACGACAAGTACGCGACGACGCAGCTGCACGACGCAAACGGCAGCCACGCCGTCACCATCGTCGCCCTCAGCTGTATCGGCTTCCTCCTCCTCATGGTCGTCATTGGAGCCATGCGTGTGCGAGGTTGGTTGTTTTTCTTCTTCCTCTTCGAATCTACTGCGTCGATAGAGAGAGAGAGAGAGAGAGATCGAGTTGAAAAACCTGTGAGTGCTTTCGTTGCAGGAGCCAACAAGCGACGACGAGCCGCGGGTGAGGAGCTGGCGGCCGAGACGGAAATGGCCTGGGACGATTCGGCCCTCGCGATCACGGTCAACCCCATGGACAGGCTAGCCGAGCAGGAGGCTGCCCAGAGCCGCCGGGAGGAGGACCTCGACGACTCGGCGAGCTCGGATTCCGAGGATGGCTCGTACAGGGACGACGACCTCGACACGTCCGACTGCGAGAACGACTGCGATCTCGGGCACAGGCGGCGTCACGTGCGAGGCTCCAGTCCCGACTACGAGTGGGACCATCCCAACGTTTAAGAACCACGACAATGCCGAGAGCCACGCTATTCACGTTTTACCGATTAAGGTGAGCTTTTTTTTCAACACGCGAACAATCCATCGTTGATATTCTTATTGGAGGTACAATTTTTTTAGCTTTTCGTCAACTGAACGCGGAATAATTATAAAGTCAGTAATGATACGCGCTTAAAAAAATGAATTGTGAATTAAAACGCCCGAGGCGCGTATTCGCTTATAGTCTCGGGTATATTGAAAGATTAAAGAATTTATGGGTAAACATTGACTTTGAAGAAGCGCTTTCTACCGTAAAAAATTCATCGAGTTTACTTTGCTAATCGGTTTTAACTCGCTTCCCTTGGCACGGAGTCACGACTCGTATAATTGTTATTCTGCCCGACATTTCTCCCGTACCGAAATTCATCAAAGTAGATGATTTAACAATGAGCTTGAAATGACATTTTTCACGTTAAATCTTTTGAATTTTTACTCTCGGTGCATTAAGATTTTTCCCCCTTACATAATCTGCTTTAAATCTAAATCCAGGCATCACGGAGCTTCGCAATGCAAATTCATCTACTTTAAGATCAAGAAAAAGGGCGTTGCTGGGGGGTGAGGCAGCAATGGCAGAGCGACACAGTCTTTTGTCTCGAAAATGAAAACAAACAAAAAAAAAAAAAAAAAAAAAAACAAACAACACTTTTCAAAGGGCTCGAAAAATAAACCTTCACATCAAGTAAAGAAAAGTTTGCGTATAAAGAGAAAAAGAAAGAAAAGAAAATCGTCAAAATTTTCTCAAATTCGGCTCGAGAGACTTCACATCCTCCCTGCAAAGGACAACAAGTTTGAAACGAAAAGATAGAGAGAGAGAGAGAGAAGGAAAAATTGCTAGGTACTCTGTAGAGGCGTAAACTGTGTGTTCTTGCAGGTAGGTGGAAGTGTCACATTATATCCGTCCCCTTAGATTGAGTTTCTATAGCACCAGGCATCGGCGAATCAACGGTGTGCTGCTTGAGAGATTAAAATAAAGGAAAATTAAATGAAAGCAAGGGAGAGTATAGGCAGAGAAAAAGATAATGAAAAAAAGAGAAGAACGATTTTTAATCTTTAAGAGTGCGGGACGCTTTGCTGAACAGTTGACAAAAAAAAAATCTCTTTCTACCCGAACGGTAAAAGAAAAAAAAAATTGTTAAAATCGGCGATTGTCATGGTATGTGAATGTATTATTACTATTACTACTATTATTATTATTATTATTGTTCTTTAAAACTACTATTTTCTCACACTGCAAGTATTAAAATGAAATAAAATAACCCAGCACACCCACACACACATTTGTTCAACAAAAGAACACAACTAAAACATATTTAAACGTTGTCGGGGATGTGACCTGGTTTCTCGGGTAAATCCCTGTAGACGAGAACAAAATTTCTCAAATGTTGGAATACGCTTGCAAAGCTTGCATGAAAAAAAAAAAAAATAAAAAAAAAATAAAAAAAAAAAAATGGACTGCAGTCGAGTAGGTTGAGACTATAGATATTGAACGAGATATATTTAAATGAAAAAAAAGCAAGATACTATATCGGACATTGCATTCATTACACGTTTGTATAGGGATTTCGAGTAATTGTTGGTGTAACGTATCAAAGACTTTTAAATGCACAAATCGACTTTTACAAATGGAATATGAAGAGAAAAAAAAAGGAAAAAAAGTATAACGCTAGTTTCACTACAGTCTGCCTTGTGTTAAACGCTTAACTGATGCAAATTTTATAGTAGATAACAGATAAAGAGATATTCATTCAACGCTTCTATTATAATATCGACTTCTTTCAAAATGCTCACCCATAAAATATATATATATTATAATCTCCGAGCAAAGTAAGAGAACAAAAAAATAATAAATATCGCTACTGGTACTAATGGTATCTGAGTACATTAATCATCGCTATTCATCATAGATTTCGCGCAATGGTAATGAACAAAAATACTCTCTCAATAGCTCATACATACATATATGTATATGAATAACAAGAAAAAAAAAGAAAACTCATGCTTTTACGTTCTGCCTTTCTAAAGTCTCAAAGAGACTCGAAATATATAAGTACTCCCATTGGCACTCTTGTGAACTCTTTTTTTTTTTTTTTCCTTCAAAGTAAAAAGAAAAATTGAATGGATCACTGGTGTTGAATATTGATTTGCCATAAGGAAAGGGTACTGGGAGATACAGAGTGAAAAGACAAGAAGAAAAAAAAAGAGCTGCACGTTCGAGAAAGTGCTTTTAGCTTCCGCGTACAGTGTCGGGAAAAAAAAAAAAAAAAAAAAAAAAATGAAGCAAGGGGTTGGTATCTTCAACAGCCACCCGCATTCAATAACATTGATCCTGACTCTTCCTGACTTCTTCCAGTTTTCTTTAGAACTCGGTCAGAGGAGCGAATCTCAATAATGTGCTATTTTGTTGATCGGAATCCGCCACCCACATTATACAAGAGTATAAATACATATATATATATGTGTGTGTGTGTGTGTATATGCACGTAACACATATTGAATACGCGTAGTATAGTATAACGGTGTGTGTTTACGGCGTGAGATTGAGAATCGCGAGAGCAAGAGAGGTGAAGATAAACGTTTTATCATATCGTTATATATATATTTACAATGTACACAGAGCGAAAAGTGGTTGTGTTTGTATATCTATGGCAAGTGAGCAGGTGCGTGTGTCAATTATATACTTTGCATGCGATATGTATACGTGCACGGTTATCCAAATTAAATGAAATGAAAAAAAAAAAAATGACTGGATGTCGATTGATTGTTGCAGAAGAGCCACCTTTCCCGACTCACTATACTCCGGAGAAATCGGCGTCGCTGGTCGTCGATTCTTTTAAATCTGGCCAAGTTACTCCTTTGTCTGGTCAGGTAAGTTGGCAAATCAAATTACCAGTTAGTTGATATACTTACAGAGACAATATACAAACTTTGTAGATCATCCGTTTGAGAGATGGTTCCCAACCGTCCGAAGGATACGTAGAAGTTCAAGGCAGTNGCATCAAAGTATATATGAGTAAAAAAAAAAAAAAAAAAAACCCTTGGAAAACTCGGCAGGAAGATGTACCTATGCTGCTTCCGTGTTTCATTGTGGAAAACTTGTCGTGCAATCTATATATATTTATCATCTTATCATTTTTAATCTAAAGGCCTGGAACACTATAGAAATATAAATATGTATCGCAATTCGTTTTTTTTGTACGTTGCTATACACTGTCACACACACACACACACACACACCCACACGTATATGCATACCACTGTATTTTATCATTTGGTTGTTGAATTTTTTTGATAATTGTTGTGTGTAGGAGTTATTCGAAGGTTCATCCTTCTCGTGTTACGCGATGAGAGCGTCTGGCGGCTTAACTCAGAGATGTACGTAGTATTGTGTTTATTACTACATCGTTCTCGCGTCTATGAGGCGTGGGATATAAATGAACTTAAGTAAATGACAAGAAATTATGTAAAAGCAAAGTATGGACATAAAATGAAATAAAATAAAAAATATATATATATAAAAATTTGTGTAACGTCAGGCAGTATTTGATATACATACACGCATTATTGTCATTATTGCTATACATATATATATATACATATTACTCACCCCTCGCGCATCTTGGCACCCCATTCGGTACGTGTATACATATATTTGACGCACAAGAGCAAAAAATGATGATAACGATGATGTCGAGGCAAAAATAATCTCACGAGACTTCCGTGAGACGTGAAGCAAATCGTGTATTATTCTCGGGATCATGAACTTTCATAACAATGTGGAAGGAAAAAAAAATAAGTTTGTAATTTATCAAAAATAATAACGAAAAAAAAAAAAAGAAAAAAACATACATGTGTAATGATTAATAATGAATACAAATACTGCCGAGTCCTAATTCACGTGTGTATGTATGTATTTTTAGGAAATCTATGTAATATCGATCAGGTATGTACCTAGAACTTGTAGTATTTGGGTATAGCGAACGAAATGTGTATTTCGCATAGGTACTATATGACAATTTATTTTTCCAAAATGCATATCATATCATTTTTATAAAAAGAAGAATTGGTAAGAGTTAAGTGGATGATTGACGTGACGAAGAAACAAATAAAAAAAAAACACTGAAAGAGACGAGAGAACAGAAAATAAATACACGAGAGAGGAATCTCTTTGACACTTTGTGCATAAAAGTATACCTAAAAGAAAAAAAAAATTGTTAAAATCGGCGATTGTCATGGTATGTGAATGTATTANAAAAAAAAAAAAAAAAAAAAAAAAAAAAAAAAAAAAAAAAAAAAAAAAAAAAAAAAAAGAGAGAGAACTCATGCCATAAAAAATAATACTAACCATAATCATAAACGAACCATCGAGAGATTTTTCTCGTCGTATACTTAATCCTTATCCTCATATGTTGAGCAAATGGTTTTGTCGTCTATCTCCTGCTCCAAGTATATATTATATTCATCGATTTCTGCCGATCCTATCCAACACATTACGGGCACTCGTTTTATCTCGCTTATAATGAAATTCGCCATTGTCCCGTGCCTATACATTTATCTCTCTGTTCCCGTCTTTTCTTCGGTCGACTAACGGAGCCGGGCATTTTAACCAGATGTCCTTCCTCTGCAGTTACGGTTTCCGCTCGACTTGCAATTATATATCTTAATTTACCTGCGAGTGTAGCTTCTTTCCAAGTATCTCTTTTTTTCATTATTGCGAGTCGAGAGCAGTATTTCAACACTGCGTACTGGAGATATATTTTTGATTTAATTTTTAATTTATTGCTCCATTGGGAAATCGATTTTTTTCGTCGATGAGCTTATATGTTTGTAATATATACATACACTTGCCACTACATAGCGAATCCCAGCATCAGCACTGCTGGCGTTCTTTTATTTTATTTCATGTACACGTAGCAATTAAAATCGACTGTACGTAGGTTTCTTTTTTAAGTTTAATTTAATTTTTTTCTCAATGCATTTGGACGTGCATTTTTTTTTCCCGTTTAACGAACGCATTTTTTAAATCGATTCCCGAAAATTCGTACCGTCGGACCTTTTTTTTTCACGTTATCATTAATTTTTATAATTCTTAACAAGGCAGCTTCTTAGACCATTTAATAGCTACTTTTCACGTTGTTTTTACCCTTCGAGAAGAATTTTACATATTGTACTTAAACAAAAAAGTAAAAAAAAAAAAAAAAAAAAACACTAATTAACTAATCAACAAATGAATGCGACCTTGCAAGTAAGAACAAAGCAAATATATTTATGAATAAACGTAACAATGAACAACAACAAAAAAATGAGCAAAAGAAAGAAACGTGTACAACATTCACGTGCAACCGAGAGGTAAATATATGTACTGTACACGAGGAGTCACTCGAGGAGAGTCGAAATTAGGGCTCGGCCATTATTATATACCCCACGTGCACGCGACAACGGGCCTAGAGCTTTGCAGCTTATGCATACATATAGACTACGAGGGACGAAAGCAGCGACTGGAATGCATTTTTGAACTCGGAACTCGCGCGCGGGGGCTTATCCTAGTTTCGCATCTTGCTCTTCTTCTCTCTCTCCCTCTCGAGGCTTTTGCGTGACATGTACATACTTCTCCGAGTATTCGAACAAAATGTGAAAAACAAAAAAAAACGAAAAAAAAAAAAAAAAAAAAAAATTTGCGACGATCGATTTGTATACCTATAAATGTGCACTTTGTATTGTTTTTCGTTCAGGCAGCTAATGATTATTGTAATGCACCCGAAAATTTGAGGATGAACGAAAGAACAACAAAATAATGAAGACGCAAAAACCATCCGATGTTATACCAATGCTCCATCGGAAACATGAATCTCAAAGCGAGAATGGATGCAAAAGGGTTCGCGTATTTTTTTTTTTTTCCCCGTGTAAAAGCGCCGCAAGCACGAGTTATTTGAAACAACAAATGTTAAAAATCCACTTGCACTTATACTTACACGTGCACATTGAAAACATAAATTGAGCGCAGGGAATAATCACAAAAAAAAATCAAGCTGTAAAAGTATACGTGTACAGGTGGGCTGTTCGAGGCACCAGGAGCAACAACAATCTTGCTCTGCTGCAAGAATAATGAAAAAAAAAAAAAAAAAAAAAAAAACGCCATCACGCTCCTTGTCCCCGTTGTAGTTGCATCAAAGTATATATGTATAAAATGCGCGCATCGCGAGCGACACTCGAGAGTGTGTGTATGATAATGAAACGCGACGAAGCGGAGGTCAGGCCTTGTAAAAACTTAAATTGGCGAGATGCGTATACATGTACGAACGAGAGAGAGATGCGCCGTTGTATATCCAACGAGGGAAAAAAAAAGAAAAAAAATAAAGACGACGACGTCGGGAAATCCATTTTTTTTTCTCTGTATTACGTGTAACAAGCGCGCGTTTACGTGATGCTTCTAGAGGGAGATATTGCATTTTTCTGACGCGCGGTTTTTGCTTTGACCCGTCCGACGTCGAGCGTTTTGTTAAGTAATTTTTTCTTTTCCATCGTTGCTCTAGACGACGCACACAAATGACAAACCCTACAGATTGGAAAACGAACGGGAAACAGTTACGAGGAAAGACGAGAGAGTGAAATCGTGCATCTCTGCAGCTTTTGGCTTTGAAACAAGAATCCTATGTACGAGCACCACGTCACGCATATATATGCATCAAATTAAATAATAAAGTTTATACGTATGTATCACGACTTTAAAACAAAAATGATAAATTTAAAAAAAAAAAAAAAAAAAAAAAGCTCCCTACCAGTACCGAAGTAAAAATTGTGTGTTAACTAATCGTAAAGTTAATATTTAAAGTTAAGGGCAAAACATTATCATTGATATGTAATGATAGAGAACAAACGAGGTACCACTGCATATTATGCTTACGTATACTTGTATGTTTTAAAATCCACATCCGAACAAATTAACTTTAACGAAAATATAGATATAATATATACATATGCAAACGTTGATGAAGAAAAAGAAAGAAAGGCGTTTTTTCTCGCTGAGACCATGTACTTATTCTCTGTTGCGTTTTCCGTTCGAACTGTAAAACCCTGGATAATTGTAATTAACTGAGCAACTCGAAGCGTTTGTTTTTCTTTTTTCGTGGCGCACACAAATGTCCAAATATTACGATAATAGATGTCGTTGAATTCGCAAACTGAGATTGTTCAGCTAAAAAAAAGGAGACAAAAAAAAACCAATATTAGCAATAGAGCAGAATGAAAAAGAAAAACAATTCACACATGCGCATACACACGCTGCACGTGCTAGGAATATAAATTACTACCTTAATGATACATATAAATATATATATTATAAATAATACTAAGACGTCAAGTGTATTTGTTTAATAAAGGTGTACATTCGAAAAAAAAAATTTCCAAAAACCACTGTTTGTACTTTATTTTCATACGTCATCTTTTTCCTCATTGTTCATTCCTACCAAATTCCAAAGTTTCATGTAGCTGAAAGAGATGGACCTTATTTTTTTAATAATGTAATTTTTCGTATGTTTTTTTTTTTTTTTTAAATTGATGAATGCAATAGCTAGTAGAGAATTTCATTTTGGTCAGTGAAGTAGAGTATGTTTTGTTGATCTGATGATAATAAAATTACATCTTAGGAATTCATTCCATAGCTGGGTGAGTAAATGAAACATTTTCTTTTGTATACAAATCTTGTTATAGTAAATTTATTATATAATACTTATTCTCAAAACAGCTGTAATTATGTACAGACGCGGTGTAATCGTGAATTACTCTTACATTAAATAACATAAAGTCTGTAACATGGTATGTTTTAGCACAGCTTATAGTTAGAAAATTATTTACAATTTTTCTACTGATAAAAATAAATAAGCAAATAATCATTCACCAATTTACGTTATTTATGATTCCACGGTAAATACTCGCGTTTGATAAAATTTTGCGCTTACAAAAGGTAAGTATTTTTACTTTGTCGGCCAAACCTAAGTAATAAGTTATCATAAGCTTCTGATAAATAGGAGTTGATAATAAAGTCTTTCTTTCACTTGAGTTTATAGAATTTTATCAGTTTGCATGTTGGTTTTTTAAGTATGAAATTTGTTCATGCTTTTCAATTTTATATGTAATATATTCGTTTGATTAGATAAAAAAATGTACAATTTAATTAAATAATAAACTTCAGTCGTGATTAAGTGAATACCGCAAACGTTTTAGCGTTTAACAAATTTAACGATCTGTAATTAATTTTCGTATCAGCAAACTACAATTGTCGTTTGCTCGCTTTGACTCGGTAGGAATAGCTTTATATTTTCTGCATTCCAGTGAAGCAATGCACTCTGACATACAATGCTCCAGACGTATGGAATAAAGAATTCCTCGGGCTGTTCTTCCTCAACGTACTTGAATTTGAGCTCTGGGAATATCTAAAATTTATCAAATCCAAAATATACAAAAATGTATCGTTGCTAGATACTTTATTTAATTTTCATACTCACCCTCAAACGATCTTTCTGCCACTGACTTGTACCTTGCTGTATTGTTGCTAGTACTTGACTAACACCAAGTTGAGAATGTTCTTTCTGCTCAAGCATTTCCGAGAAAAAAGTAATTACCTAAAAAAATTACAAAAATTTGTAAAAACGCTTTTTTTTTATCGAAAATATTTATTTGTCAACCTAAATCTTACCGAATCGATGTTTTGTACTATATCTTGAAACGCTGTATGCGTCCTAAACTGTTGGAATATGTCTTTCTTGTAGAGTAGAGTATAAATTAAATTAGGATTGTAGGCCAACTGATGTGTTAAAGTACTGTTTATGATTTCTAAAACCATCCGTAAAACTTCCTCCAATACTGTCAAATCCTGAATCTTGACAAAGGTAAGTGAGAAAAATTTGTGTAAAATATAAACGTGAATCAATTGTTGTGAGAAAAAAAAATTCTCACCAGATCGCTGTTTGCCACACTACCATTAACAGCAACATTTACTGTAGTGGATGTTGACGTGGAAGACTGGGTTCTGATCGTAGCTTCAAGTTTAGCGTGTTTTTTTGCTAACGTCTCAAATAAGCTTATCAAACGTTGGCTAACGTAAGGATGCAATGCCCTAAACTGGCTCGACATGTTTGCCAAAGCAGCCAAGCAATTCGTATGCAGATATCGGTCCTGATGAGTTTAAAAAAAAAAAACTAGAATATTCTCTACAGTTTTTATTTAAACGTTATATGTTTTTGAATCAATTACCCTCATTTTTAACATATTATATTGTATAGTTCTGATCACAACAAGAATCAACAAACCACCCAAGGAAATTTCGCTTATAGATCTTTCAGTGTACCACGTGATTCCTTTCAACATCTAAATGAGAACAAAAATGGGGCTAATAAATCAATTCAATTAAATTTTAGGACTGATAGTAAAAATCCAATCTTACCGCATCATGAACCATTTTATTGAACGTCTCATCTTCGCTCAAAATCAAAAGAATAATCAAAGACATGTAAATATGATGCGAAGTGTTTTCTGGAGCATGATAGAGTATTCTCAAAATAGGAATCACCTGTAATTAATTTTAAGCTTGTAACTTGTAATATTTATCCAATATTTTGACCACTTTAAGCACTTACTAATAGTTGTACATCAGGCCTTTGCATTATGTGTTGCTTTACGTTAGGATTTCTGTGAAGTAACATGTATAATAAAAGAGTTACCTCATCAGAGTTTGGTACTTTACAAATCGTATTGTACAATTTATCGACGTTAAATTTAAATGAGCATTGTGCTTTACAGAACATCTCACAGTCATCTGTAAATTTTTTTTTTAAGATTTCACAACACATTCAAAGTATGATTGATAATTGCAAATAAGAAAAAAATACGAACCTTTAACGTTTGAAAATTCAAAAAGTGCATCCCTATAAGGATTTGACGATGCTGTCCAATGATTTGTGAGAACTAACAAAAGTAATAATGATTGACTAGCTAATGGTGTTTCTGTATCTCTTTTTTTTTCTACATCTTCCACAATTCCACCGTGTGCAACTTGAACATTTTTTGAACTATTCCCCATACCCATAGTAATCACATTCCACAGCCCCGCTGTTTCAACGTGTGTTACATTAAAATAAACTTGCGAGACAATTAAAAAGTAAAGAATTTTTTTCGCATACCTGCAATACTAAGAACAATACTGGAGCCTGGCTGAGGAGTTAAAAGGCCTGGTGGAGCATGGGCTTGTTCAGCAAAATTATTCAACAATGTACAAACCATTACCGGAGCATGCCCACTTAATTCTTCGTCCATCACGATTCGATAAACTGTACTGTATTCTGCTGCAGTTTGCGAAAAAAGTTGTACCGATAGCAGCACCAATAGGCAATTAATAGCTTCAAGATGAACGAGATAAGTGAACTCGCTAAAAAAAATTAAAGAATTTAAAATCTTTTCATTAATTTTTGAATTTGTTGTAGATTTAATTTATCTTACCAAAGTGGCACATCTACGATTACTTTTACTAGAGCTCCAAAAAAAGATTGCAAGCGAACAGGTAGTAGACTGTTGATGTTTTCACCAGTTAGCTGTACTTCTACGTGCTTAACCATTTCTTCCTCTCCCACAGTCTCGATCAAATACTTCAAAATACACCTCACAGCAAACAGTGCATTGTACGTTTGCCAAGCAGACATTATACTGAAAAGTACATTTTAAAACATTAAAAAAGATCAATTGATTGTTGGAAACAATGTCTACTTACTTTTCAGAGTCAGACATTGTGAGAAGATCATGAACCCGGAGTAAAGAGATCTGAATCAACGATCCAATATTTCCTGAAGATTGATTATTAACTAACAACTTTTGACAGCACAAATCTAAACGCGAGTCCAGCTCGATTTGATCGTTTCTAGTCAGAGGTGGTCTCATGTTGTAAGAGAGGAATCTACCCCAGAATGGATCATCCAGGGGTATCGAATCCTTACTGCAGAACCTCTCCAAATGTGTATTTTTTGATAAATCCTCAAGTCTGCTCGGAGAGGAACCCATGGCTTCTTATTGTAAAAAAAAGTATCTGTAAGCATCGAACAACCAAACACTTTACTTATAGCCTCTTTCAACAAAGACACTCAAAACTACCAGAACCAAGAATCAACAGCTACGAAGTTTGTTTAACAAAACATTGTCATTTTAGACATCTACCTGTCTAGATCCAAAATAATAAGAACAGTCAGTAGCTCCTTTTATATCACATATACGTGGTCAATAAAGCGAACCATCAAAAAAGAGGCACGTCAATAAGTGCCAAGCACGAAGTTGCGACAAATAATCGCGGAAGACACAGCCCACTGTACGCATAAGAAAATATGTAAGTCTGGTCGTTCGGAACTTTGGTGCTATATTTAATTTTGCACTTGAGCAATTAATTTCGATTAAACTAAACTTCAAGTGTTAGGTATAAGACACGGCACAAGTCTCGGGGTTGACTCCGTTGCCACGTCGTTGTCGCGTAAATCGTGTTCGCGAGCTGTACTTATATTTTCACCTTATTATTGTATAGGTATAGCCTATACCGTATAGGTCGGTAGACCTACTGCACTGGCAGCAGTACACACTTCTTACGCACGACTGTTGCAGACAAACCTGACCGGAAAGGTACCTGGTAACGTGGTAACACGACCCATACGGCCCGTGAAGATTCTTTCCGGTAAACATAAACGGCCCGTATACTACCTTCCGGCGTACGGAATCTTTTTCCGATCGGGTTCATTCACCTGCATTTCACTTTGCATCACTTTGAGTTTTTGATTTTATGCCTATACTTACTTTACTTTTATTTGTATGTTTTTTTTCGGCCGATGTAACTATTGCGTTGTTTTATGGTGTGTGTATAGGTGTATAACTATACCTACAGGTATATAGGTATGTACATGTACTTGTCGACTCCGAAATCGCGCCGGTTACAGGGCAATCAAACGATGTACCAAAATCGATTTAATGATTACCGAAAAAGATGTGTTGAATGAACTCTTTCAAAAATAATCGTTGGATTTAATTTCAATTATTTAGAATAAATTTCTCTACCTGGCAAACCTAATTTTATTATAAAAAAAGTTTTAACTTCAAAGTTATCAGTGTGTTTTCGTCGATGAATATATGTATGTTTTTCTTTTGTAAACCAACAAATAATTAATAGTCATGCGCGCCGCTTTTGATTTTTCGTCTAATAATACAGTAGTTGATGCAAGATCGATCAATCGTTTTTATAAATGTGTGACATAGTAACATGTTTATTTTGCAGAAACAATAATGAAATAATTTTTATGAATTTCAATCATTTCAAGTAAGCCTAGGTGTGAGTGAAATGTGCTATCTTCGTTGTAAAATTAATAAAAACGTTAAACGTGTAAAAAATTCAAAAAATGTTCAAAAAAGTTGCTCTGGGTGTTTCTGGTGGAGTTGACAGTGCTGTGACTGCAATTCTTCTTAAATCAAAAGGTAAATTGACTGTTATTACATTTAAGTTATGAATTAAAAGTTAAGTGTACATGCAATGCACACTTTTAATATAGGTTTTAACGTCACTGGAGTATTCATGAAAAACTGGGACTTGCCAGATGAGCTTGGCGTTTGCCAAGTGGATAAAGATTATGAAGACGCAAAGTGGATATGTGATAAATTAAAAATACCTTTGATCGAAGTAAATTTCGTCAAAGAATATTGGAATGAAGTTTTCAGGTACTTAATAGTTCTTCCTTTATTATACTTCGAATGAAATTTATCTTAAAAAAATGTGCTTTTTTTTTTAGCGATATGTTGCACTGTTATGAAACGGGAATAAATCCTAATCCAGATATTAACTGCAATAAAAAAATTAAATTCGATAGGTTTTTTAATTATGCCATTAAAGAGCTTAAAGCTGACTGCATAGCAACGGGGCACTATGCCAGAAATAGTTTTAATTCGTACCTGGAAGATTATATGTCGAATGAAAGTGAGAACAAACAGTTTGTTTATTTATTTAATTCTTACTTATTGGAATTGAACTATAAATACATTTTTTTTTATTATTCAGATGCTTCTCTATTGAAAGCCAAAGATATTCATAAAGATCAAACTTTTTTCTTATCACAGATATCGCAAAAATCGTTAAGTAGAACTATGTTTCCATTAGGAGAACATTTAAAGAAAGATGTATTTGAAATTGCTAGAAGAAATGGTTTGAATAGAATTGCGAATAAAAAAGAAAGTATGGGTATTTGTTTTATAGGTAAAAAGAATTTTCAGAATTTCATTGTTGAGGTAAATATTTTTAGTAAATAAAAATATATAAAGTAGCATACATTGGCAATGAGATCTACCATTTTTACAGTACATAGAAGACAAACCAGGACATTTCATAGATGTGGATAATGGGCGTTGCGTTGGTGAGCATAATGGAATTCACTTATGGACCATAGGACAAAGATGTAAAATTCAAAGAGGTTCTACATCTTACTTTGTTTGTCGTAAGGACCGAGACACTAACAACATTTATGTAGTAAGTGATACAATTGATGAGATAAAAAAGAGATTTTTCACTTAAATATGATAATAAATGTTTAAGGCTGCTGGAACAGAACATCCGGCACTACTTTGTGAATTTTTTACGACATCTAAGGTGCATTGGTTATGCAAAGAACCCAATTCACTAAAAAATAGCCAAGGGGTTTTGGATTGTGAATTCAAATTCGAACGGAGCCAGCCACTGGTACCTTGTTCCATTTTCAAGACTGCCAATGATGAGTTACTCGTTCGAGCACGTCAACCACAGAGAGCTGTTACACCTGGCCAGGTAAAATAATAAAAGTTTTTGAAATCTAGTTTTTTTTATAAAGGTGTGATGGACTTTTAAATGTTTCAGTACTCCGTTTTATATTCAGGTGAAGAATGTTTAGGAAGTGCGGAAATTAGTTATTGTTGTCCTTTACTAGGTTTTTCAAATGGAACAGGAAAATAAGAATTGTAAGAAGAAATTAGAAAAATAATAAGCATTACCTGACCGTCAAATAAACATTTATTTGATAAATAAAGTCCTGAGTTAACCGTAAACAACGTTGACTTCTTGATTCATAAATAAGCTATAATGAACTTTTTTACAAAAGAAATAACATGATTTTTATTAAATACATAAACATGTATAGTTTATCCATTTGAACTAATATTCAATAATTTACTTTTCGTAGTTGTGCTTGATGTCATCCCACAATTTCTGAAAAAAAATTCAAGTAAATGAATCAAATTCATAAGAAACAAGCACATGCATTTGATTTAGAATTTATTTACTTACTCCTTTGTTGTAGGCACGGAATATTTTGTCAGTTGCCAAATCAAAAGTCCTTTCAAATATGAAGGCACCACCAATAATTGTGAGTGCCATCGTTGAAGAACGTTTGAAAAGTACTCCGTACAACGTACTAGCCAGTGACATTTTGCTCTAGTTTCTTCCTACAATAAAAAATAAATTATGTATCATATTTTTTATTTTTAACATACTTTTGGCAAGCATCTTTAGATAACCTCAATTGATTTAGATCAGCTGATTTGCAAACACAGTGAGGGCATGAGGTTACAATGTCATATAAATGATTTACGAAAAATAGTAATAATCCACCATTGCGAACATAAGTAACTTAAGTTTAAAATGTATTAAAATAATCTCACTTACGTAAACGCCAAAATAAAGCCTCAGCAGTAGAATTCTCTAATTGTGATGATGTCACTTTTCCGCACAAGGTACGATCAACTACGTCTCAGAGTGTCACGAAGCGTACAATCACGGTCACAAAAAAGTACAAGTAAAAAAAAAATTATTCATCCAAATTGTACTGATTTTAACATGAACTCAAGTTCATTAAAATCGGATAAAAAAATTTAACTAAAGAAGTGATTGCAATAAATAAAAAAAAGAAAGACTTCTTTGGATTATTAGGAAAAAATTTGTTTATAATCTAAAAAAAAAAAAAGTCAAAACATATATATGTTGCAAGTATACTTGCAATATTAACATTAAAATTGTTATGAAAGTATGATTTTGTAGAAATGGTAGACAAAAACATGTAACCAACATCAAAAGCAACAAAATTGTAAATTTTAATTTGCTTGTTTCATTTGGATTAGTAAAGTACCAAGCAAGATAATTCTTAAAAAAAACCGCTAAAAATCTCCGGGCTTGCGATTGGCTAGCGGAGATTTGGCTTTTCTCTGCTTAAACTATCGGGAACAGGAGAACTTTGTACAGGTTAAATGTGCGTTTTCGCACTTTCAAAGGAAAGTTTTAAGCTGCAAAAGACTAATTGAGTTGGAAAAAAATAGTTAAGGTATTGTCATCTCCTCAAAAATATGTTATTGCAAGGCTTTTATCGTATTACAATCGTTGAACGTGTAAAAAAAATAAAAATATAATTGCACCTACAAGGCCTGTGTTATTTTTCCCGCAAGTGACTATATATGTATATCGCAAGAGTCACGTGACCTTTTGGATTTGGATTATTTGGAATTTTGGAATTTGGATTTGGAATTTGGAATCCCAATGCGCATGCGTACTGTATTCTAGATTTTTCTCTTTCCTTCTCTTCTCCATCTCCATCGAGAAAAAAAGCAGAGGGAGGGGGTGCGGTTGCAAGACAATCGGACCGGTTGAGTCGGTTCTCCTCGAGCTCGCGTCCACCATTTTCGTTCCTGGTATGAGCCGCGACACTTGAAACGAGCGAGAGCTGTGTGTTGCTGCGAGGGAGAGTGCGTTCGTTGCGTGATTGCTTGTGCTTGCCTGCGAGCGACTGTGTGCGTCTGTTTTGTGCCTGGGAAAAAAAGTATTTTAGGCTACTCTTGAGATATTTCGATTGAATTTCATCGAACATTAACGACAATATTTCGCAATAAACCTAAAGAAATGAATTGAGGCACTATCCATCAGAGCCGCGAATCTTCCTCTCTCAAATAGCTGTGTGTATTTTGCTGCTTGTGTGTTTGACGCCTGTCTGGGAGAAAGAGAAGAAAAGAAGACAAGTACTGTCTCTATAGATGCTGATACAGTGGAGAAATTTGAAGAGTTGCAATTGACGTCATAGCTTTAACTCTGTCTCGACCCTCCCCCTTTTCTTTCCGACATTTTCGGAGCCCGTTGTATAATCAATACCATTATACACAAACCTACGCCGCTGCTGCTGTTGATGCGCTTGCGTTCGTAAAAGCGAAAGAGAGCGAGCAAAGGAAGCGAAACCAGCACCACCCACCCAGTACCCAAAGAAGTACTGCTTACCCACACTTTTCGTGTGTGCGTAAGTGAGAAAGAAGAAGTTTTATTCGAGGCGTGTATCTATAAGCCGCCAAGTTGGATCACGAGGAGGAAACGTCGCCCGTGCACCAGGAGAAGATGACGTACATACAAGTCGCGGAGGACGAGGGCGAGGAGCCGATCGAGCTGCCGACCGAGGACGACAGCACCCTGCTCCTGACGACGCTCTCCGCTCAATTCCCCGGCACCTGCGGCCTCAAGTACCGCAACCCTGAGTCCCGGGCGATGCGCGGCATTCGCATTACCGATGGCAAGCTCCACCCACCAGACAATGGTTGGGGCAAGTCCGTCTATTTTTGCGTCTTCCCCAAAGGTGAGTTTGTCAAATGCACCCGCGATATCTGTGCATCATTTTGGAAAGCTCCTTCCATTCGAACTCATAGGTACATCTGATACATACTCTTGTATATATACTTGGATAAGCATCCATGGCGCCGACGTTACTTTGCAGCAACAGTACTCCATTTTCTACATTAGTAACACGTGTATAACTATGTCGTATGCCTTCTCCTACTCGACCTCTTCTACTCTCCACTCGTCTTGTTCGTTGGTAATCGCGAGCGTTAGGCGACGTACGATCCAAGCAAGAGAGCGAAAGATGAGAAATTTCCCCCGTGTGAATTTAGGCAGCAGAGCTCGCTGCATGGATGTAAACATTAGACTCATTATTAGATATTAAACATACCCTCCCTAGATTAAATTGCTTCAAGCGCTTTGAGCGGACCAGAAGTCATTGGGGTGTACATTTGTATTGATGGCCAAGACTATCAAGACAGCTGTCTACACTAGACGGCCATATATTCCCGACCGCCTCCGCGGGTTGATTGACACTGAAATCATGTACTTCTGTATATGACTTCAGTGTCATCACTCGACTAGTCGGAGGGGGTCGGGAATATCTGGCCGTCTACTGTACACACCCCCTTGAGGTCAGTATACCTCAATGATTATGGGGTAGACATTTCAAGCGCTCGGAGTATTTGTGTATACGTGGAGGTCCCTGTTGGAAAAGCAACGTCGTCTACTCGCTTAACTTGCTCAGCTTTGCCAAAAAACTTAATTACTTATATTTCATTCGACTCGTTCGAAGACATATCAAATTCATTTTATTTTCTTCCTTGAGAGATATCATGTACTTATATTTCGAATGGAACAATAATAAAACGAATGAGCCAAACGATACGGTGCGTTCGATTACTGTCTAGATAACATATTTATATTAGATGACATAACTAGAAAATTTTGTATTAATTTGTTTTAGAGAACAAGCGCAAATCTGATGATAACTTGGAAAATTCCACTGCTAAGACCAAACGTATGGAGACTAAGCTTCGTTGTACTGATTTGATTGTACTTGGCTTACCATGGAAAACATCCGAACAGAATCTTAGAGAATACTTTGAGACGTTTGGTGAAGTTCTGATGGCCCAGGTAAGTTGATGCTATTATTGATACAATTACGGTACTTCTGTTTCGTATGATTATTGATTTTTAATTTTGTATGTTCAGGTAAAAAAAGATGCAAAATCTGGGCAGAGCAAAGGATTTGGATTCATCAGATTTGGAAGCTATGAATCTCAGTTGAGATGCCTTGCTCAGCGTCATATGATTGATGGCAGATGGTGTGATGTCAAAGTACCAAACAGCAAGGTAACCTTTCAATATTACGTGAGAACTAGACCTTATTAAACAATCAATACGTGGTATTGAGTGATTAAAAAAATTTTATACTTATGCATAACAAAGATGTATCAATATAAAACAAAAATTTCCATTAAAATAATTATAGCTGCAGCAGCACACACTTTCATGATGTGATATATATTAAACATGCATAATCTAGAATTTTTTTGATTTTCATTAAAGGCTATCCAAGGTGTATGTACCTTAATTTTAATGCAATTATATTCATTTTTAATAAACAATCTTTTAAAATTGCTACTTTTATGTATATAATAATTTGCACCTTGGAAAGATATGAGGGTTTGTGAAAATGATACCAACAAGCAATGATACGTGAATCGAGCACATAAGTGTGGTATATGTAGATGAATGTTTAAGAGACTATAATCAGAGGGAGTATGAAAGTATTGTGAAGAGAAAGAGCTGAAAGAACTGGTGTGAGTGTGGCGCTTGGATTTCAATGACAACATCTAAATTCCTGAATCCCACACTGTTCGTAAATATTAAAGTAGATTTGAAAAAGCGAATAATGAGTGCCTCTTTTTATATGAAAAGAAGAAAAATACGCGTGATATGGATGGGTTATGTTAAACATGAAAATTTGGTGTGAAAAATAGTTTGTGTAGTTCGTTTCGATATTAATACCTATTTTTCATGAAATATTTGCGACCCGATACTGATGTTCATTTTTAAAATGTGTCAATTTAATAGCGGATTCATGAGCTTTAATTTTTTACTACTGAGCATAGAAAGTTTTGATTATAGTGAAGTTTGATCAAATTAAACTATTAATGTGATTAAAAGTTTTCTTTGTGAAGTGTATTGTATGAGCGTTTTAAAATGTTCCTTGATTATAACTTTTATCTACTTTTTGGTGTATTCAAATAAGCAAAAAACTTTTTTTTACTGATATCTCCAGCGCAGTATGATTATTAATTTAAAAAAAAAAACGCGGGCTGTATGTCGGATGAACCAATATCGGGCGAAATACAAACCGCGATTTGCTTTGATTAGTAGAGTTAAAACAGCGTTTGACTTGAAAGTGAGTGTTAATTGAGTGATGGAGTAACAATCACCACAGAACGTGTATGTTTTACCGCGAGTTTTTTTTTTTTTTTTTTTTCTCTCATGAATACAAGTACTTTTCAAGAGCACATTTTTTTCATGAGCTGATTGAATTTAATCAGAAATAGAATGGCTTTACGTACGTACAAAAACAAAGAAGCAGTGTCAAAACATAACGCTCTGAAGTTGAAAATAATTTTTAAAAAAGCCCAGCCTGCAAAAGTAAAAGTAAAAAAAAAAAATTGAATAAGAAATCTAATTATTTTAATGAGTGTGCCGGAACTTGGAGCGAAACTGAGCGCCTGTATGGGTATGCGTATAACCGGAAGCATGATTTTTGTGTGATCTGCGTACTTTGACGTTTTCCGATGCGGTATGACAGTTTCTCTCAAAAATATGCGTAATTTAATTTTTGATTCAAATCAAGATCAGAGTGACTTTCATCTGTCCATTTATGCTTCGATACTTAACGGTATTTTATCATAAATTTAGTTATTTAACTCCTGAGTGTCCGCGAATATGTACAACTGCTGTACATGCAACTAAAGCAAAAATTGAAAATTTCGATGATTGAGTAACAAAAAAATGTTTGCGACAAGATGAAACTCATTGTGTTTTCACATAAAACTTTGAATTCAAAGTCAATTCGTACACCCTCTAGTAAGATTAGGTCAGTTTCCGTTAAAAAAAAAACTTTTGGTCGATCTTTGTGAATCACGTGAATGTGAGATACCTACGAGCTTGCTTCGCATTTACAGCTACCTCCAACTGCACCATCAGTGTCTCAATTTTACTTCTTTTTTTTATTCACTCTTTGACTAAAAGTTCCCGGAAAAAAAATAACAATAATCAAACGATCAGTAAAGTAAAACGCCTATCTCTGAATACTACTACCATAACTATTATAACTACATCTATGTCCTATTACTGTATAATTCGAAAAAAAAGTGAACAGAAAGAATGTGAGAGTAAAAAAAAAAAAAAAAAAAAAAGAGATGATTGTCGAGGGCATACGTGTCGTTGTGTCTGGTTGCAGAACATTGATGGAATAGTGATGGCTCGACAGTATGACTCGCCCAAAGTCAATGACTACTACCGTCCGATTCCGGTTCATTCGTCGCAGGCCGCGAACGCCCGGCACCGAAGCGTGCCCGCTGCCGTCGGACAGCCGAGCGGCAAGCCCTACGTTAACATGACTCAAGAGTCAACCCCACCGCCGAGGTACGAGGCCGATTACGACTATAAAACCACGCACTATCCCTCCTATCCGGCCAATTACCCCTACGACGATGCCAAGTACAAATACGGGGCTGGTGCCCAGGAGCCCGCACCCCCAGCTCCGGGTTACGGCTACGTCGAGCCCAAACCCACCGCGTACCCGAGCTATCCCGAGACCGCCCCGGCGCCCGCCTACGACTCCCGCGGCTATGGCCAGCCGGCCATGATACCGCCCGGGGGCGGAGCCCCGGCAGCCCAAGGGGCCTACGCCCCCGAGCACCACGTCCCGGCTGCTGCGGATTACGCGCGTTACGCTTACGACGAGCGCAATGCAGCCGCTGCCGCCGCCGGCTCTTACCCGGTGGATCATCACAACGCGCATCACCACCACCTTCATCCCCATCAGTCGCATCACATGCACCAACAGCAGCAGCAACAGCCGCCCGCGTCACAGCACCATCATCAGCAGCAGCAGCAGCAACAACAGCAGCAGCAGCAGCAGCACGATAAGTACGGCTATGGGTACGCGGACGGGCGGGGTTACGAGGATGCGAGGTACGCGGTGGACGCGCGCTACGACTCGCGGTACTCGGTTATGGACGGCCGGGGCGTTGCGGACGGTAGGGAGGCGGACGCGCGGTACGACGAGTACGGGGCGAGCAAGGAACACGAGGTGCGCTACTACGACGGCCACGACTCGAGGTACGAGAGCTCCTCGCGTTACGGCTCCAAGGACAGCAACAATTACTACGACAGGTATTACAAGCACCGCCCGTCGAGGGATCACCACCACTCGGAGTCATCGAGATATTGAGCGCAGGTGCCGGTTATGGGTTTATCGTCAAAGGGGACTATTGTAGCTGCTTCCTCTTCCTCCTCTACATTTCCTTCTCGTAACACTGTCCTCACCGTTTCCCGGTTTTTGCGTGCGTGAAGTGAGCGTTGCGTGTGTCGTCTGATTGTTTTTTTTCCTTTTTTCATTTTTATTTTTTTTATTATTTTTTTTTTTTTTGCTTCTGGTAATAAACTTGAAGAGTACGTCACGATTTGTTGTTTACACTTACTGCCCCTGATTGTACTACACGAGGGCTTCTTTTACTCTATATATTTGATAAAAATACTTATATATTTATACAATCTATATTCATCCAATTTTGACACTTACAATGAATTTGTACATGTATGAAAGTATAATTTCATTTTATGGATTTTTAATAAGTACTGTCCGATAAACTTGTGGGAGGTGGAGTAACGAAAATTTCGATTCGTGTGCGACTCTTGACGTTTCTCTACAATTATATATATATACATCATGTACGTAACAACATAAACTTAAAACTTTTAATTTATAGACTAACGAGTATATGTAGTTGTACTCGTGTAAAAACATTTTATTTAAGATGAATGTTTTAAGCTTGCCGGTGTAATTTATCTACACAAGGTACATAAAGTTTGCATTAATCTTACAACTGTGTAAAGTGGAATATAAATTAGTATATATTTGTAGTGTATTATGATAATTGATGTATGAATTATAAAGATTGATTGCAATATATGGTTGTGTTGCAAAAACATGATAGTGTTGTGTTTGATTAATCTATCTATTTATAAATCAAAAGATGCATCCACTGTCGTGACCTAATTTTATTCCTACTTGTCGAATTTTCACTTGCTTCCAGATTCAGTTGAGAAAAAATACGTAAGCGTTTGTGGTATGACAAAAAAATAGCCGAAATTTTTAGTAATGCATTGCATCGGAGTACTTGCGGGTTCATCCGAGAAACTTTTTGTGGTTTTTTTTTTTATGTTTGGAACAGTATGAGAAGAAAGCTTATCTTGTTTATATAAAGGTTGATATTAGAATTTTTTTTTTTTTTACGTACATTTTTTTAAACGATATTTTACAGTGAGTTGAGATGATTTTTCATTTTCACTTGTTAATATCATCGTGTGGATCCACATGTTTATAAAGCCACATTGAAAGGTTTGAAGGTGTAATTTTGAAGTTTGTGTATAAAATTGCGTATGTCAATTATGATCGGATTAAAAAAAATATACGTATATGTATATTTTTAAAGTGTTGATAAAATGCTCTGGTTTATAGGAGGACACAAATATATATACATTATGTAAATATGTTAATGAATAATGATTTTTTCTAGAAATATTGATGAAGTAACAATAATGATCGAAATATGTATGTAAAACTTTTTGTACCCAAACTCTGTAGCTTAATAAGTAGAACTGTCGTTGTAAATCAATTATCTTTTGCAAAAACAGCAAGCTTCACCAAGAAGAAGGGGACGAAGAAAGCGATTGTAAAATCTACGTGTGCAACACTTACTCTAGAAAATTGCGTCAAGCAAACGCTCTGCTTGCTGGTTGAGTCTCTTGAATGTTCTCTACAAACGAAGCGAAACTTATTTGCTAGTTGGTACCACACCAGTATTATCCACGTATGTACAATACTATACTTTATGTTGATAACGTATTAAGAGTGTAAATAGGGAACGATAAATGTATGGTATTGTACAAATGACGCGCGTGAAAGTGAGATCGAGGGGAGTTAAGGTTATAATATTGTTGTAGTCGTTAAGTTACAAGGGCGTGTATAAGTAGCTATGGGTCAGGCAAAGGAGTATATATAGGAGAATAGATTGATAGTGAAATGTTTTGTTGACGCTTGGGCCCAGGAGGGCATGATCCAGCAAGTGCCTTGTAAGGTGTTTGTGGGACGTTGCACCGAAGACCTGACTGCGGACGACCTGCGCGACTACTTCAGCAAGTTCGGCGAGGTAACGGACGTCTTCATCCCGAAGCCCTTCCGTGCCTTCTCGTTCGTGACGTTCCTCGATCCCGAGGTTGCCCAGTCGCTCTGCGGCGAGGACCACATAATCAAGGGTGTCTCGGTTCACGTGTCCAACGCCGCGCCCAAGTCTGACGGCAACAACCGGGCAAACTTTAACAATATTAACTCGAACATGCGCGGGCGCGGGATGTCGGGCGGCCCCATCGACAATAACATGCAGGGAAATTACCAAGGTAACAGGTACATGGGCCACTCGGGCAACAACATGGCCCCGAACGGCTGGAACAATCCGGGCAACCGCGGTAACCTCGACATGCCCAATCTCCAGGCGCTGGGTATCACGGGCCAGAACAACGGTGGCGGCCAAGGCACCGGGATTTCCAATCCTTTGGCTATGGGCGGCCTTAATCTCTCGGCGTTGCCGATGAACCCGGCCCTGGTGGCGGCGGCCCTCAACCAGGCCAGTTGGGGCCTGGCCATCGGCAATCACCTCCAGAACCAGGGAAACGACCAGGGCTACAACAACCAAAACGGCCCACCAGGACAGCCACCATCAGGCAACAACAACATCGGTAATAGCAACAACTCGGGCTTCCTCAGCTGGATGAACCAGGGCGGTGGCGGCGGCGGCGGCGGCGGAGCCGGTGGCGGTGGCGGAGGCGGCGACGCCGGCGGCGGTAACCCTGGCTCGGGTGGCCCTGCCGGGCCCAACAATCCAAACGGACCATCGCAGGGTGCCTGGCAGAACCACCCGTCCCAGCGGGAACCCAAATCGAATACCTTTCTTAAGTACGAGTAAATTCCACCGGGCCTCGGAATCTACTCGCAAAAATCAGGCCCGTTACCACCCGAGTCTTAGAGCTAACAGCAGCAGCTACAAACACTATAACCACGTCTCGTCATCATAGCCACGGAGCCGGAGCGCAACAGCAGCGGTAGCGAAGAGATAGCGAAACAGAGAGATTAAGATACGGAGAGAGAAGGTCGTACGCGCCGAATGAGTGCCGTTCACGGGCGCGCGCGCACCACCTTCTGCTCTTCTTTCTAGTCCCCGGATGCTTCTCTTCTTCGCGTGTTCAACACAGGTTTTTTTTTTTTTTAGCAGAACAGTAATTTGTATAGCGCAGTAGGGACTCATTGCTTCTCGTTACACGTTGAGATCATCACAGTCAATTTATTTTTTTTTTTTTTTAATTTTCTTTTTCTGTTTTTTACCCATCACCATTTTTCATTGTTATTTTTATAATTGTAAACCATCAATTTTAGACCGCACGCACTCGCACAAGAGACCACAGCATTGAGTTTAAAACTTTATTTTCAATCGCGAAACTCGTGTACCGTTTGTGAAAAAGTTATGGACTGGAGGGAGCAAGATTTGAATCGAATGGATGTGTCAGTTAATTTGTGATTGATTCCCTTGCTCTTGTGCGAGTGTGAGCACATTATTTTATTTTTTCTCAGTTTTTTTTTTAATTTCAGTAATTTGTCTTCGACATTGCATTTTTGAGAAGAAAAATATATTGGAGACGGACGGCAAATCGCCCTGACTCCGTTGCTATGAACATACGCAGGTCAACACACGCAAACACTTTTAATCGATCCCCAAGCTCGAGTAATTTTCACACGAAATATTACGAAGACGAAAAGATCGAGGGAAAAAAAAAAAAAAAAAGATTCAAAATAACTCTCTCTCTTAGAATATTTATTATTAGTTTTTTAACGAATTTTGCGCAGCACAATTTTCTCTAGTGGGTGATGAAAAATTCAAATTTACACGTATTTACAAGCAAACAAAACAGAAAAAACTCAATGTACAGACGAATAAGAGAATATACAAGTACGAATCGTTGATTAATTTTTTTTTTATAAGTAAAAGTTGAAACGATCGTTACAATATATCGTTGAAAAAAAAGTGCAAAAAGCTGTAAGTCGACTTGAGTGACGATACACATATTAAACGCATTAGTCAAACGAACATAGGATAAAATGATGAACAAAAAAAAAAGCGGCGAGTGAAATTTTATGTCTGAAAGCTAACTAGTTATAACGACGACGAAATATCGAAATATATTATTGTAATACGGGATGAAATGAGATATTTATTACAATGAGTGTATACGTGTTTTGGATAAACGCGGGTACGATTCGTGATACCGGCTACTGTTTAAAACGGAAAGAAAGCTTAATGACAAATGAGAAAAACTAACGATATTTTTAATGATAAAATAGTGCAGCGTGTATTATACGTTTCATTTTATTGAAAGTTTATTATCGCAGTGTGTTTTACATATATAAATACTTCACGACGTATTCGAGAATGTTAATTTATTAAATGAGAAAAAGGATATGAAGTGCATAGACATTTATGTAGATGGATGAATTTTCAAAGTTAATATAGTTTATTTCAGAGAAAAACAAAGGGAGTAGCTTAAAAAAATATGTATAGAAAAAGAGAGAGAGAAAGAGAAAACGTGAATAAAAGCGTAAGCGAAAGAGTTTGAGGGATGTAAGGGTATATGAGCATGATCAAAGGATAAAATTATATGACGAGCGACAAAGTGAGCGTGGCTTTATGAATTTTAAATGAGTAAAAAAAAATGAGGGTATTTTGTGTTTGCTTGGAATAAGGAGAGATTCTCTGCGTGAGTGTGAAAGAGGACGTGAGAAAAAGAGAGAATACAATGAAGAACAGCTGCTGTGGCGAACGAGAGAAAGAGTATAACAGCTGAGAAAGACGAGTGTAACTTTAGATATGTAAGAATACATAGAAGTAGACTTTCATCATTAGCTTATAATACGAGTTATATTTACAATATTAAAGAAAGCAAGTAAAAAGTAAAAAATAATAAATAAAAAAGTCATAATGGTAATTTTAATTGCGTTAGGGCTTTGTAGCATACATCTTACTCATTATTCATTATTAAATTTTTTTTTATCTTTTATTATATTACATGCGACTGATCTTCAATCAATCGACGACGAATTTCTGAATTGTTTTCATGAGAATTTTTTGTCCAGTTAATATTTTAATAAATGTAACCTTAGCATTTTATCCCAATATTTTTTTTTATTTCTCAACTAATTCGATCCTTTCTTATTTTAAAAACTAAATAAAAGCCTCGTGGCGTTCGCCTTAACGCGACGTTGATGACTCAATTATTGTAACAATGATTTTTTTATTCAAGTTTTTTCAGCTCACTATTTGAATATCAAATTTTTTTTCAAAAGAGTGGCAGTAAAGCAAAGACGCTGCGTCTTTTTAATTCTGCACTCTTTAGTGAACTTTGAAAAGAAGGTCAAGTCTTCTAGTGCAGTTAGCACAATACATGTATAATCGTATCACTTTAGTAGCATCAAAGCCCACGCACCTTTCACCTTTTACATTTTTATTTTTCGAGACATGCAAGTAAACATCTGTATTGATCAAAGTGCAATACAAATTCATACTACAAAGCATAATGGTCAGGTGAAATGAAAGCATGAGACTTGATGGGTGCAAATCTATTAGTTATGCCTTTTTCATATTTTTCACTGAAAACAATATTTCGGTAGTTTAGCCATTGATAGTTGCAATAAACACGAGGTATTATCATATACCTGGTGTCAAAAACGTGGATTCTAATTATCTGAAATACTGATTTTTGGCATTATTTTCCTCTCGATCCCAAATCCATATTCGATCATTCGGAGGTGGAATGCTGTTACGTATGTGCATCTGAGAGGTATGAAGAGAGTACTGGAAAATCTGCTGTGAAAGAGTCTTGAGTGATTTTCACGAGAAGCTGTCGTCTTGCAAACTGAGCCAACCTGCACACCTTACCTACTTTTTGAAAGTGACCAACAAATTGTATCGTTTTAGTCAATGCAGATATTTTCGATGCCATCAAGGATTATTGAGAGTAAATGGGTGATAAATCATACACCCAAGCACGTAGGAGTAGTGTGTCTCTTACAAACTGCTTTGAGACGGCAACGTCTCTTGTTTTCTAATAATATATCTATGAAATAATTAATTAATCAAATTCAAATAAAATTGTGCATGGTGTGCTCGTTAATGTGTTGTTTGTGAAACAGAAACGTGTCGAGAGAAAGATCATTTGTATACTTTATTAAAAAACAAAACTACGCAACCAATTTGTTTTCTCTCGACGTGTTTTCTTTGAATGTGTAATCAATGTCTTGGAAATTTTTGATGATTCGTGTATATGTGTAAGTCCCGAACTCTCAGGGCTGTTGGATATACGTTTTTTTCATACCAGAGGCTGAGTAAAGCGTGAAATACTATTTGCTCGAGCTTTTGTGTGGATGTGTCGGTGTGACATGGAAAAATCTTCTTGTGTTTAAAAGCTGACGATTGAAATGGAAAAGGTAAATTTTAGTGGTCGATAAACCAAAATGACGATCCATGCGCTCGTGAGTCCTCGGAGTTCAGGTATAAGTAAAAAATGAAGAAAAAAAATATATACATAGAGATGAATATATATNTATACCACTAATATATATATATATATATATATATATACACAAACACAGTAGCAACTTTTAAGGTATTGAATAAAATTAACGCGTGTAGTTGTGTTTGATATTTATACTCCGTAACTGTAAAATTGTGTTGAATGACTTGCAGGAAAAAAAAGAGAAATACGTAGTGAAGGAGATTAAGAGAGAAAGCCAGAGCGGAAGAAATACCAGAGAGCAAGAGCATGAGAGATTGACGAAGTAAAATAAAAAAACAAAAATATATGGTACATCATGCATATACCTGATGGTGATAATTTCATGAATGAAACACAGTTTTCGTAAATAGAAAAACCGAAAATGTGCTTACGTGCGTTTGATAAACATTTTTCACTCGGACAAATAAAAAAAAAAAAAAATAACAATTTACTGTCTGAAAGAGAGCAGCAGATGATCGAGTGTTTTATACGCAAAACCAAAAAAGATGAGCACGAGAAAGAGCGAGTAAGTACGTTAGATTGTGAGGTCTTTTTAAATAGGACAGATGAAAATGTGAACGAAATAAAAAACTTATAATGCGTCTAATTTGTAATGGACAAAGACTTTAGCCTAAGAGAGATAAAACTTAAATAGTCAAAATAACGAGAGTGAGATTAAAGCAAAAAAGCTCGGTCTCTTCCAAACCGTTGACACAATGTTTTTGCCGTAATAACAAAATATTGATGATAATAATGATAAAAAAAAATTTTACAAACAGACTTAAGGGGATTTCATATTTTCCCGGATAAATTACACCTTATGTAAAATAATGACTTTTTTAAATTTTCGTTATATATTCAGATGTCCAAAGTTACAAAAAAATGGTCAATATACCGGGTTCCCTGTGATATAAATAAAAAACGGCGTATGAAACAATGAGAAAAATGTCCACAATGACATTAATGCATGCATAAAGAGTTCAGTTTGAGTAAGTAAAATAGTATGAAAAACTTGCCTTGAGTATTTTAAATACAGTTTCTATAGATTAAAGTTAATATAATGGCGCGTATGAAAAAAAAAAAAAAAACGCAAGGTAAGAATAAATTTTGGTTAAAAGAAATGAGTAAATAAAGAAAACGAGAATAAAAAAAAATATTGATGCCTTGCAAACGATTTGGAAGCGATCGAGACGAATTTGTAAATACAGTCGGCGAATGATTTTTAAAGTATTTATAATTTTTATAATAATGTTGCTGATGAGATTGGGTAAAATCGTTGTTTAGAACTCTGTTGTGGATGAAATAAGTTGAAGAAAAAAAAAATCGGTATTTCCAAAGATGCGTGTTGAAATGGTACGAATTGTTAGTTCAATTTTTTTAAATTAAACCAAAGTTTATTGATGAGATTAAACGTGTTTAATGTGTAAAAACAAAAATACCAACTCTTAAAAGACTGCTCTTGAGAATGTTAGAGACCTTGCCACTGTATAAAACAAAATATAATGGTAATGAATAAAATGAGTTGACGTGTTGAGTGTGATAACGAATGGTATCTCGAGCCGTTCGTTGAAGTGATCCGAACGTATACAACAAAATGATAAACATGTGAATGTAAGTATAGTGGCGGGATAAGACAAGAGAAAAATATGTGTCACGTGGAGACGACTATATTTTTGAGTCACTACAATTTACGTGTACTAAAGACAACGAGAAATATGAATAAAAGATGTACATACTGATCGAATGCCACAGTGAAAAAGAGACTGTTCTCTTTAGAGAAAAACGTTCCCTGGCAAGACAATTTGAACAACCCATGACTTCTTAAGTATGTATGGAAATGTGATTGAATAAAACTAAATGAGCAAATTCTAACTTGACTTGGAAAAAAAGAAAAAAATCGAGCTCTTTTCTCTCAGAATCTCGATACCCCACATACATACATGAAAAAAACAAATGCGATAAAACTACGAATGAAAAAAATGGAAGAGATGGATTCTTTAGGTATATACTTATGGAAAAGAACGAGCAGATTCGTGATTGTGGGAAACGAATACTGAAAAGTGGAAGAAAAAAAAATGTTCTTACGTTTGTCTACATCGACGTAATCTATTAGCCATTTTTCAAAGAATCTACTAATAATTATGCGTCATCTTTACCCACAATTTCTACTTTTTTATAGTTTCTTAAAAAAATATTAGGTATTTGGAATTTACATGTTATTGACAACTTGATTTACTATTACGATTTTTTGTTTCCCTTCTGCATGTTATTACATTAATGTACTTCTTTCCTTGAGTTAATTTTTATGTTTGCTGTGTATCCAAACCTTACTGTATCAATAACAATTACCTAACGAATGAGTATTTAGTTTTTGGTAAGACAAAAAAGCATTAAAAAGGGGTAAGTCATGAGTGTACGCAGAGTGATTAGAACATGGAAGAGAAATTGAAAACCAAAGTGTGAAAAGAGATAAACAGATATGATAAAGATTGTATATTTATTGCTGAAAGGTGTGTGCTCAAGCGAATCCTTCATGGTGGAGTGTTCTTAATTTTTAATGTAATATACCTTTAATGTTCTGGAGTAAATGAAATAAAGTTATATATGCAACGAAGGGATGGTTTTTTTTTTTGTATATGAAATACTCGTAATTGAATATTTTTTTCCTTATTGTTTGGATGTTGCCTACTTCCTGATGGTTGAAGAAGATATGTTTGAATAAAAAATAAATTATATAAGTGGTAAGCTTTTAATTTGATTTGAAAGCAATTGTTTCATCATGAATTTATTCAAACGAGATTAGGATGTTGTGGTGAACTTGTGAGTTGAAACGATCGTCAGTGAGCTGTGAAGATTGAAGTCTGCAAATTTGACATTTTGACTGGGCTATATTTTTGAGTCAATGATTAGAGATCGAATACAAGTAGGTGAAAAAATGTTTGCAATGTGGAATGTGACTATTCATTTTAACACACGTTGTGAATTCACTTTAAATTTAATGCATGGAATATATTATAACGGGAATGTAAGCGTGTTAACTGATGAGAGCTACATTTTTGTGTTTAATGATTTTATTATAGTAAATAAATTATTGAATGAAATTAAAATTTCTTTTTGCAGGTACCCAAAATGTTTCAGTATCAACCTCCGTGAAGAGACGTTTTGTTGGAAAATTCGTGTTTCTACTGTGGATTAAAAAAAGGAATTTTAAAATGGTTTCTATGAAGTTTCAGTAAAATAAATTGTTTGAGAAAGAATCTTAAGTTTATTTCAGTATATTAGCATAACATCTAATCTAACAAACTGAATTTGCATACATGTAAAGTATAAAGTGCCTTTAGAAGCAAATAATTGAACACGAAAAAATTTTGACGTTTAATAACAATAAATAACGTAAAAAATGTATTTACTTCACAATTAAAAGAAAATAAAGTAATGCAGTAATATTTGTAATATTGATCAAGTTAATAAGCTGTTGGCTACTTTTTTTTCTAACTTACATTTTATTTTGAGACTCTGCAACTTCCTACAATCAAATAAAAATATTGTAGGTATGTTGTTACTTGGTATACAAATTATTTATTCACGTAGTGAACAAATTTTCGTCAGATTTATCAATGCTGATGTATTTTACGTTTGCTCCGGTACAGAAAAACTTCATAAGAATCATTCATTCATCAATTTACAAAACCAATATTTTTATTCAGTTATGCGCCCTGGGGTACTCGTACTTTGGAAATGTAAATCTATAGCTATGGCTCTTTTATATTTATGTATACCTTTCAGTAGCACTAGAGCTGCCCGGGTCGCATAAACGAATACAACCATTACGAATTTCAATTCTTAAAAAAATATAAGTAGTCAATCTTTTTTTTCTTTTTCTAGTTTTGGGATGCACATAAATTTGATACTGGTTTTACAAATGAAAATTTTTAAAATTACTGTGTTGTAAGTGTTTCTATTCATTTAATTGTTGTTTTTTATTTAAGTTTTTCAAACTCTAATTCAAATCTTTTTCAATTTTTGGGTAAAATATAGTGTCATTCTTATATTTGTATCTGGCGTATAATTCATCTTTTGTAATCTTGATTATCACTTGTAATAAACAGTAGTTTACATCATGGGAAGTCAATTGAAAAAGTCGCTCATCACGCAAGATTTAAATTTGACCTTCTCTACAGTGCTTTTAGAACTGATAATGACTTACCAAATTTTTCGTTTTTTTTTTTCTAATAAAACTTTATCGAAATATCAGTTTATGCTATGAAGGTTAAATAGGATAACTAATATACAGTTACATTATCTTTGATATGATCTACAAAAGTGTTGGAAGATCAAACATATTCAAATCTGAAACCGCTACTGCAATCTCTGGTAAACGGACTCTCAAAGAATGCTTGGAACGCATTATTTGGGTTCATAGCTAAAAATAAAAACAAAAAACGTTGTAAGAAAATTTTCAACCATCCCAAAGTTACATGTATATGTAAGTATTTACAGTGGAAATCGTAGCCTTCAGCTTCATCTAAGTCATGCCCACTGTCATATCGTGAACGCTTCTTAGGATCAGATAAAATTCCATACGCTTCGCCAACGTCTTTGAACTTCTTTTCTTGTTCTTTTTTCTCGCCTTCCGTAGCATTTGCATGCCGGTCTACGGATAAAATTAATTTTTAACAAAGTGTATGAAAAAAATCACTTTGTTATAAGTGTATTTAAAATACCTGGATGATGAACCATGGCCCTTTTTCTGTAGGCTTTCTTAATATCATCAATAGAAGCGTTCTTTTCAATACCAAGAATTTTGTAATAATCTTTTCTCTTCGATTTTTTCAAAGCCATTTTGGCTTCAAATAATAAACGTTTGTTTTCTACAAGTAATACGAAATAATTAATTATTTTTATATTAGATTTATTAGGTTTTCGCTTACCCCGACTTTTGTCCATTTTACATGCTTTTTCATAATCACGAACTGCGTCTTCAAATTCTTGAATTTCCATGTAACATGATGCTCTTCGCAAAATAGCTTTCAGATAATTCTCATCCAGTTTTAACGCTTCATTGCACTCACTTATAGACTCTTGATATTTTCTCAACTAGAGTAGGGATTCAATACGTTTAATATCCTTCCTTATGTTTCAAATCAAATTAATTCAAACTTAAATTTACCTTAGCTGCCACAGTTGCTTTATTGAAGTGTAATTTGGCGTTAGTTTTCTTATTTTGTGGATCAATAAGCAGTGCTTCTGTGTAAAGATTGTATGCTTCTTGATATTTGTCTGCTTTAAAAGCCACATTTCCTTGATCTTTTTTTTGCTTCAACAACTTTGCTCTCTAAAATACAATATTTTTATCTAATTCACTATTTAATCGATAAAAACTCTGTACTATATTTAATTTTTTAATTTTGATTAATATTTACAACGTTTTTTTAATACCTCAGCATCTTATTTATATTTTATTTATACTTTTTGCTTGGATTCAGGGTGGCTGAAGTTATATTAATATAAAAGAAATATTTTTGTCTCATGTTATTTGGTACCCAGAGTAAAAACATCAAGGTTAATAAAAAATAGTTTTGTTTAATTATAGCATCTTTTAGACAGAAAGCCAAGGATGAGTATTAAGAGCTGCAAGATTTTATGAATTTTCATAAAGTAATACTCACATATTTTTATAGAAGGTTTTTTTTCAACTTTGATGTTCCTTTTATCTTTTTAATAACAATTAAATATAAATCAATTTATAATACAAAATTTCTCATTAGGACTAAAAACAGTGCTGATTAAAAGGGATAAAACTAAAATTTTGTAGTCACGTATAAAATGTGGTTTGTAAAAGAGTGTACCTTGTATATTTCCAAGGCTCTCTTGTGGTCTGGAGCAAGGCGCAGAACTTGCTGGAAATATTTAAATGCTTGGTCAATGTTATCTTGATAGTACAAACAGGTTCCCCTGACGTATATAGCATCAGCATTTGATTTGTCGGTATGTAAAACGTCACTGAAATAAAATAAAATTTTAAGTGTAAATTTCGCTATACACGTACGTTTTGATATCAAAAATAATAAAATACAAACTTAGCACTCATTTCCGCTTCAGCAAATCTTCCTAAGTAAGCCAGGCATTCTGCTTTTTGAACTTTGAACCTAGCGCAATACGTACTAATTTCCAAACAACGATCCATGCAATAAACGACCTAAAAATTGATTTAATTATTAGGTAATAACTCTAAAGAATTCAATGATGTCATTTTAGAAAGATTTTACATACTTTGCGGTAATCTTGAACATTATAAGCTGTCGCAGCATCTTGTAAAAATTTTTTTAGACGCAGAGTATCATTGATTTCAGTAGTGATCGATTGCTTTGAGGATTCTAGCTGTCCTAGCTTATTTATTACAGCCTCAGTCTCAATTATGTCTCCTAATACTAAAGAGCATCGTATAAGACGTTTGTATGCCTGAAAATATTAAATATCAAGTAAAATAGACCGTAAGTATGCGATATGAAAAGTAACGAGTTTCACCACCTTAACAAATGTAGGGTCCAATTCAAGGCATTTTTTTGCATCTTTCAGTGCATCTCTGTATTGAGATAACATCATGTAGCAAGCGCATCTGTTACTATAATAAGTGGCAACATCAGGGCATAGTGCTAAAATAGAATGACATAAACGTAAGTATAAAAAAATGATGATTTTTAAATTACATGAGGCCCAAGATGTTAGTTAATTATTGAATAATTCAACTCACCAATAACCTCCGAGTACCCAACAAGAGCCTGTTTGTACTGTTTACAGGCATAGAGCTGGTTGGCTTCTTCCTTTTTTAGTTCTGCTAGCCTGAAACATAATTAAGGAAAAAGTATGTTACAGTTGTCTTTATTTGTCAAGTCTATACGCTTTCACCCATCACATACTGAGCTCTCATACATATACACACGAGGCTGCAATCTAAATGGTCAGAGCTTTGATAGCAAGTTTTTTTTTCTTCCAACCAAACCAACTTACAGAGCAGAAAAAGAAGTTAGAGCTGTGCTGCCAGTCATTTGCAATTAATTCCGAATCGCCATAGCAATCAACAAAACACACCTGAAGGTAATTACAGTATCTATTTACCGAAAGTCCTACCAAAGACATACCGTACCTTGCATTGATTCCAAGCATTGTAAAATTCTTACATCAGTAGCTATATAGTATAACTATGTAAAATGGCTCACTAAAACTGATGAGTAATCCATCAAGAGTAAACAAAAGGTTTCAAATTTCGACTCCGCGTTGGGGCTCAACTAACCATGTTTTTCTACGACAATTTCGGCTGCAGACAGAACGAGCTTCGCGAGCAAGTGTATAGAACCTAATAAAAGCTCGCAATGCGTGCGTAGGTGCATTGACCCTATATACCTAGGTATGTATTGCACAAGCCCACGCGTGGATCGCGCAGATGTATAGACGTTTCTCAAGTACTCCAAGGACAGTAGCAGATAGTATGCAATCATAAAAATAAAAAAAAAAAATAAATAAAAAAAGACAATCGAAAAAAAGTGTACTTACTCCTGAGTCGTAAGACTGCTGGTAACGGGCTGGTTGGCATCGGCTGGGGTCGAATCAGCTGCGTTGCTTGCCTCAGCCAAATCGATGTTGATCACCTCGTCTGCCATGTCGTTCGCGAGACACCTTTTACTTTCTCTCCCTCAGCTGCGCTATACTTTTGATTGTTTGTATACTTAGACTCGTATAGGTTGCTTGGAGCTGGGACACCCGAAGACAAAGGGAAGGACCAGGGAGAGACACCACTACTACGAGAATGTCGCTCGGTGCTTGTCAGCTGTTATCCGTCCGTCCCACAATCCTCCGAGAACCACAACTTTTTCTCAGCAGCCCAGCCAAAACCAACCACACGCCAGGTTACAGGTCGCAACTCGCAACACCTACTCACCTTATTGAAAAACATATAGCTTGCTCTCTCTCTTTCTCTCTGGCTCTAGAACGTTTACCGCAGACGTGCACCAGCTACTAGTGTCACCTAGTTACCTTCTGGTGGATCAATGCGGATTTTGTACTTTTTACTTACCATTGGCTGTAAATGTCGTATACGTACGACCGCGCGATTTTATTAAAAAACAACTAAGTATAAGTATATTTATATCCCCAAGTACTATTTCGAGGTGCAGGTATATGGACTAGTATATCAACCGCAGAAATAACTTGAGGAACATATTTAAATGTATATAAAACAATAAAATAAGTACAATTCGCAACAACACTAATAATTATTAACACAGTTGGGTAGGGTTGATTATTGTTACCAATTAGCTTTACTGATGAACAAAAAAATTTTCCCTCCTTTGTCGGGACATTCACCTTATATAGTTTTTTCAAAAAATTTCCCATACCCACGTAAATGATTATCGATTGCCAATTTCGCTGTGCGCAACCAATCATGGATGTTTCTTCTTGCGAAGTTGGGCGCGTTACAAATGAGTGAACAATTATTGACAAACGTTCCATTTCAATCAACTACAATATTATACTTTACTCAGATGCTAATTTTTCGTACTCTAGTGCACATGTTAATTGCAATTATGTATTGCATCATGTTTTTTTGGGTAGCATTGAAACTGTGTATACCTACTTACTTACAATTTTTTTTGTGTAGAATTTTTTCGAGTACAAGTGTAATTCTACACATGCGTGGATAACGTTTGTGCCAATCGAAAAAAAGTATGTGCAATCATTATTGCAATCATTTAATATAATTGTATCGGTCATTATATTTTTCGATTTCTACAAAGTCGTGGTAATAAGTTTTTTTTTTTTTTCTAATGATCATTGGACAATTTTTGACTTGATTTTTAAATCAACTGCAAAACTTGTAAGTTTCGGTAAAAATGAGATTGGGGTGCCGACAATTCGGCACTGGTACTGAATATTATATACGTAGTACAAGTTTATCACAACCATTTTACGGTATTTTCACTATATGAAGGGTAAGAAGCAACTAAATTTATTTTACTCGACTTGTAATTATTTTATAAATTTGAAAGTTCAAAGTTTTGTTGAATTACTCATATTCGCGCGTGTGCAATACATTAAAATTACTCGTTAACTATAAATAAAAGTTCAACTTCTTGCCGTTTTAACTTTGACGTCGTGCTAATATAACGATAACAAAACTATTGTTCGTGGCGCCGTTGGTATACTAGTACTGAACGATTTAGGTATAAATACTGCAGCCGTGAAAGTGAAAATCGAAGATAACTTTAGTAAGTTTAATCATGTTGGCGAAGGCACTTCTCTTTACCATACTCGGGGTTACCTTCGTGCTATCTTTACCAGATCGTGGCGAATATCATCATGAGGTAAATATTGTTCATTAATTTTTCGTAGCTTTGATGTTATAATCTTTCCAATACAATTATCATGTGTTGCAGTGTTCGAGTGCTCTTTTCTTTTCCATTCCTCGTACTTTTATTTTAATAAAACAAACACTTAATTACTTGTTCCTTTGTAGTCTTGAATTCGAATTCAATTAAATGACCCTTTCAATAGAAATTTATACTTTTTCCAATGGTCCAGCTATTGCCTTTTGGAAAAAATGACGGAATTTTCCTTGGCCAAGTCAATTGAAATGCCATATTTTAAAACCTTTTTTGAATAATGAAGAGTAATTATCTCCTATAATCAAATAAAAAACTAACGATTTTGCTTTTTATTTTTTTTCCCTTTACATAGTTGACATAACACAACAATTACACCTCAGATTGTAGACTATATTAACCTTATCCAATACATACCGAGATCTTGCCCTTGCACAAACGTACCATCCCACTATCAGTATGTGTAAAATTGATCTATATCCTATTTTTGGATTTATTAAAAAAATTGTCTTTTTTGTTTTAAGGATAAGGGGTGATTAGACAAGAAGTTAGCACAATAGAAAAATTATTACTCATTTGTTCTCCAAAACTACCACATCAAGCTACTTGTACGTTGTTGAAGCTATTGCTACAATGTCTAATAAATCCACCTATATCCGCGGATAACGCTGTCGGCTCCAATCCGAATGTTACGTATTTTACAGAGGTTTAGTGTATTTTAAATTCTATTGGGTGCGTGACGATCTTGATTTTACGATGATTTCCTCAGAAAGCGTGGTACCCCTATTTTTGCTCAGAGCCGGTAACGCTACACCTCAAGCGCTACCCAGTACGTTATTATTACAAATTGTTTTTCAGTGGGGCCCCAAAAAATGATGGCTTGTTTTTGGTCACTTACAACACAAAAAAAAACAAAAATTTCTTTTTTTAAGTAAAAATCTCTTTTCAGTTTTGGAAACATGGCGGTTTTAGTGAAATGTTTCACGTAAATCTATAATTAATTTTAGACATGAAATCACCTCTATTCCATGTTAATTTCGTTTTAATGGATTTCGAAAAACGGGCATCGGTAATCGGTATCTCAATGCGATAACTTTCAATTATCACAATAATTTGCCACGACAGAAAAATGCCCTGTAGCTATATACTCTAACGATTTGTTTGGACTTCACCTACAAGATAAAATTCTATTTCAGACGTCTGATCGGTCGGTTTTAACATGAAAATAGCTTATTACGCTTTTGCACTTAAGTATACATGCAACGTGAAAAAAAGGGGGAGGGGAGGGGGGAAGGTAGACAATCTTGTTTATACCTTAGGCAGTGCAAAAATAAGAAATGAAGTAAGCAATGTTGTACACATGTAATGTGGGGCAGGCATTTTTTAGATTGTTTTATTGATTGTCTTGCATTTGTACCTCGGTAAAAAGCAAAAGCGAATTTTCCAAGTTTTAATCAGTACATATAATATACCTTAAGCCACGAAATTTGACGAGTGCAAATTAAAAAAGATTGATTAATAAAATCTTTTAAGTTTCATTTTGTAGATCTTTAATTGTGTGCACTTGAACGAATGTAAATTTTCAACTTATCTGATGCACATATTGATTTCAAGTGGTTAGCTGTTTTGTGAGAGAGTCACGAATACAATTTAATTATTTAATTTTACACTTTTTTCGATTAAATAATGATTCAAAGTTTACTCATACAACAATACAAGTCGTATCAGTTTACAAACAAAAATGCTTGTCTCGTCATCGTTATAATGATGATTTGAGCTGTTGAAAACAACAGTGGAATTCATCGAGTGATTCAGAATTAAACGCAAATTAGGGCATATCAATTAACGACTTGATATAATTTAAATTATTGTTTTCCGAGTGCAACTCATCAAAGACTAATTTCCAATGAGTCAACATTCTGAAATGACGTACAGCAATAATAGGCGAAATATATTTACAAATATGACTTTTCGGAATTTTCATCTTTCGTAAGTTGGTCATTAATGACAAATCGTACTCGGAACAAAATGATTTTAGTTTTATGAATTTTTGACTTGAAATCTGTGTTCAACTGAAAAATTAAACTTTTTTTTACAAAAGACCAGTCGTTGAAACCATAATTGTTGTTGACGAGGAACGTCAAATTATTATTTTCAAATGAGTCCACGATGAAATACTTTATCACAAAAAATGAAAAATCGACATAAGATTTAAACAACTAAATTTTTTTGAAGGACAATGAAGTTGTGGGTGCATCAAGCCCCAAAGCGGACACCCAAATCTTGGAGACCGAAAAACCCAAGAAAGTCGATACAGGTCACATCACCACAGTTCCAACCGCAGAATCGCGTTGGCACCGAATAAGGCGGAAGTTTGGTGTTTTGAAGAAAAAATGCAAAAGGTTGTTCAACGAGGTACAAAGAAAATGGCACATTGTCACGAACGAAGCACACAAGCTCGATGAAAGTTTTTCGAATGCGAAAAATCGCACGTTGAAACTCATCAGCAACGCTCAAGTATTATTCAAGAAACTCGTCATCGACGGCGAGCACGTATTCCAAGAGTTTGACGAGGTTTGCGACGATTTGAAAAAGTCGATCAAAGATCTGAAGGAAGAAGGTGGCCAGTTTTACGAGGACGTTAACAATTTGCTGAAGGAGTTGAAAACCGATATGGCTGATATTAAGGTAAGCCTCCAACTTTTATCCGCATAAAATGATTGTACAACGCAACTTGAAACTTCAACACTGCATTCAATGGTTTTATTTTTCATTTTTACAGAACGATATGGTGAATGGCGAGTTGGAAAAACTGAAGGGCAGTTGGGGCAGCGTCAAGCACAAATGGACCGAGGCCGAAACGAGTTTTCACCGTATGTTCAATGTACTGATGGATGATTATCATAAAACCAAGAATGATACTCGTGTTTCCATACATGGGGTCAAGAAGGATTTTAAGGGTATGAAACTAGAGGTGAACGAGTTATTGGTCGAAGCAAAGAAAACCTACAAGGAAATCATAGTCGATGGGAAAGACGGTTATGCAAAGTTCGAAAGAGCATACGAGGAGTTGGTACAAATTTTGGACACCTTGAAACCCGAATTTGACGATATTTGCCAAGGATTGAAAAATTTATTGTCCGAGTTTAAATTCAACGTCCAACAGCACGAGAAGTTTGCCGAGTTAAAGGCAGCACATGTCGGGTCCGACAGTGTGGTTACAAAACCAGCCGCATGAGTGCCATTTCTCGAATCAATGGCACACAATAACCCTGTGATTTTTAATTTTAGAAAGAGCTAGATGGGCGCATATACTTCGTGAAATGAAGATTACAATTGAGTTGTTATATTTTTACCACATATCTTGTGTTGTAAATACCTCCTGCCGGAGGTGACTAATGTATGAAATAAAATAAAACAAACTACGTGTATGTTATTCACTTTACCGTGTAATTAATCTACTTGAAGATTAAATAAATACTTACAAATATAATCAGCTTCTACCTGCAGTGCATTTGTCTATACGTATACATTATGTCGTTAAATCTTAAGAAAAAAGTGTTATTTCAGAACGTCTAACTGTAATGCCGATTGTTTCACTGTAAAAATCTCCAGTTGGGTAACCATAAATCGTTCGAAATAGTAAAAAAAAATTTTTGTTTTGTTTTTTGACTCACACGCGTGCTTTTTTGCGTCACGCATTTTTCCCGGGGGTAAATTAAAATCAAGGCGCTTCATTGCAGGCATTAACCCTCTTGGCCCTTTGAAAAACCGATACCTCAGCAAGTACAGAGAGCCTAATTAGACATCCTACATTGTGTCTTCATCGAGTAGAGGAAGTAAGAGTGCCAAGGGCGGAGCCTCGTCGGGTCAAAAACTGCTAATAAAATAGATGATTTTTTTCACGATCGTAACAAGCAACGACTTTTACTTATATTATACAAATTGAACAATTTGCACGTGAGCGCTGGGGTGGCATTAATATATATATATACACCGTAAGAGGGATAGATGAATTGCACCTATCGAAGGGCGGTGCCCTATATATTTGGCCGGCTGTTAATTACAACGACAAAAGTGACACATAAAAAAAAAAAAAAAAAAAAAAGCTCTTGTGGACAACGCACGCGTGTATCGCAACGAAAGGGGGCAGAGGTATACGTATACATCGCTCGAGCGGGAAATGCGAGCGCCTTGGAGAGGGCAAAACGCAGCCAAAAGAACGCGTGTGTGGCAGCCACTAAAGAGCAGCCTCCTCTTGCCGCGAGCTTTTTTGTTTCCATCCGCCACAGCCTTGGGCGCTCGGTCGGGGCTTTCGCGGCGCTTGCCCCCGAAACAGACAAAAAAAAAAGCGAGGCGTATACTCGTCCTTACGCGCGCATCAACAAACAAACTGCACATTCACATGCTAAAAGACGTCGAGTGCTCCGGGCGGTGAAACACCGCGACTTTTCAACGACATTTCTCGATATTGACATTATCCCCCCCCCCTTTTTTTTTCCTCGTGCTTGAGGAAACTGTTGCCATACTGTAACCTGCACATGCAGGTTTTTTTTTTTTTTTTTAATACCAATGAAAGATGTTGAAAGAAAGGTACACGATTTTTAATTTTATCAAGTATAGGCATTGCTAACGTACTCTCTAAACGTATAGATTTAACAATGAGGGGTTTTAGGAGCCAGAACTTTTTCTCATTAGCTTGAATTAATCAATCCACAATAGCCCCAATGAGCTATAGGTATTTTTTCTCTTTTTTAACCGAAAGTAACTACTTTTTTTTCGCAAGGCAATTAGTTGAAAAACCATTTTAATTACTTTTTTTGTTTTTTGTTTTTTTTTTTTTNCTCGCGTTGCTGGGGGGCTGGGTAATTTTTATAATTCACGCTTCATCGCGTGCCTCTGCGATACTTTGGGTTTCGGCTCCGAGGAAAAATTTCGCACGTATATGTATAATACGCGTTTGGCCTCCCCAAGAGAGCTCAACATTTCCTTATTGCATATAGCGCGCGTGGGTATACAAGTATGTAGAAAAAATTTATCTCGGCTGACCGATGTACGACCGTTTCTACTTAAATACAGTATGGATGTACAAAGACGATTTCATAATTCATTGTCCATTCGATGAAGCTACGACTTTTCGTGTTTCATACTTTAGAGGGTATGGGAAAAAAAAAAAAAAAAAAAAAAAAAATCGATAAGATAGGTGATGTCACGTATCAAACTTGCGGATGCACCGATCGAGGCCAATCACTTAAACATAGATGTACAATGAGTCAGTGGGACACAAAATGTTTGCTCAAACGATAAAATAGTATAACATTCTCGTGAAAAGAGCTCTTTCACAGGAAGGAAAAAAAAAAAAAAACCAAAAAACTTTGGCGACTTCAAAGACAATTTGTATACCCTTATCCTGTACCCGAGTAAAACAAACGATGAGAGGACAGTTGGTTCGGTAAGTATTCGTCGTCTCCCTTGCGTGTGTCGCGGCTCGCAACTCCACCATCCGACGCGCGCAACATATATTATCTCCATCAGCGATGTATCCACGCGCGAATCGCAGTACTACTTACATCCATACACGATGCATCGCGCGTCGGCGGGCACTACTGTGCGCTCAGGGCGCATGTGCCGCTGGCCGGCTACTCTTGGATGTATTTTTCGCCAGACACCTTGCGCGTGTACACTACGTGCCGCGCGGTTCAAACGTACCGCGACCCCCGACACGGCCTCTCGATCTCGGCGAAACGAGCGCCCGCGGGAAGGTATATTCATCGTTATATTATGTGCCACGCAATGTGTTTACCAATGACGATCGCTCGGCTACCGTAAGTTTTTACGTTTTGGGGTGCAAAACATACAGTTTTAATCAACAGTGCCGTCGCTGCACCCTTGGGCCGCTCTTCATTAGCCCGCTTCTTGAAAGTTGAAGACACGCTTTTTTGTTGCCGTGGGGGGGTGTTTTCAACCCCCCGTTTAGCTGGAGGATCCTCTGGCTCGAGTTTCGATCGTCGCTGTTTTTCCCCCCCCCGAGAAGGTGAGTCGTTGATTTTTCTCTCTCTTGGGGAATGTTTAGAAGCAATGGAATTCCTTTAAAAGTATATATAAAACATTGAAATACGGTCAACCTGAAATTCAACCGAAGAGTATATAAATTTCGGCGTTGAAAGGTTGCTTTTACCCGCGTTTTCAAAGGGAAATTCCCGTTTTATTCATTTCTGAATTAAGTGGATTAAGTACATGTTGCACAACACCGCGAGTTTTTTTTTTCCCCCCCTCTCGATCTTTAGAAAAGTGATTTTTCGGGACGAGGAGTCGGAGCTCTGTATGGTGTACTTGCGCGCTCCTTTTCACACAAAGCGCGACGAGGGCCAGGAGGGAGTATTTTTTAATGAAAGCGAACGAGCCCCGCGCTTCGCTTGTACTCGCGTATGTACATATAGTATACGGTGCAAGAGGCCGAGATTGAGGATTTAAAAATTCCACGCCCCAAACGTCAAAGGACGCCGATATATAACAAATCGCCGCTCGTCTTTTCACTCCTCTCGCGATACACACGCAAAGTGGGTGTACACGTATAATATATACATCCGTGCCTTATGAAATAATATCGTCCTCTGACCGCGCACGTATACTAACATAGCCGGGGAATCGCAAAACGCGCCATTTCGCGTAACTTGAACGTAACCGCGTGTTTCTGTGACCATTTACCTTCAATGGAAAAAAAAAAAAAAAAAAAAAAAAAAAAAAAAAAAAAACAAACACAACATGCTTCAACGCGGTCTAAAAATATTGTGTAACCACCTGAAACAACGTACCCGAGCGCGCGTATAAATAGCATCCTTATCAGCTCGACGGGGAAGTGTCGGCCGACTTCCTCTCCCTCCCCGTACTCTTTAGCGCGTGGAGATAAGATTTTCGCCGTTTCGCGAGTCAGATACACACGCGCCGTCCTTCCCACGCGCGGGAGATCGAAAAACGAGCGAGGTAGCTGTTGAAGAGGTTGTTCGTGACGGGCGACAATGGGCTCCGCTAAAAGGGTCCTTGCGAGCTTTCGCTATATGCGCGTCCACATGTTACTTGCGGTGAGGTGATGAGAAATCGTCTCCCCTCACCGGTCAATCGAGGTTGTTTGTTTTTTTGTTTTCTTCTATAAACTGAACTAAGCATACTTTTTAAATGAAATTCAATCATCAGATCGGAGCAAAATAAGACCGTAAAAGAGAATTGGACGATTAAACGACAGTTCTGACACTCTCTTTCTTTCCTTATCGATAGTAATTAATTGATGCAACTTTGCCGTGTATATTATACTTGGCGCCATTCTGCGTTGATGAAGATAAAAGATGTTCGACGGATGTATAAATATACCACCGTTACCGTAAACCGTAAAAATAAGAAAACCCCCACAAACCGCGGATAAGGGTAAAGTGTCCGTCCATCACCCAACTCCGAGTGAAAAATCGGTAAATATACTTTTCATCCCCGGTACCTATCTCGCTTCTTATAGACCAACGCGAAATCAATTAAATTGACGCGAATCCATTTGTACCGTGAACAAAGTCGGCCTCAAGCACCACACTCCCTCACCTTGGATTATATAACTTTTCTATATCTCGCCTACACGTACGAGAATAGAGCTGGTGTGGTATATATAACGTGTACGCTGTCGGCCACAGCGCTCTTTTCCCGCGAAATCACTTGTATTTCGAGGTACGGAAGCTACCTGTCGATACAGCCCCCCCCCCCACAACCTTCGGCTAAAAAGAGCCAGAGGGGGACAGTTCTGACACGCTGAGCTGTACGTAATAATAATAATAATAATAATAATAATATATTACACTCCCTCGTGGGTACACAGCGTCGCCACAGGGAGTTTAATTGCACAGTATCGCCAGATTGAGACTATACACCCGCGGGAAGATGAACGATTATCGAGGACCCTTATACTACCCCCGTACTCTCGCTGTACCATAATCTCACCGGATTTTCTTCTCTTCCGGTAACTTTTCTCCCCCCCCCCCTGTATACATCCTTATAGTAAGGTGCCAGGGCAATCCCCTTTACCCCGCCGCTGTTTAATTAATGGTTCCAGCCCTGAGCTTTCAATTATCCAATATTTCCCAAGTGACCCCCACCCCTTTTTTTGTATCAGGAGACAACCCGTGCCGTGTACAGCGGTGATTGAAAAATCGGGTGATACGTGTTTGTTTTGTGAATTATCTTGGGAGTGTGAAAATCGAGCTCGTGCACCTTCCCGAATCGGTGCGACTTGTATTGGCTGCTGAAAAATCATTATTCCCCCGGTCGGTGAAAAAACATAATTAGGAGCCGCGAAGCCTCATTAGCGCGCAAATCACGCGCACATATAGCTATAAAGCGACGGTAAATCAAATCCACGCGTCCCCTGTATGCGCGGGGGCTAACGAAGCTATACCCTTATGGGTCCTGGTATATATATATATACCGCTGATGTTCGCATGAAACAACACCATCATGTCGTATCATTCAGAATCTCACACATGTATTTTGCATCCCTGTGTCGCTTTTGATCGGGGACTATATATGTATACGTACAATGTATAGGAAAGGTTGATTGAAATTTATCTCGGCTGACCGATGTACGACCGTTTCTACTGAAAGCGATTTCGGGACTATCCGTTTGCCGATACAACGAATGGAAATAATCGCTATATCCCCACGCGCGTACATGAAAAGTTATCGCCTCGCATCCTAAACGAGTATAAATTTTATTTTTTTTAAATTTTGCTTCGGTAAAAAGCACTCGAGGTCTATATAGGAGGGGGGGGGGGGGAAATGCGTACCTGTATACAGCTCGAGAGCAGGGCCGAAACTCAAAATAGGTCTCGGTCCGCTTCAGCTCGTACAAGTACACCTCGCGTGAGATTCCGCGAGTGCCTCGCCAGCTACACTTATACAACGTAACCCCTTCCCTCCACCTCCAATCTCCTTCCTGGTATATTAACACGTGGATCAAACACTGGTGTGCATCGAATGTATACGTGTATACACAATCTCTCATCGCGATACAAGTGGGCGCGGGTGCTTGAAAACATAAGTATATATACACATATATCGAATACCATCGGGGGGAGGGGGAGAGAGCACCTGCTCGGTCAGCAGCTTGAAAATGTTAATTACTCGGAGCGAGGCTTATTTGCCCGGGAGAAAATTTCCCGGTGATGCGAAGACACGCCCACGGGGTGGCCGTCAAAATAGATCTTCTCGGTGTGTGTATGCAGCGTTTGTGTGTTTTGATTGCAGGTCGAACGAAAAAACAAGGCGATAATTCACACCCGCGGAGCTAAAAATAAGAAGAAAAAAAAAAAAAAAAAAAAAAGAAAGAAAGAAAAATGTCATCGCCAACAGAAGCTCGGCCCGCTGACGGAGTAGGAGCCCCCGTGGCGTGCGGTTCGCCGAGCGGGCATCGTCCAATGCCGTGGCGATCGGTATGAGCCGCGTCGAATGGCCGGACGACGGTAGGAGGGAGGGAGAAAAAAAACCGAAGGAGATGAGTGTTTGCCGCGCGAGGTGAGGCCGAGGCCAGGATGCGGCGGTGGTGCGTCCTCGCGATGCGCTGCCTGGTGATCCTCGTGGTGGCGGTTGGACCGCGGGCCCAATTGACCAAGTCGTTGGCGCGTGTTGAGGGGGACTTTATCGTCGGGGCCCTGTTCAGCGTCCACTACCAGCCGGCCCGGGGCACCCAGGGACCTCTCGCGTGCGGGGAAGTGCGAGAGCTGTACGGCATCCAGCGCGTCGAGACCGCCCTGTGGACCCTCGACGACATCAACAGCAGGACCGAAATTCTCAGGGGTTCGTATTTTTTTTTTTTTTTTTTTTTTTCGTTTGTCTCGCCTATTGGTGTTCCCAGCGAGCATCTCTTGATTGTCCGTGCACGCAGGGGTGACCCTTGGGCTGGAGGCGCGCGACTCGTGCTGGTACTCCCCGGTGGCGCTGCAGCAGAGCATCGAGCTCGTCCGCGACGCCATCACCCCGACCATCGGCAGGTCAGCCACGACCGACTCCCAGGAAGACGTCTCGAGCCAGTGTCCCGAGAACGCGTCTGTGGTAAGGATCGATGCGTCGACTCTTTGATTTTACTTTTCTTTTTTGTGTTGCGCGTTTTGGCGTGCGGTGCTCAAGAGAGAGAGAGAGAGAGAGAGAGAGAGAGAGAAAAAAAAGAACAATTAGGCTCGGTGTAATTCATCAAGTGTCGAGGGCAAAACGAAGCTGTACGCGCGTCGTGTCTTTTGGGATGCAGATGAGCCGCGGAGAGGCGGAAAGAGTTGAAATACACCGAGGGCCGAGAAATGTAAAATTGGATCTTTTGACTGATGTGCACCGCGCGGGTATATCTACAGCAGATTGTTTTTTTTTTTTTTACTTTTGCATTTCAGAATCTAAAGAAAAAGGCGGCACCGGTAATTGGCGTCGTCGGTCCCGGCGCGAGTTCCGTCACGCTTCAGGTGCAAAATCTCCTTCAGCTGTTCGCCATACCCCAAGTAAGTGACATTGTTCATCACTATAATCTCAATTGTTATTTCATCACGAATTTTTTTTTTTTCAAGCTCCCAACACGTACATATATATACAATATCCTACAAATCGCGACTTTTCGTTGTATATTTACAATTTACGATGACTTGGGCGTGCTCTTGTTTTCGGGTATAGGTTGGTTACTCGAGCACCTCGCGCGACTTGAGCGACAAGAACCGGTACTCGACCTTCCTACGCGTGGTGCCCTCGGATTACCATCAGGCCAAGCTGCTCGTCGATCTCGTCAAAAACTTCAATTGGACCTACGTGTCGATCGTCAGCACCGATGGTGAGTGTATGATTGTTTTTTTTTTTTAGTCCACCACTTCTTTTCTAAACCTTGGTTTTTTTTTTGCTTTCTCTCATCTAACGTCAAACACAAAACCTGTCAAACACAAAACTGAGCATTTACAAGCTCGTTGGACCTGTAGTTATCCGTGGCCAAAAACAACCGTATATATATATATATAGAGCAACGTCATTTTGTTACCGCCACTTCCACCGGCTGATTAGCATTCGGAAAGAAAGGGGTAGGTTATAGTCGCCGAACGACGTCATAACGCGAGGGGATTATCGGAAATCGCGCAGCCTTGCACAATGCATCGCTGGGAGAAGGAGAGAGGCGACATTTGGTGGTGCTCTCGTCTTGAGTTTTACTCGGTTTCCCCCTCGCCGAGGGGGAAAATAAAAAGCGACGCGCCGTGTGGGCACTCGGAGCTTGGATAATGCCCGGGGGGAGACCCGGAAGAAACCGGACATACCGATTTCCGGAATCGAAAAAGTCCGAATCTAGATTGAAAGGTTTGCCCCTCGAAACGAAAAATAAAAAAAGGGTCGGACGGAGGAGCAACGGTAGATATCCAAAGCAGAGAGAGTCGCTTGACCCACATCGGCGCGGTACACACGTCAGACGCGAGCCCCAAGACAATGAACAAAAAAAAACAGCGCCCCATTCATTGCCCATTCTCTTCCTCGTTTCCCCTGCGCTGTAAGAATTTCGTCACCGCGAAGATCCAGAGGCCGGGACAATGAGAGGCTGTTACACCCCGCAAAATGTTTTTGTTCGCTAATACAGTGGGTCTGTTTGCACACGGTGAGGAATGAAAAAAGCACTCCCTCCTCCCCGGGCTACTTTACACATGTATATATCTACTCGGAGAGCGGCGTTAATTAAAAATTTCTCCGACCGACGTGTACGTATATGCTTAGCTACTCGCGTTGCTGGGGGGCTGGGTAATTTTTATAATTCACGCTTCATCGCGTGCCTCTGCGATACTTTGGGTTTCGGCTCCGAGGAAAAATTTCGCACGTATATGTATAATACGCGTTTGGCCTCCCCAAGAGAGCTCAACATTTCCTTATTGCATATAGCGCGCGTGGGTATACAAGTATGTAGAAAAAAAAAAAAAATAAAAATAGAATTACACGCGGCTTCTTTGTTTCCAGAAGCGCGATTAAAATTCCCCAAATTGCGCGCTTGTGTACCTACACACGGAAAAGTACGGAATGTCGGATTAATTATGTATTTCGTAATTGAATCGCTGCGGAACGACCAGCGACATAAGTATACTACCCACCAGCATCTTTTCTACCCCCTCCCCCCTCCTCTCTCTCGCTGATAAATTACAGCCCTCCTCAGCCAATAGTTTAGTTCCCATCCGTCTCCTCCCCCCCATCACGCGATACGGATATAGTTTCGGGATTTCCTACAGCAAAGTTAGAAAAATAAAGAAAAAAAAAGAGCACAGCAACAGACGCGAGTCTTATTAGGCTGTTCGAGCGATGGATCTACAATCGGGAGGGAAGGTCGAAGAAAGGGGCTGTTAGTGCGTGGTACGGTATCATCACTTTTACTCCCTTTTACAGATATATTGAATTGGAAGCACTTTTTTTTTTTCCAAGTCACCGGGGGGCGCGAAAAATTTACAATCAAATAAGATTTTCGGATTTGACTGCGCGGCGCGTAACTTTGTTTGCGATTTGCAATTGGGATTTTTTACCTTTTATTTTCCCATCCCAAAGAGGAAATTCGGCCTGGCGTATGCGGGTTCGTTTGAACCACACTTTTGAAGCTGATGGTAAACGCGTTTTGCGTCGTGATTTTTCACGCGCGCGGAGCGAGATGTGTATATAGAAATTGCGAATAGACGGGCGCTCGGTGATTATTCCAAAGCTTCACTCTAACACACGAATGGGCGAGCTGCGTCACCGAGTTTACCGCGATTGCGTGTATTAATCAGAAAAGTGTCAGCGCCACGGCTAATTAACCAGAAAATTAGGTTGATCGTCGCGTTCGTTGCTCGAAAGCTCTATTTATGTATACAACATGGGGTACAGAGCCGACATCTGGCTATAGACGTGTCTTTTTTTTTTATTTATACGTTTCTGCTGGGCATTTTTCTCCTCGACAGTCGGGCACACTTGTTTATGCTCCGCGTAAACGGCCACACATGTGGGCCGACGAAACGAAACTTTTGAACTCGGCCAGACCAGTAACGTATATATCTGTCTCTCCGTAGCGTGGGCAGTTTTTTTTTTTCTTTTTTTTTTTTTTTTTTCTCTTCTGCAAGCATCATTCGAAAATGAGTTGTCGAAATGTCGAAAGGTTCACCTATGCCATTCATCATTTGATTCATTTTTTGGCACGAACAAAACAGCCCCAATGTGAAATTCTATACATTTTTTTAAAATTGAAAGACGTTCCTCCTCGTTTGTATGCTCTTGATGTTCATTATACGCGTACAAGTAAATCAACGTATACTTTTACGAGAATAACTCCGGATAAACTCAGTTTTTACGTCCCATTATTTTCTAGGAAAAAAGGAAAAAAAAAAAAGAAAAAAAGAAATGGATTTCAATGCTACGTCGGTCCGATTTTTCCCGGGCTTGGATCGATAAACTCGTCACACCGCGCGCGCGTGCATTGGTTCGCAAGCGCGTCTGCGAAAACTCGTTCACCGGCATCGGCGGAAGTCGAGCCCTCGCGCCGCGGAAATGAGACCCCGGGCACAAGGAATTAGCCGCTTAGGATTTTACAGGCTCTTCTCACCGTGTATACCTACTAGTTGTAGAGAGAGAGAGCTTCCGCATAACTACGGCTTCTTCTCTTTGCCGTGTCCGTAAATATTATAGATGTATATAAAATGTTGGGACTCTCTCTCGTAATCGCGTTTGCCGATCTGCCGGAAACTGTGGGGGAGAAGGAGACTGCCCTGGATTATTCTGTTTTCTTCCGAGAATCCGACGTGACGACTCGAGAATTTCTTTTTCCTTTTTTTTTATTTCATTTTTATTTTTTGTTTCCCTACCTTCCATCCCTCTTTTTCATTCGGTGGAGTTTATTCGTGTCTCATCCAATTGGTCATGCCACCGAAGGCTTATCAAAATATGATTTTACAAAGTAACGTGGGATAAAAAAAAAAATACGTACTTTTACACGACTCTCGAGAGCACCCGCTTGAGATGTCAAGCCCCTCCCCTTCAATATACCGTTAATATCGTAATGAGAAAAAACAAATTTTCAAAACACGCAAAAACCATAGCCGACGGTAAGATGCAAAAACAATACTGTACCATAAACAATAATTATCACGAGAGAAAAAAAAGGTGTTATTATTATTATTATTATTTATTAATTTTTTTATGGTATACACACGTACCTACATGCCTTTTGATTTTCCAGAGAATTACGGCACGAGCGGCATCCAGGCGTTCCGCGAGTTGGCGGAGAACAAGTCGGTGTGCATAGCGCGCGAGGACTCGATCCTCACGACGGCCAGCGACGCGGCCTACGACAAGGTGATCAGCAACCTTAACCAGGATCCCGCGGCTAACGTCGTCGTTTGCTTCTGCGAGGGTTTGACCGTTAGGCACCTCATCGAGGCGTCCAAGAGACTCAATCTCACCGACCGTTTCTTGTTTGTCGGCAGGTGAGACTCTTCCCTCGTTACTATTATCATCCAATACCCGATCCGACCGATTTGCCAAGTGCAAGTGTATACACACGCGACGTACAATTGACTCTTACCCCCGTCGGGTCAAGGATTGCGTGGCTCGGCCTCCCCTCGAACTCGATCATCCGTCAACTACACTCTTCCGTCCGGCAATGATCCAAGTTCGAAGTAACGAAATCCCAAAAGGTTGCAGGCACGAAACGTCAATGCCAGGGAGGGGTCCGAAAAGTGCCATTAGCACTCGCCCATGGACACCCCCAGGAAAAGGGAAAAAACAAAATCCGGTCGACCATAAGCATTGGGGGGGGGGAGTCAACGGAAGTTAGTTATAGAGAGGAAGTCCAGCTGTACTGTGTATATATATATATATACACTTTTGCCCAGTTATTTCACGCGTTCTATGGATGTCCCTTCTCTTTCGGCTCGATTACGGGAAACGGAAGCTCGTAATTGCGGCCGCGCGGGGGTGTTAACATTCGTCCTTACGCCATTTGACGAATTTCATCCACTCCGAGGAATGAAATTGAATAACAATTGGAGTCGAGCTTTTATGACGGGAGAGGGGGGGTTTAAACCACAAGTGCACGGCCCCTCGTTAACAATTGAACGCGCTCGAGGAGAAAGAGGTAGTTCTAATTAACTTTTACAGTTTCACGGGTACTCTCTTTTTTTTTTCCCCTTTCAACCGCATAATATAACGTTTCATACAAATCGCGCAATATTGTTGAAAGAACATCTCGCAGAGCGAATCAAGTAGTTTTTTTCCTCCCCACCTTGTAAGTATATAAGGTATACTATTGTTCCGCTGGTCGCGAAACGAAAGATGAAAAATGCACGGGAAAAGAAAAGCGGTTGAAAATTTTTGAGATCCACGAGAGCTCGGTCTGTATGAGGTATAGGGGTCGTCGATTCGAAACGAGGCCGGGGCGCATAATCAAAACGCATAATGAATATTCGCCGGCGTTCACCGATCGTATGTGCGCATGCATCGAAGGAACCCCCCCCCCTCCACATGCGCGCTCCTCGCTTAGTTTGTAAAAGTGCCGTTAATGCAACGCGCCTCCGTAATCTTTGAGCCCTACCCCTTAACCTTTTCTCTCGTGCATACACGGGTGGAACGAGCCGGAGTTTTGCGAGCGCTTAAAGAGACGGAGCTCTCGGTTATTAGTGTCGCTCGATCTAACTCGGCGAAGGAGTGATTAACAAACTCTTCTTTTTTTTTGGGGGGGGGGGGATGTTTCATTTTACCACGCTACTCTGGAAAAAAGTGTTATATTATAGATCACCGGTTTCTTGGTACGGCTATACATTTTAAGGGCTGGTGAGATTAAATTCATTAAAAACAGGTAGATATACATATATCAAACCTTCGGCTCCAAGTTGCAAGCGCATCGATCAAAGGTGTAAGAACCATTTTTTTTCGTCATGCGAATAATACCTATACAGTAATGCAAATCCACTCGTGTACATACCTACATATATATATATATATATATATATATACTCGTGCACATCTTTCGATAGAAGTCTACACGCATCAATAATACCCTCTCGACCTCCTTTTGTTCTAACCGCTCCTCTACTTACATCTGCTTACAACCGATGCTTTTACTTGCTGACGAGGAGTGCAACGCACGCATTTGTCAGCATCGTCTCGGTCGCGCGCCACCGCACGCCTATACATACTTTTTTTTTTTTTATATTAGAGTGCTCTATACGTCCGGCTCCTTTGAGTAAGGGCACTACTATGGGCACTTAGCACTTGGGAAAGGGACAAGGAAAGGGATGGGAGGCCTCACATTACTGGGAGGGGGGTAGGGGAAAATTAGGCAATTTTGCTGCGAGAAGGTCGCCTAAACCCTCCTCGAGGAGCATTGCGTGGTGAAAAAGGCCTACACATACAGCCTTACTTGTGTACACGTTGCGAGGAGTACTCTGTTTTACTTTCATTTTTTTTTTTTTTTTTTTTTACCATCGCGAAAAGGATTATTCTTCGTTTCAAGGGTGGATTAAAGTTTTTGTATGTATACCCGAGTTTGAAGAAAACAAGATCTACCGGGCCATACATAACAAGGAACGAGTCGAGCGGCACAAAGTTCTCACGAGAGTTTTCAAGAGCCAAAGCGCGTTGTACTTATATATATATATACACGCGACGTAAAAATACCAGCGCACGAACTTTGTTCTCGTAGTGGCGATATTATTTCTGATCTCGTATGTACACATCGAGGATTTAATCGTAAGCACGTGTGTCGCGTACATATGCACATATATACATATATATACGTATATAAATTTATATATACATACGCGCCAGTTTTCGCGTTAGCATCGGGTGCCTCTCGCCCGGCAACTATATATTATACACACCCGCGCAATCACGCGCCAAAGTCTCGAGTGTTTCATCGGTGGGAAACGTTCTGTAAACTAAGCTTTTTACTACCATGCATGTGCTCCGAAAAGCACAGCCTATACACACACACACACACCCATATAGGCACTGCAGACGTACGGTTAAAAATAAAACATACTTATACTCTCTCTCTCTCTCTCTCTCTCTTTCTGTTGGGGATGGAATGCACGTTTTATCGACAAAATAATCGTTTTCGCGTAACAACGATAACAATTTCTCTCGGGCATGTATATCGACCACCTGCTCCAAATACCATAACCTTTCGGCGCGTGATCTATACGAGGAGAAGATTACACGCTCCTCCCGCGGTTGGGGTCCCCCTCCCCAACCGATGAGACTGGCAAAGTGACGTTTCCTGCCGCTGAACGAGACCCCATTGTTCGCCGGTCGATGAACATCCCCATATAGTAATAACAACATGTATATAATATGTCGAACTCGGTAAATTGAACTTGATCGTGGATAAAAATCAGCGACGGTTGGGCCGACCGGGACGACGTGGTCCAAAACTTGGAGGCCGAGGCTTGGGGCAGCATATCGATTCGCATCCACTCGCCGTACGTGCCCGACTTCGACAGGTACTACCTGGCCCTGAGACCGCACAACAACACCCGCAACCCGTGGTTCAAGGAGTTCTGGCAGTTCAACTTCAACTGCACCCTACCCCCGGAACCCGGGACTCTGCTCGCCAACAAGCCGCCCAAGCATCCACCCTGCACCGGTAAGGCTCTCACATACACGATTCACATGTACAATGTCCGTTGTGACAATGAATGAAATACCTATAAGTATCCGTACGGGGCTCACGTGTTTGTTGTTGCAACTTTGCCTAACTACATCGAGCGGAAGTTTTTCCCCCCATGGTCCCCTGTTAATGGCCAACTTGCTCAATCACGTTACGTCGCACATCATTTCGGGGTAAAACGTCATTAATCTCATCAAATCATTACACGATTATACATTGTATATATATATATATATGTATATATATAACACGTACGACTTACCTGATAAAACGTCAAACACGAGAACGAGACGACTCGAGAGCCCAAACTTTCGTTCCCCCGCTGAGTTGCCTAATTTCATTAACACCGAGTGTAGATATGTACTTATACTTATGCTTACTTACACAGTACCTCTATGTATGTGTATGCATGTATATTTTGATGCAGCCTACTGCAGCTCTGTCGCTGTTTTAACAACTCCGTAAGTTCTTTATATATATAGGTGCACACAGAGAGAGAGAGAGACACACTTGGGCAGTTGTTGCGCAGGGAAACGTGATTAAAAGGCTATGTGGAAGAAGTAGAGGAGCGAGACACGCTCGAAACAATCACGTAGGTGTGTGTAATGAACACGGTATGTATAGTATATAGGTATATGAAGTCTCCGCTCGAGGGTCATTGCGAATCCAAAGAAACAAAAGACTCTCTCTCTCTCTCTCTCTCAGCACGTGTGTACCTACACCCCTCTGTGCAGCCCCTTGCGGTCTCTACTGTATTCGGTTTTGTGCTGCTTTTCTTTTTTTTTTTTTTGTGCCAGCGTATTTTTTTTTTTAAATCCCATCTCGGATTTTTCATATTGCTACACCCACGGAAAACCATCGTAGTATAGTCATTCTTTTGTTTTTCAGGCAGCATTCACCCCCCACCCCTCTTAATTTTTTAATTTTGTTTTGACCATCAGTTGTACCTATGCAGCCCAATATCCCCGTACGCGCAGTGCGGAGACCGCATCGCACGCCTAATCAATCAGCCCAACGGAAGCAATAACCATCGCGAATATAATGTATATGTATATATGTATATGTATGCATGCAGGTGTACGTATAGTAGGGCTGACCAAATGGAAATTCGCAATTTACGTGTACGTATGACGTATGTATTCCCTTCGTATTTGCATCGTCGACGGGAAACCGAGCCGACAGACAATCCCCCCTCAAAGACCCACCGGGCGTCTCTGATGCCTTTCCTCGACTCGACGGGAGTGCATATGCATATAAACAATCATCGGACGTGCATGTAATTATGGATCCAAGACTACATTTTTATACGGGAAATTATATGAAAAAGCGCTTCTTTTACATCAAAGCCCACCCCTTTAGTACTGCACATCTTCCCTCGCTGTATACATCAATGTCGCAACGCGTATGATACATATATGCGTATATATTATATATATGTACCACCTTTACGGTATTTCATACAGTGTCCCGATCTATTTAATCGGCCCTCCCCCCTCTTTCCCGTTCGATCCCTCGCAATCGAGGAACAATGCGGACGAGCTCATGGCAGTACACTTGTATACAGGTGAAGACCAACATAATAATAATATGTACGCCGACTATTGTCCGTGTGTTATCACTTGTACGGTCTGGTGTGCATTTGGCGCGTATACAATACCTACCAGAAGAACTGTTCGAACGACAAATAGAGTTAACGCATCTGGGAGGGTCAGTACGTGCATGTATCTGATGCACATTAGGAAAAACATTGCAGGTTCTATCGGTATTTACGATGTGTTACATCTATATTGTACCATGCACATGCGGAGGTATACGTACAACGTCGGAGTTGGAGCAGTCGCTATACTCCAATGAAAGTGCATATACGGTATCCTGCGGGAGTATACAATATTTCGCGATTTTCCCCGGCTGCGCCAGAGACAATGGCCCGCCTTCGTTACTCGTTTAACGCGCGACGGCCTGATTTGAAAATAAACGCGCGTGTGGGATGTGTGTACGAAAACCTCGTTCTTTCGGCTCACGTTGATTTTTTTTTTGTTTTTTTTGTCTGATGTCCTCTTTGTAAAACGGAGGGGGGACGTATTATATTTGTAACTTTTGCACCGCCCAACAAAATGATTACCCGCGATATACACGACGGCTGAACTCGCGATCCGTTGAGCTGTACATTACCCATATACTTTGTTCGCTGAGCCGTGAACCGAGGGATGAAGAAGCGTATACGTCGATGGGATTACTCGCCGGATGATATCGATATCCTATGAAAAGAGGGAGCAGTGGCCACAGATCGGAATTCCTCGGGCGATTTATCCAGTACTGGTAGCCCATTGGTCCCCGTCTCTCTTGCCCTCGAGCGAAAGAGAGAGAGAGAGAGTTTATTCTCAGATCGCGCGTGGAGTGGAGGGATGAAGCTGTATGCCGGAGCAACGGCGAAACGTCGAACGTGAAAAGAGTTGCCCGAGCCCTGCGGCTATATGAGGCACTTTAAATAGAGAACGGAGGAGACGGTCTGACTGCAAATATGCTCGTACTACTGCCACCTATCCCCTCCCCGCGAGTTCACTCATGTTTATTATATACGTCGCGTTTTTCTTCCTTTCCTTTTTTTTTTTTTTTTTTTTTCCATCCGTTTATTTACTTATATGTACGTTTTTTATTGCGCGAGTTTTGCTCTCTGTCGGGCAATCGTGTGCCTTTTTTTTTTCTATTTGTCCCTCGATGCAGGAGGAATTTGCCTTTCCGGTTAGCCCGTTTGCGTGGATTTATATATATACAAGCTGCTCCCTTCCTGTATTGCAACGGCAGTTATCGGGTGCTCAAACAGAGACTTCAAAGACGATAATTGATTCGTTACTTGTGCCGTTAAACGCCTACTCTCTCCCCCCTCCACCAGTGAGTGCGCGTCAATACCTACCCCCGGAGTTTTTTCGTTTCCTTTTACACGCGTATAAGGTTATATACATGAGAGCTAATGAATGATGTTTGAGTTCACCCTGTACACACCGTTGGCAAATATACCTGTGCGCATAAATTGACGTGCGCGACGTGCTTTTATTTTTCTCTCATTTTAAATAAAAGCGGCAGCCAACTGGACTGCTTCTGTATACAAAAAAAAACAACGAAAAACACGAAAAACATAACCAATTCACTATTTGGTCAATAATCGTGAAAATAATTTTTTTATTTTTTTAACTGGGATCCCCACATTATTATTATTAATTTCATGAAAAAGAGCATCCTCAAATTACTCTAAAGTGACATTTTTGCCATGGTATTATTGCTTGCTCAACTTACAATAGGCTGTCCAACTTTAACATGTCACTTTGTATGTATAGACTCGCTCTCATTATTTTTCATCGACATTGATGTACCTATACGTGCACCAGTATATGGGCCATCGTCACGTGTACGGCTAGTCGAGATGTGCTATTTTCACGCGTGTTTTTTTTTTTTTTTTTTTTTTTTTTCATTTCATTTCTTCGCAGATGCAAAGCTTCGTTCGGTTGCTTTTTTTTTTCTTTTTAAGGTGCGAAATTTCTCGGGACACGTGCACGTGCACTCGTATTAACGCCAATGCCGCGGGGTGACGAAATTTTTTTTTTTTTTTTTTTGCTCGCCAGTAGCCATTAGAGCGCCTGTCCATTTGTCGATCGGACCGAGTAGTTTTTTTTCTTCTCCCCCTCGATTGGCCAATGTGGGCTTTTTTTTTCCTCGGCCATTACTTATTTTGGCATGTGCATTGTGCAAATGTGTCGGTGGTAGGGAAGTGTCCAATAAAGCAGAACAAAGAGATAACTAGGTCTCATTTGGGGACTGTAAGGCAAAATAATTTATCGGGGCTTTTTTAAATTGCCCAATGATGTTTTATTTTACTGAAATTCAATTTAGGAAAGCGTATAAATTCCTCGTACGAAGATGTATATTGATATTGGTTTAAATATTCATTTTTACCTTAAAATAAATCAAGGTAATTATAGATTGGCCAAAACACAGGTAACGACTTTTTTTTTTTTTTTTAATTCCAAAGAGGGAAAAAAAAAAAAAAAAAAAAAAAAAAAAAACGTGATGCTTTCCAAAACATTTTCGGAGCTCCGCGAAAAGTGGGCATTCCTTGTTTTCTTTCCCTGCACTACAACTCCTTGCATGCGTCTGAACAACGGTGCGTGTTATAACAAACCGACACCTCCACTTTGGCAGGGTTGAATTTGAAATTTTAATTTAATCTCGGATACACGTTAGGGTTTGCTTTGGCAGGAAACAAAAAATAGTTGTAAAAATCATCTGCATTGTTGAATAATTTCCACTATGCGCTGGTACAAGGAACAAGTGAGCCAATTTTCGTTTCTAATTTCTTCTATTACACGTATTGTATATACCGACGCACAAAGTTGCGTAGTGCGGATAAAGTTTGGATTGTAACCGCGAAATGCCACGTTACTTGTAATGTGTTACAGGCAAGGAGAAGATCACTCCCAACAAGCACAAGCAAGACCCGAAGATGAGTTTCGTGATGAAGTCGTTCTGGGTGATGGCGCACGGGTTGCACCACATGCTCCAGGAGATTTGCGGTCTCAACTACACCGGAGTTTGCAAAGAAATGTCCACGTTCAACGGCACTCGGTTCTGGGTGAGTTATATTTTTTGATTCAATTTTACTGTCTTTTTCTACAGAGCTATTTAATACTCAAAGAATCGACAATACGACTAGTAATGGTCTTGGGGCCCATTTTTTGCTAAGAAAAATTTTTTATTCATCACTACGTACGATATAATACCGAGAAAAAATTGTGTTTTTCCAACAGATATGAGTGATAAATTTTATTCAATAATAACATTACGTTGGAATACATTGTGAAGTTTATAATAATGCACTGAATTTTTAACAATAAAAAAAAAAAAAAAAAAGCTAAACTACAAAAAATATTTAAAAAGTATCGTTGCCCAAACGTGTTTATTATTAAACCGTAATTATTCTTCCTTATTTATCCATTGCTTCTCAGTTTACAGCATCGATTCGCACTTTGTTACTTTATTTATTTTACTTTCGGTAGTATTAAGACTGGGCAGTAGGGGTAAGTGTACCTATCTCCGTGCTCTGCCCTATTACCGTGGATTTTGAAAAACTGATGATTACTTGCTCAAAATAAGAAATGTTTCATATAAAATAATTTTTCAATTTTAATAATCTAAAATGACGTTAATCTAGATGCAATTCAAACAGAAATATTTGTGTATATTTTGAGTAAATAATTATTTTCCACGGTATTTGGTACAACGCGCTCATTAACTGATTGTGTACGTATTTCCGCGGTGAGCGTACGTAAACATAACCCTATACATCCGCGGTAATACGTACACGGTAATAGGTACACAACCACGGTAATACCAGCATACCGTTTTTATTCGTTTTAAAAATATTCTACTGCAGTTTTAGCTTCATAAAATTTTTTTTAATATTCCGTAAGAGATTATGTAAGATTAAAAAAAAAAGTATTCCAAAAAATTTTAGTATACCATTTTTTATGGTGCATTTAAGTTGGAATTTTCAGTACGTGCCACGGAGATAGGTACACTTACCTAGAGAGAAAAAAAAAAAAAAAAAAAAAAACCAAACTCGTAACGATTGTATTTATTTCCAGGAGCACTTGATAAACGTGACCTTCTCTTTCCACGAGGAGTTAGTCGAGTTCGACAGCAAAGGGGACCCACCGGGCAGGTCGGTGCGTACGTCTGTTTACGAAATGTTTTAATTTAAGCCCCAGGCCGCCGCAGGTATACCGTGGCTTCGCTTGAACAATCAACCACCACTGCTCGCACGTTTATTTATTTATTTTTTTATTTTTACTTCCAACCAAAATACATATACTTACAAAATGGGACTATACCAAGTGAATCATCGGGGCAAACAAACCGCGCGAAATATACAAACGCCGGAGGTAGTCGAGTGTGGTGTGGTATTTATATTTGCGCCGAAATAAAATATAGCGACCCCCGCCGTTTTCGTGCTCATCAGTTTTGTTCTACCTCCCTTTTTCAAGTATATACACCTCCCGTACTCGTATGCACACCTCGTCAATTTGTCATTTCTTTTTTTTTTGTGTTTTCAACCTTCTCTCTTTTTTTTCCTTTCACTCTCCACAAACACTCGTTTTCCCGCGCGAAATCTCCAGCCGCGCTAATCCGGTGAAATACGCGGACCGCGCTCGTGTAAACTCTCGTTTAGCATTTTTACGGAGCAGAACATCAACGCGCACCTCCTACCATTGCACGTACATGTGGGCGGATTAAAAAAGATCCAGCAACTAATAATCAGTAATTTGAAGAGTAGAGGGACAAGTGAGCCTATGTATATATTATACTCGCCGAGCCGGGTAAATATTGAACTTCAATGTATAACCGGTCAACGGTGCAGCGGAGACCGCAAAAGTTCTCGAGAGAGCAAAAAGCCGCGCTTCAACTTTCCATCCACTCGGCCGGAAGTAGTGAGCCGCCCGCAGGCATGTATATACCTTTCGTGATCTTACCTCGAAAATTTACCCTCCCATTGTTTTCTCCCCTCGTCCGAGGGGCCAAATGACAAGAGCCCCTTCATCCCGCTGTCGCCCACTTTCAAGTAATTTAATTAAAATAAAGGCACCCGCGGTTTCCCGAAGTTTCGCCTCTTTGTTCATCCGAGGGAAATTTTTTTTCTTATCTCCGTGCCCCGGTCATTACAGTTTCACGACGACTTTTCTTCCCTTTCCTTTTTCCAGCCGCACGTAAAACTCTGGGGTGTGCCTTTTTTTTTACACTCGATTGATTATCGGCCTCGAGGCGGGATGCTTTTTATTACATGCATGTCTATTACGAGTCGAGGGGCGCGCGAGCTTTAATTAAGCGGGAGCGCACATCACTTTACGAGGGTTATATGTAACGGGCTGTTATGAGCGGAGGCTTTAACGGCAATGCAAGTAATTACGGTGTGGTGTGTATTGGCCGACACCTACATTGTTTCCGATGGACTTTCATTATACTACGGTTAACCAACTATAAGCGTTGCTCACGGATTACCACGGATATTTTGTACTTGTCTAAATCTACCGATTGCGTATTCGATCTGCCAATGGTTCGGGAGCTTCGTACACGTTATGTAATAGTTGTGGGTTGGTACAAAGTGAATTATAGCTCGAAATTTTTTTCTTTCTTTTTTTTTTAATTTGAAAGAAATCATAATCATTGGTACGTTTACACAATGTAAAAGTATACCTATACTGCACGGTATTTGGATGAGAGCGCACACCACGTCTAATTTATAAAAATTTTTTTTCATTTTTTAGTACATTCGTTGTTAATTTAATTAATGCCTATGAGTACGTAATATGAATATATTTTTGGACACGAATAAAATACGATGCCAATCTTTGTGCATAACAAGTAACTAAAGCTACTCATCATCGCACGTTCACTGAAACTGAAATCTAAATTGCTTTATCGTGGCTTCTTTTTTTAAAGGGTATAACGTATTATAAGGAAAAACCAGCGAATGTTGATTATTCCAAAAATTTCGAGAGGAACAGCGTATGTATTCAAATTAAGGACGTTCGGTATAGAGATAGCGGGGGAGAACCACTTGCGGGGCAAGGGGAAAGTAGCGATGAGTGAAGACTTGGGCATCGCCGCACGGGTCTCCAATGTTTATGGCAGCGTATGTGTATATTTGTAATGTATTTGTGCTAAAGATGTAAGTATTTGATTTTTATTCGTTATAACAATGTAATAAAAATGAGTAAATAATTAAAAAGACTTGTGACAGATATTTGTACGTACAGTTATATTCGTAGCTAATGTAAATAAAATTCTTGAATTCTTATGTGACTTGAAAAGTCTCATTTAAAGTGATATGTTAAATAATTAGGACATACTCTAGTCTCTGCGATTACCACAAGCATGTGATTTTGTTCTCTCGTGTAAAAAAATTACAAATTAAAAATTTTATTAAGAAAAATAAATATGTGTTATTGTAATACATTGTTTTGTTATGGGTACGGGTGCAACCTATGTACATACACTCACACACATATATAAGCTTATGTTTTATACAGAAATACATAAATATCTACCATAATATTCAAATATTTACTGAATATACGTCCTGGAACATTTTGACTTTCCCGTTTCTTGCGACGTTGTCGTTGTATTTTTGTCGAACTATTATTTAATTTTTTTATTCATAAACTAATCAGACGATCGTCGTGAAACTTTGTATACATATAGTTTATAACATTATCTGTAACATATACAAAAATTGGAGACATTAATCACGCCAATTTTTTTAAAACTGAGTTTTTATAAGTTTCCCCATAAGCGACCGTGTTAAAATGACTGAATTTTGAAATTCAATATCTCGAAAACGAAACAGACGAACCTCTTGAAATTTTAACAGCTTCATTGTAACAACAATAAGAACGTCTGGTTAAAATTTCAAAAAGATTCATCACAGGGTTCTATCTCTACCGAACGTCCTTAATTCACCAGAGAGTTCGCTTTTAATTATATTAAAAAAATTAAAAAAAACCTACAAGTGCCGTAACGTGTGATGGAAGCTTTAATTACATTTTCAATTACTTGCAAGAAATCTCGTCAAAGTGTACCTAAACATTTATTTACACGAACCACGTTACTTCTCGCAATATAATTAAGAGAAAGAAAAAAATAAAAAAAATAAAAAAAAAAATATGCACGCACATACAATTAAATATGCGACCGACCCGATGCTACTACCATCGACAGGTACGAGGTCCTGAACTACCAGCGATTGCCAAACGGCACGTACGCCTACGTCCAGATCGGCGAGTGGAGCCACGGGACGCTCACCTTCACCAGCTCGCCCCAGTACCGCAACTTCAACCCCGTCACGAGCGTCTGCTCGAAACCCTGCAATGCAGGCGAGTACAAGGTGAGCGCACTACATACCTATATATAAGATCGATGTCGAACCGACCGGTATTCTTTTTTTTTTTTTCATTCGATATACCCACAACCCCTTTATGTATGAACACCTTGGTGGTTTTATTCGTGTGAATTGTACACCCACGCCTACTCCACAATATATTTGACGGATTATAGCTGCTAGTGGCTATTGTTATTTAGACTCCGGGTATAGTATCAACATACCTATGTATTATTAGTGACACATGTATCATAAAATGGGTTATACGTGTAGTACATATACGGTATACCTATCGATGGTGGATTATGGAGTTTTATATGCCGATCGATTAATTTACGTAGTTTGGACTAGCTTACGAGGTTATAAAGTTACTCAGGTCCGTTGAAAAAGATTAAATTTTGAAATTTTCGTGGTTACGGAGCCCGCATAGCCTCGAAAGAGTCTGAAAAATGGCTTAACAAAAATACATTTTTCCACTTTGATGGACAAACGGAAATTCATTTCGTTACTTTTAATAGTTTCCACAGAGCCCATATATTACAGGTAAAAACCAACAAGAGCCACATACGATGTACGATATACCCGCATGCCTCGATCCACCGACCCGTTACTTTGCGTTAGGTGGTGTATCGATGTGCCGACCTGCAGGATAATCTCTTCGGATTCGCATATAATTTGCCGCGAATCGCGGAATCTGGGCTACGTATCCATCCGCGCATAACTTCCTAATAGCAAAATCCAACGCCACAGTTTCCGAGCGTCCGAAGCACACAATACACCTATACGTCAGTTATACCAGAGACTCAATTATTTACCGATCGAAAATTCTCAGACCTCCATTTTTCCTGGCGAGCGCACTGTAGTCTATACAGCAGCGCCGATATTTTTTTCTTTTTTCTACAAGTATACCTGAAAGATAACGTATGATTTTTTTCGATGTAGAATTTCCAGACGGGCGGCCAGGAAAAAAAGTGCTGCTGGGCGTGCACGAACTGCACCGAGTACCAATACACCACCGAAAACCAAACGAAATGCGAAAACTGTAAGATTGGCCAGAAGCCGACCCAAAACAGGACAGGTAAGCCTTTTTGTACAATTGTCGAATAGGTGTGTACTTGGAAAAAAAAAAAAGAAAAAAAAAAGAAAAAGAAAAATTTGTTCCTCCACGCAAGCCTGCGAGGACGTAATCGTCGAGTACATGCTCTGGAACGACGTCGAGGCGTTGGTAGCGATGACGTCGGCGGGCATTGGACTCCTCGCCACGTGTGTCACCTGTCACATCTTCATCCGCCACAACGACACGCCTGTCGTCAAAGCCAGCACGCGAGAACTCAGCTACCTCATCCTCGCGGGAATGGCCTGCTCCCATGTTTCCGTATGATATACATTTACCTTTTTTTTTTTTTTTTACCTAATATTGTACACATCATTTTTTGTTCACACGCACTTGTGGGCAAAAAAGCCTCTCACTTTGCACACGCTATACGACTCATTTTCGTATAGTACGATGCTATCTCGGAAAAGCCTGTCGAGACTAATGAAAGGACTAACTAAATTATATACTTTTTTACGATGATGTGCGCGTACAATAACCCACATAGCTCGGCGGAAACGTCGATGAAGCAATACGGGTATTAAAAATTGAAATTCATGTATGAAAAAAAAGGAGCATCCGAGTAAAAGGTCGATCTTCCATCACAGCGAGTGTAACAATGAAACTCTGGGGGAAGGGGGGGGGGAGGGAGGGAAAAAGGTTCGCGCGTGCACGTCACCCAATCGATCATCGATAGAGAAAAACAAAAGAAAAGTTGGACCATACATAGCTGAGCGATGAGCTACCGATACGTCATTACATCCTTACACAGCTGCACCCTGCGCGTACATCGTAAAAAACAAGTAGAGCGAGAAAAAAAAAAGACAACTAGAGCGTACACGCTCAAGTATAACGAACGACTGGTAACATGTATATATTTTGTCATTCATTTATGTTTTCGCCAAACACGCGAGAGCAGATCCTGCCGATCCTGGCGATGCCCGATTACACCTCGTGCACCCTGAGCCGATTGATGCCGGGCATCAGTTTCGCGATGATCTACGCGAGCCTCTTCACAAAGACCAACCGGATCGCCCGCATACTCGCCGGCTCGAAAAAACGCTTCCCCAAACGCAAGCCCCGCTTCATGTCCGCAACTTCCCAGGTACGTGTGCACACGCGATTCGCTCCTCTGTACCATAGTCACAGAATAAAAAAATTAAAAAATAAAATCCTCGGCTCCCCAGATCGTGATAACCTTCCTGCTGATAGCCGTCGAGGTGGGGATCGCGACGACGATGCTCGTGATGGAGCCAGTGGAGCCGAGGTCCGAGTACCCGACCCGCGAGCGCGGTGTGCTCAGTTGCGGGACGACGGCCCAAGCCGTTCTCACGCCCCTGGCCTTCGACGGTCTCCTCATTGGCCTGTGCACCCTCTACGCCGTCAAGACCCGCAACGTGCCCGAGAACTTCAACGAGGCCAAGTTCATCGGGTTCGCCATGTACACCACCTGCGTCATCTGGATAGCCTTCGTGTCCATCTACTTTGGCAGCCAGGCCAAAGTTGGTTGCGCTTGTATCAATTTTTACAACGGAAAAAATGTACCTAAACAATTTCCCCCCGCAGGTGTTGACGATGTGCATGTGCGTGACTCTCAGTGCCTCGGTGACCCTGGTCTTCCTCTTCGCGCCAAAGCTCTACATAATCGTCCTCAGACCGGACCGTAACAACCGAGCCCTGTTCACCACCAGCAAGTCCATCAGGTGCCACATCGGGGCACGCGTGGCAGCCGCCATAGCCGAACCACCGCCCAAACACGGGGTCTACCGCGTCTCCGAGTCCGAGGGCACCGAGACCTCGTCGGGTGAGTTTTTTTTTCCCCCCTCCTCGATTGACATTCTCACTGTACAATTGCTTGATGGAAGAAAAAAGTAGCTTACAGAAGCAGCAGCGGCAGTAGCTTGAAACGGCGCACCCTGTCCGTCCAGACGGACAAGGAGCTGCTGATGTCGTTGTGCCAGTCGTTGCTGGTGAACACCTCGCCCAGCCCGACGGGGACAAAAAAATCGTCGTCGCCCCTACGCTTGAAAAACATGGACGAAGAGTACCCGAGCCACGACGAGAATGGCTGCCAACTCCAACGCCGGCCGATGAAAATGATGCGCCGGAGACGCGACTACAGCTACGACTACCTGAACGACGACTACGGCGAGGAAGAGCCGGAGGAGGAGGATGATATGGTGGACCCAGAGTGCGAGCAGTGCCAGAACGGGGTGCTCGAGGGGACGAGAAACCAGAGCGTCGGTTGCTGCGACGCCCGTCGCCAGGGATGGGCGGAATTGGACGTCAAGCAGCTCGTCGACGACTTCAAGCGACGGTGCGTTTGATTAATCCCCAAACACGAGCCGCGTCCTCCATCTCTCTCTCTCTCTGGCGCCCATTAATCATGACAATTAGCCCTTATACCCGGCTCGTTTCGCGTGGCCTGTCCCCTTTTTTTTTCGAGTGGGCGGGACGCCCCGGGGTGAATTAATCGGGAAATTCATATCGGGGTGTATGCGGGCCGACAAAGTTTGCGACCAGCGGGATCGATGCAGCCGGTGTGCTTAATGAGCTCGTAAACTTACGAAATTGCATCAATGGGTATCCGTCCCGCTCGTACACCCCGTTTTCGTGAAATCCCCTGGTCGCGCCGTACGTGTGGAATAATGGTCCAAATGAATCGACAGGTCGGTGGTGGCGTACCCGAGCGATCATCGGACGATGCACTGCCAATCAGCCCTAGTCCAGAGGCCGGTGACGAACGGACTGAGGAGCGCAGCGGACGTCCTCTACGAGGAGCCAGAAGTCGAGTCTCGGACGCGGATCTTCGAGGAGCGCGAGCACCTGGCCGGTGACGCGTCCGAGGATCCGTTGCTTCGCATCACCATCACCCTGGGCTCGGAGGTGCCGCTCGCGTGATCCGATTTCCCTCTTTTTTTTTTCTCACATCCCAAGTTTCATTGTGTGGAGAGAGAGACGGTTTACGTAAATTGGTGTGCAATCGTTTTTTTGTACATATACATCGCGTTGACTTTACGCTTTTGCGGATCGGAGGTTTTTTTTTCTTCTCCTCGTTACATCTAGACCGGGCAATTATTTCCAACTTTGATCCCGCGGACAAGGATGCGCCTTACCGCGAACGACTAGTTTATCGTTTTAAATATCCCCGAGAAACATTTTTCAAGTACCTGTAATTGGCTGTTCGCGCGCAACGCGACATCTTTAACGATCAGTCAATCAACTAATTGTTCGGGTGTATTTAAATGTACACGTGTAGCATATCGTAAATGTCTTTTATTGTTTACGAATTTTCATAGCAAAGTCCCTTTCAATGGCAACTCGGCCGTACGATGTTATTACTCGTATACACACGTTTGATTACGTAATTACACGCATTTGTACATTATTTCGCGTATAGGGACAAACTTTTATTCGGTCGGACGTGTCATTTTTGTTATTTCCGAAAATACTCGTTTAAATGTTTTGTCCGAATATACGTAATTCCATGAATACTGAATGTATAATTTCTCGCGTTATCCTATAAAAGGGACGTTTTTTTTTATAATTGCTGATACTCATTGTGTGTGCACGCATTAAAAATAAACTGCAACATTATTGTGATGTGTTTTTATTGATGAACTAATGTTTGAATAAACTCACAATTTTGGACAATGCAATAAATTCAAGGGTATCCGTACTCCTGGAATTCATTATTACAACATGTATTTTACACGAAATCAATTTTTTATTACAACTTGATGTACCTAAAATCGACAATTTCTCTAAAATACTCTGTAGCTGATACAACCGTAAAATTGTGTTCTTATTAAATAAGACTTTTTATCAATAAATTCACAATTGTACCGCCTCTCTAATTACGCTCATTTACTGATGTTTAAAATGATTAATCAATTATATGTATATCAGTGTGAGGGTACAAAAATTATTGCTTTTCTTACACGCTATTCGAATGACTTACACTTAAGTAGGGGTGAAAATTTTATTAGGGAAAACATAGAGTAAAAATGCAGAAATTGCTTATCGCGTGAGCTGAGGATATAAGAATTTGAAAAACCGTCAAATATCATTAGTTTGTGCTGTATGAAGGACAGCAGAACAATTAACTATCGTTGGAAAATAAAGTAATTGGTATACGAAAATATTGATCTCTGCATAAGTGATGACAGTATTATTTTTACTTCTCATTCTATAAATCGATTAATGTACGTACGTTTAATTTATCGCCAAGCCGTAAATTCATTTTTTTTTTTCATCCTATCACGCAAATGCCTCATTGTTTGTCTTATGAGCAATTATTATGTCAGTATTATCGCTCACATTAAAAAAATTTCCGTACAAATTGTAGGTACGGTTTATACATTATGTAATTGGCTTGGAGTTGACGATACTGTATTTTTGGTACAAAAATATGGTACTACGATGTACCTCTTATCGTTGATTAGATAAAAAATATACTGGAACTCGTGTCTCGATAATTTATATTACACAACATCTAATTCATCACGTAAAATTTTGGACTACATAAGACAAAGTATTAACAAAATCAATTCGTCTCCATCATTTGTTTTTCTGAGACTAATTAAATTTGGTTTAAAATATGCACTTTTTTACAATTTTTTAAAATATTCTTGAATTATCCAAGTTATCTTAAATACGATTTTTTTTAGTACTCAAATTTAACATACTTATCAAAATATTTTCAAACTTCTACGATACAATTTTATAAAAATATTTTATTGTACATTTAACATTTCAATCATTAAATTGTTTTGCATTAATCATGTATTTAACGTTTAAAGAGCAATAACAAGTTAATAACTTTAACATACTATTTTATCATCTTAGAAGTTAATAAATGCAAAATAAATGTACATCGTATTCAGTTAATTATTCAAGACAATTAACGTAGATAGCGGGAAAAAATTGTACTACTCTTCAAGAAAGTAAGTTGACTGAAGAATATTTGAAAGTCATAAGAAAAAGTGTATCATTAAAAATTAAAACATATGTATGACCCTATACTATAAATTACAATTATTATCAAGGTTTTTACTTAATCTCACGAGTTGTAGTTCCATTGCTGAACATCCTGCTTTCAAAGCATTTTTTTCAAGACTATTCCACAATGAACTCATGAATAAAGTATAACATAGTACCGCCGTCAAAAATAGGCGTAATATATTGAATCCAATACTAAGTATGATACTACTGATTAAATAATCGAGGCCCATAGACCATATCAACGAAATTATTAATATAAAACTAAAAAATAAATACCATAGGCGCTGTCTGTGAATGTTGTGTAAGGCTTTCTCACAAATGCTAATTGCTTCTTTCAAAGAGGTACGAATGTCAACGTTGGCATCCTCACTTTGATAACCTAGAAGAGTAATATACGATGATTAATTTTTTTTATCAATTATTTGGTAACTTTTTTTTCTAACGAATGTCAGCTTACCTTTGGTCAGTTTCAGAGAAGCCATAATGGCTTCGTGGTCGGAATAACTGAAATTCGTGTCTGGAATTCTTGTAGGGAAAGGCTGAGAAAAGTCATTAACTTCAATCTAAAAAAATAAAAATTGCTCAAGAACAATTTGTAACGTTAAAAACAAACGCGTGAAAAGTTTCTTTGCTCACTTTGTAATTTTTCGAACCCATGTACAAAATGTAATCAATACGCTTGCCATTGGGTTCTTTCTCTGCAACTCTCAAGTCCGTATAGCTGTTGTTGGCACACTCATTGGTTCCTAGGCTGCCAGACTTTTTAGCACAAGCATCCATCAAGCCAGCAACACCACAAATAATTTTATAGGCTAAATCTTGTGGCTCCGTGTTCAGATCACCACCTAATATCACAGCATCTGCACCACCTTTGGTCATACGTATGAACTGGGCAGTATCAAAAGCCTGCAAGACTCTATGAGCAGTGTATTCGTCATTTTCTTTGCAGTATTCGGCATGCAACTGTAAGAATGTATATTCGTTATGAATATCAATTAAACAAGTGTCAATGAAATTGTACAAGTGCAATACTCACGTGAGCTATGTACACATGGACATCGAGATTATGAACTTTTAGTCTGCATAGGCCGACTCCTTTGCCACCGAACCAGTCACCATGGTGTATTTTATGCACATAGCCGTTTAAAGGCCACTTGTGGAATATAACATCATCTATCGGATACCTTGAAAACATGCATACTCCCGAGCCAAGAACACCGCTATAAATAACACATTACTAAGCCTAAGTAAAACTGTATGAAAAATTTCTTGTTTATCGTGTACCTGAAGAAATAATGAGAGTATGGAAGTTTTTCCCTAGTTTTTCCTTTAATCAATCTATAATCGTTGATAGACCAGACTTCTTGTAGGCAAACGATATCACAATCTTCGCTTGTTAGCTTATCAGCAATGGCATTCATTCGATTGAGTCGATTTTTAGATACATATGGAATACCCCTGGGAAAAACAATCATAAGAATTAACAATTAATTGGAAACAATACGATTGGCATAAACGACTCTTTATCAGTAAGCCTTCAAAAAGGAAGTCTCGCTAACTATCTCGCGACTTTATATACCACTCGAAAAAGGTGTGATAATGATAGCAATGACAAGATTACTAATTTAAGTGTGGGAAATTCAAGCAAGTATGAGCAGATGGAAAATAATGTAAGTTGTAACATCTTACCAACAGTTTAGTGTCAGGACATTGAGAAATATTTCCTCGACCATCTTTGCCACTTGAACAATTGATTTGCTATTGACGAGCACACAAAGGACAGACCATCAGAGCTTCACGCTTTGCTTTTACAGTGGCCTTTCACTTGTCACTGCTCTCGAGCGTAACGAAAACAGCTGTAAGTAGCTTGACTGCCAAGTCCTTACTGCTTGGCTCTGGAGTGTGTAATGTAAAGTTTATAGCTTTAGCTGCCGTGTGCCGTGTTATGTACTTATTTGTAGTTAAGTCAGAGTGCAAGGTACTTCGATAATAATTTAATCGGTAAAGAAGATAGCGGTATTTTGCGCTTATCTGTCGCTGGAAATTTCATTCTTTCCTCTCATTTCAATCAAAAAAGAAAAAATGGGCTCGAATGATAACGGCAAGAATGTGTATAATTGCTAGTTTTTCGAAAGATAACAATATACTCTAAAGTTTAAATTAACACTCTCCATATATAAAAAAAAAAAAAAAGCAAATAACTAAAGGACTTTATACGCTCTGATTAAGAGCCATATCTGTGATTTTTTCAAGATTCACTAAGCCCTTGTGTTTTTCCAACAATTCTACCAGCTCTTCTTTTTCATCTAGCTCTTTGCTCATCGAAGCAATTAAATTTGTTATCAATTTTTTCATGGTATTAATTTTCGAAATTGTGCGATCAATCTTCTCCTTATTACTGTAACAAGTAAACCAATTAGTCGAATTTTTTTGAATTAAAATTCATTAATATATTTAAAAATGCAAAACTCTGTAATGCTCACTAAATAAAATCTGGATGAGTTTCTTTAAGCTTTTTGTTTCTCCTAGTTTCTTTTTCTTTCAAAAAGTCTTGGTAATCATAAATAGCATTGTGACAATCCAACTTTAAGAGATACTGCTTCTTTTTCAATTCCTTGATGGTTTCATCTTTTGCCAGTAGCTTGTCATTGAATAAAAATAGTTTACTCAGGCATATTTTGATTTTGCTGCAATGAAAACGGACAATATCAACATGCCTTTAACTCGGGTTATAAAAAATATTTAATTAGATCAATACCCACCTTTGAATCTCTTTTGTCCCTGCATCATTGTAAATGATTTCCTGTATAGCTTTGCTCTGTAGACATTGGCTCAAAGTTTTTGTATTAATCAAATATGTCGTTGTGTTAAAATTAAGATTTTCCAAGGCTTTGTTCAAATCTCCCTGTGGCAATTCATCTGACATTCCTACAAACAACAACTAATTTATAACAACATAATAATGTGATAAAAACAATGCTCAATGCGTGACTTACCCATGTCAGTAATAGCATTTAAGGTTAGACATCTAGCATCAATGGCTTTCAATTCGTTTCTCAAATTAATGATTTTCTCCTCAACTGGCATATAATCATCCAATTTGTTAACTCCCACTGGAAACTGAGATATTGCGTTTTTTAAATCGTTGACTGCTTCGTTTAACTCCTCGATTTCCATCTTTTTTTAAATTATAACTTTGACAAACAATTTTCCTTCTCAAATCAACACTTTTGTTACACCACAAATAACACTAACAATGAATTGACACCAAACACACCAAAAATTGAATGATCTCGACATATTCACATTTTACAATTAAAAAACTTTGATGAAGGTTTGAACAGAGGAAAAACATTTAATATTTACATTAACATTGTGTATTAATTTAATCAAACAATGCTATTAGTCCAAGCAGACCGCGGTTTATTGTTGTGTTGATGCCTTTTGGCGCAAAAACGGTTTTTCATTACCTACAATTCAGTGATCTGAGTTACCGACTGTATGTACAAGCTTTTCCAGCGGCTGGTCACACAAAAACACGATTGCTACTATATCAGCAATTAGCAACGACAACTTGTTGACGTGATCAAGTTTTTGTTTTCTTTCGATTAAAAAATATCTTAGGTTATGTTTTTGTAACCCCGGTGTGTCTAGTGTGCGTGTCAGTTTTAAAAAAAAAATGCGTAAACAAGTGCATGGGTATCCTTATGTAGCCGTGATGAAAGTATACAACAAAATGTTAGGATGAAGATTTTGCTTTGGTTTGTGCTCGTGACGTTGTCTGCACTAACACAGACGAGCTGCGACGAGACGACGTCCAGAAAAAAACTCCAAATTGGCGTGAAGAAGCGTGTTGACAACTGCACCCTCAGATCGAAAAGGGGCGACACCCTTGTAGTCAATTACGTGGTATGCTACCCTCACAAGCTGTGTTCGCTGATATTCATAGCAAATATCAGAAATTGTGGTTGTGTGAAAAACAATTCTGAGTGGAACTTCTGTTTCAGGGAACCTTGGAAGACGGAACAGAGTTTGACAGTAGCTCCAATTATGACGATTCATTTTTCATTACTTTAGGATATGGCCAAGTTATCAAAGGATGGGAGCAAGGATTAATCGGGTTAATATTTTATTTACTTTTTAATTTGATAGTTTTATCTTTGTTATTTATTTTGCAAAGTTTATTTGTTTTGCATCAAAGTAAGCTTTACCCTAATTTTTTGTTTTGTTTATGAGATCGTAAATAAGTAGTTCGAAATTGTTTAGAATTTTTTTTCAATAGCTTTGCAGATGAACTTTTCTAGCCTTTAATAAAATCAATGCCTAAACCAATCATTTCTGATTGAGTAACGTAATTATTTATTTATTAGAACATAGTGTTTTCAAGGACTAAACCCTTTTTTTTACTGCTGAGTTGATATTTATTCAAGCGAATTGTCTTCAATTATTTTTGATGCCCCCTCTTGTTTGCAACATTATGAAATGTTCATTCCTGTCAAACGTCAATAGGTTTTCTGAGTTTAGGTAAAAAATTTTGTAGAAAATCATAGTGGCTTCTTTCATCTGATATTTTGTCATTAAAAATTATGGTCATAATAATTCAAAACTTAATGATAAGTATATTTTCTTGATTTTTAGTTTCGCATTATTCAAGTGTTTTTTCAACTAATTTTAGAATGTGCGTAGGGGAGAAAAGAAAATTAGTAATACCTCCAGACTTAGCATATGGATCTTTTGGAGCCTTACCAAAAATACCTCCAAATGCTACGGTCATATTCACCGTTGAACTAGTGAAACTTGTTTCAAAGGAAGAACCTCGTCAGTCTGATACTCAATTTCACGAAGAACTTTAATGAAAATGATCTGTCAGTTGCAACAGCTGTTTCATTTGTGTGATACTTTTTATACATTGCCGTTATATTTTATATAAAATTATTGAATACAGTATATTTTAATCATACCATTCCCAGTACCATATAAGCCAAAGAAAAAATACATTTAAAGAGAAATATCTCTTAGAATTTCATTAAATGTCAAATTACAATAAAAAAAAAAAAAAATCATACGAGATTATATAAGTTGTTTTATTTTTATTATTATTCCATCATTTTAACGTCTTCAAGTAACTTCTCATCAACGATAAATTAAAGCCGATCAGTTTTACAATACATTGTCACTGTCCTCATTGACGTATCCAGTAGATAACTGACAGTGAATATCCTTTGTCTTGTAAAGTCGTTGAAATATTCATCCATCACGACAAAAAGTATTAAATCTTATCTAATTAATTTAATTACAGAAAATAGCTATTGACATTATTTTCCCTTTACAATACAATGAACAAAAAAAAAAAAAAAGGTAAAACTGCACGCAAAATGTATAAATTTCGCTAAGTATTTTTATTTTTCATTATGCTTCTTTGAGCAACGTAATATTTTTGCCTTGTAATGTATGTTTAGCTTTGCTTTTTTTTTTTTCTTTACCCACTTAACTATTGTTTTCTATTGTCATTTAATTATTAAACCCATTTTCAGTAAAAGAGCTGAATTTACACGCCACCATGAATAATAACGTAGTTTCGAAGAGCGCCGATTATTGTCAGTTTTAATAGAAATCGATATTTTTACGTCCATACGACGCGCATAAATTAAAAAAAAAAAAAAGCCGTTAGCGGTTTTTTCCTCATTTTTCATACATCACATCGGTATCGGTATAATTACCGTAAAATCGTTCATTATCTTGTCAACGACATTTGATGCATATATACATAGATATAACGCGTAATTGTCAGCTATTGTACGGTTTTCCATGCATTCCTTTTGTCCATGATGATTTGATAGATTTAAAATAAAAAAAATTTCGAGATGATTTCTACCGTGCGTTATTTTTTTCATACTCTGAGGGCACGACGCTCGCCGCACAACTTACAATAAATCTTTAACTCTTTTCAAGTTGTTATTATAAAGCACGACAGTTGGATGTATACAATTAAATTCGCTTCTTTAGTAAAAAAAAAAAAAAAAAAAAATACTTCATCAGTGCAATGAATAAACGAATGAACCTATTTGTTTGTGAGTAGTTGATAAAAAATCTCATCCACTACGTAATATCACTGCATCGTAATAAAATCGTGTTGTAATTTAACACCAAAATACCAAATTTTTCCAAAAATCCTACTTTTTGACAAGTCGCTGATACGATTCCAACTACATTCGCTACAGACTGTACGAATATTTATAACATTCGAGTTCACGTTGACGCCTGCGATGGAACCTACTCATAATATACGCGTATTATCGTCGATTGCGCGAATCTCCCTCGCGTCAGCTAAAAATAAGCGTGTAATCGAGAATAAATGCTACGTAGGTATCACATCTGTATATAATACATGTACCCAATGGGGTATATTCCACTTAAGAGAAGAAGCCCAAACAATAACAAAAAATGAATGATACAATGCAATGTTTGACAGTATATACATAATTTTTCATCACTGGCCTTATCACAGAGCAAAATCCCGTTGAGATATACACGCATCATCATTTGACGTAACCCACGTCATTACCATGTCTCGGACGCCTACGAGATATATATGCATATACATGTATTATGTGAGAAAAATGAAAATTGGAATTCCTCGATTCACCCGATGCAAGCTATTATATTCTCTCTTTGCCATTGCGTGTTTGTTACACGCATATACGGTGGGGAATAACGCGCACTTACGTATTAGCTAAGCCACGGAATGCGACAATTATTACATTCCAAAGAGGCATCCACATGCTTGTATACTCGCGAACTTTGAGCCACTTGGGCGATTACTTCCTTTTGAACTTGCGCTGTGGTGGCGTGTTTGGGTATTACCTGTAATATGCTTTGCATTGTTTTTTTTTTTTTTTCTACTCCAATTGCGCGAGGCGCTTCACAAACTTGGTGTCTCGAGAACTCATTGAAAATGCAATACTGACTCATAAAGTGTACATTATACGTCCACCAAACGATGGAGAAAAATTTCCAAAGCGGATCTGTTGAGCTGTTTTTTTTTTTTTTTTGCGCGACTCGCGACTTTCCAGGATTACGACTTGTGTACGATGTGTAAAACGCGCTCTCTTGCTCCGGTTCACGCGAACTCATGCAGAATGCAGGGAACCGCGTGTTTATTGTTTTACGATTTCGCGCGTCTGGCGCGCGCAAACATTACTTTTTTTTTTTTTTTCCTTAAAGTCGACGTGCCTATAGTGTGCGTTCGATTGTACTGTACACACCTATACGCCTATCCGAGCTTGAGTTGGAAAGATCGGTATGGGACCTGAAAAATCGGCGTTTTTGTTGAAACTGCGAAATCCATCGGTGCGCCGTACGTTAAAAGTGCCCATCTGGAGAACGCGGGTCGCCGCGACTATTTTTAGGAATTGCGTGCAGCAAGAACTTCGGCCCGTTGCAATAAGCCGTATACAAAGTCCCCCTTTCACCCTCCCCCGCTGGTATCGCTTATCCCCTCCCCCGGTTGCCGCGTGTGCGCGAAAACTGAGTGACGCTTTGGAATCCATCGCCCTCAGTTGTACCTCGTGGCTCTACTTTCGCGCATTTACATTTTTTGTCTGAAAGTCGATCGTTCGAGTAAATATATTGCCGATCTTTTCGATTTATCAATATATATATATGTACAGAGTCAGAGGGCGCTTTTATCATATATTGTTAGTATGATGGTATACCTTTGTTGCAAGTGTAAGTATATAAATACACGTTGAAAGTATGTGAAATGGTTGTGATTCCCAACGTATCAAGTGACGTTCGAAAAAGTTCATAACTGGATGATGTTTGTATTTGTTTTGAAAGTGAATGACTGATAAGGAGTAAAGTTGTAAAAAAGGAAACGAGCGAAAATACGGAATCACGAGTCTATAAGAACTTCTTTGATATTCGTTGCCAGAAATATTACGTGAGAAGTGTCGGAAAATCGTTGGATTGACGTCGGATTAACGCCCACCTACGCGCTCGCTGTGTATTTATTTCCTCCGCCACTATATATTTATACTCACTGATCTGTACTTTATACGATTACATGTACGGACCGTTGTCCGCTCGACGTGATTTTCTCAAGTCTCCTTCGTTCGCTCACGTCTGGGCATCAGATGTTTTCAAGGTCACCCACGAGAGCTTTCTTCCTTGTTTACATAGATCTTATACCTATGTTTACTCCCTCCTGTCGTCGCTATGGCAAGTGGATGATCATCGATCGATGTAAGATGACTGAGCTGCGGAAATAACGCTGTTGTCGAGTCCCCCCCTCCCCCCAATTTTTGGTACTTTTTTGGTCAATACAGGTGCCATTTTCATGTCACGAGGCTTTAGGAAATCGAGCATCTCATTGTGTAACTATACATGTAATCTTTTTAATCGTAATCAATTAGTCGCGTTGTTTTTCAATGCACATTTATATAAATCCACGACTGTCACGGGATAGTTTTGTCGTAAAACCCTATCCAATCTCCACCGAGTCAACTCGTTGATTTTTAAATTCATTTCACCCAGTCATTGGGTATACCTATCGAGCGTATAAATATACCGATCTGTGACGATCTGCAAAAAAGTATCTAACCGTACACGGCGTAGTGTCTATCCAAAAAGAAAGAAAGAAAAAAAAAAAAAAAAACATTCTTCAAAACAAATTGGTTAAATTAGCCGATTGAACTTTGATGAGTCAGTGGGATTAATCAACGCGCATCATAGACTATACCGATCCGTTGAATCGGCCGGGGGAGGAGGGGCTCCCTTTTGTTTTTATTGTCTATATCAAAAGAATGGGAGTGCGAGCGGGACCAAGCGAGTTAAATCACCAATTAAACCGAGTCGGCGTAGAAACTTCGCAACCTGCCGATCTTTATTTGCTCCCTATACTTTTTGTCACTTTGCGCGTTGCTCAAAATTCACGATGGATTATGCGCCTCGTTCACGATTTCCGCTCGTAGGCTGGCAAGCAATGATGCACACTCGCGCCCGAGGCTATAGGTTCTTACCTGCGTGCATACATATAATATATCGGTGCAGCTTGCCAGACGGAAGGAAGATATATTTCCGAGGACGCTGCGTCATGTTTGGGCCGACGCGTTCCGACCACGTGTTGCTTGACTTTCGCGCCGAACGGGTATACACCACTTATACTTTTCTTTCGCTTCTTCTTCTTCTTTTTTTTTTTTTTTGCTTGCAGAGTTGAGCTCTTTTTCTTTCTGCTCTTTTTTTGTCTTCTCGCTTGCAAGAGGATATATTATAGCTTCGTTGAGGCGAACGGAGAGGGTGAGTACAGGGATACAGAGTTACGTATATATGTACATTTACAGGGTCAAGGATCAATGAATGTGTTTTCTTATGTCTCTGTCTTTCTGTTCCCATAATACATACGCTTCCTGCAGATTTTTTGTTGTAGTTGGATTTAGTTTTTCTCTCAATTACGGTGTACACACATAATATACTGAAATAAAATATAACACCCGCAAAGCCTTGCCCTTCGCACGAACGACGGTTTACCGCGGCTGAATTTGATACTCAGCTGTATTACTTGAAAAACTCGTAGCCAAAGGGGGAGGGAAAAAAAAAACGCCAAAGGAATCACCGAAGTGTAGGATTCGTCTCGTCACTCGATCACCCACAGGACTCTTCGGACCGAAAGCGATAAGGACTCCTGCTCCCTTACTTACTCACCACTTCTCTTTTGCTCTCTCTCTCTCTCGCGTGTCTCTGACGTAATGGGTAAGTTCCATCAATCCGTTGTGCGTCCAAGGAGGACTAAAAGGTATCGTAGCGGCTCGAATGCTTATCGATCGCGTACGCGATACACCCGTGCTTATGTTTCCGGACATGCAGAACAGCTCCCAAATTTTGGATGAGCGATTCTGTATAGTAGTCTGTTTACGTTAAAAAAGGGAGCTGATTTTTGTCTTTCTATTAATACCAGAGCAACGAACTCGTGTGTAGTCAACGTTAAATTACTATTGTTATTCAGGTGTAAGGGCGGATGTGCGCTGGAACTTGGAAGGTTCTAGAGGGATATAGCGCGGAGGAGGAGCGATAAGCTTATTGACACACAATCACTCGAGTTTTGTACACAAGATTTACTGTTTGGCTTACGCGTATATCTGGTATTTGTATACATATATGTTACGTTCTTCTTGTTACCACGCGTGGGAGGACTATACATTGTTCGTGTTAGGGTGGAAGGGATAATAGATTAGTTTGATCGAATTTGTTATTTTTGGGTACAAGTACAGGAGCGATTCCGTGATATATGATCAGGAATTGTATCCAAGAGGACTGTGCTCGTGAAAATTATTCGCCGACTATGTGGCTTTTGAGTTGCTAATCTGTGGCGTTCGATGAAAACTCACCTCATTTAACACTGAGCAACCCAATTCTTTGAATCAAAGAACATTTCTTTACCCTCATTCCGTTAAATATTTTCTTTTGGTTGAAACAAATTTAGTCGATCCAAAAAAACATTTCGTACAACTAAATGAGAAATTCGTAATAAAAAAAAAGAAAATTTTAATTTAATAAAATATTATTTTCAATTAACTTATATTTTTTTACTCATAAGAAAATATTTAACGGTATGAGGGTAAAGGAATTTTCTTTGATTCAAAGAATCGGGTTGCTCAGTGAGTTCTTTCATATTCCTGCATAGAAGCGTGTTTGGGTGGATTATTATAAAATCTTTGTCCTGAAGGTGTAGGTAAAAAACAATTATTTTATTTTTTGGCACTCCTCAAGCGAGTTTTTTTTTTTTTTTTTTTGCGGAATCGGTCATGTTCAATGTGCGTCAATGTATATACATTAGAAGGTCTCCAAATGTTATCGAATTTCACTCTGTCATCTCGAGGAAAATATTCAGTCCAAGAAATACATTTGTGTTTGCTTAGCCTCCTTTGAGCTCGAGTCAATGAAACTATTATTATTATTGCGATGAATCGATAAAAGATATTATTGATCGAACCGTGATGCCATTGGTTATTATTAAATTTACCATTTAATGAGTGTGCGTTAACTTTTACCATTTTTGTGGCAAGTCGTATCACGTACCAAATATTGTGTTTTTTTGACCAACGCAAGTTTCAATGTAGGTATGTGAGTCTTTTAAAGAGAAAGTGACGATTTTACTTTTAGTTAAGAATTTGTGCTTTTCATCCCTTTAAAGTACATGACTGATTAATGATATCGTGCCAAATGCAATTTCGCCTCGTTTCAGTATGCATTGGGTGACCAGAACTTGTAGCTACTTTAGTACTCTACCTCGTAAGCTCCGTATCTGATTTTTCCACAGTTTTGTATAAAATTCCACCGACCTTCTGCTAATGTGCCATTCTGCGATACGTAAACCTGAAATTCTTCTTATCGAAGACATGATTTCTTTGACCAATACATATATACGGATACAATTTATTATCCAAAAAAAGAATGAGATTTCATTTACATCCGCATAATTTCGTCAAGGGTGCGCTCCAATTTCCGAAAGCACCTCACGCTCGTATGGATAAAACTATATCGTCCTGAAATCTAGAAATCTTAACGCCAATGATGTAAGATTGTCAGTCAATGCTATCACCTTGATAAAAATCACTGCCGGCGCACCGATGCCTCCTCCCCCCCATCCGTTTGATCGAATCCATTTTATATTCCTTATCATCCGTTTAACCTAGTTAAATACCGATTTTTTTTCTTTGTAACTTTCATCAATCTGCATGTTGTACCTTATTATCGTATCCATATATCATTAGGTCACCGATGTAACAACGTTTTTTTTTTATTAAAACTCCCCGAGTTGGAAACAAGTCAATAAACAAAAAAAAAACAAGCGTGTACGGCAAGTCGTAACTTTTGTTGTTTAACAAAATTGGAAATCGGTCGCGTTTGAGTAACGACCGTACATCACAGTGACAATTAAAAATCGGCGCACGGTTTGTCAATCCCCGTGAATCACCCATCGGCACTTTCCGCTCTCGTCGTCCCCGAAACGTATAGAAAATCGCGTACTTACGTCCCGAGCCGCAATACCCACGATCGCATGGGTTCTTCCGCGGGAAACGATTCCCGATTCATCACACGTGCGTCCAACAACCCTGATAACGATGGGGGGAGGGGGGCGGGGATTCACGCACATCGTCAACTTGCATCTCATTTCGAGACGACCAGAAGAAGAAGAAGAAGAGAAGTTTGCGGTACAGTGCATAGAGTCGTGGGGGTGGTGGGAGGAGAAAAAAGCCTTCGCCGATTATAAAAGGAGCCGCCGGCGTCGCCGCGGAACTCACACGACTTATTGACTTATTCGGAAGTGTGTGTGTGCGCGCGCGTGCTCTCTCTCTCTCTCTCTGTCTCAATATACACACATATCATAGCGCGCGAGATTGTTACAGTTTTATCATCCATCGGAGATACGTGTGTATAGTCGAGCGGCGCGGTATATCCGTTTCGCGCTTGGACGCCTTCAATTCACTCCGAGCGGTGTTACGCGACGGCCGATCGTTGGAGCGGCGTATGGCAATTTTATCCCCAAACCAAAAAACAAAGCCATTAATTTTTATTGTATTGTTTTTCACTGTGAATATAGCACTTTTGTACAAATTTGCTTTCCCTTGAAAACGAATAAAAAAAAAACAAAAAAAAAAAAAAAAAAGAAGAAAAAGGGCTGGATCGCTGGTAGTGCGGGGTGAGAGTCGACATGTCGAGCCAGAGGGAAAAGTCCATCGAGGCCGCGGCTTCGGGGCGTTGCAAGGCGGACCCGAACTCGGACGCGAGGACAGGGTGGAGGAACCTCGCGGCCTTCTGGGTCCTGGGGCTGTGCAACAATTACGGCTACGTGGTGATGCTCAGCGCTGCCCACGACATACTCAACAGGGATTCCACGGTTGTGAGTATATATATATACAAACGCTCTTTTTCTTTCCACAGGCCAAATGGTTCGTCACAAATAAAGGGCAACAACGTGTATAAAATTAATTTTAAAAACTCGTTATATGGTGTATTTTTGAGCACGCGAGAGTCGGCTGATTCCGATAAAGCGCTGGTACGCGATTTTTTTTTTTTTTTTTTTNAAAAAAAAAGCGTGGAGATGAAAATCTAGCCCCTGCAGTACTCCGGAAAAGCCCCAAGGTTTTCCCAGCGCCGAAATCCAGTGATAATAGCCAACCTCTCGGTCGAGCGCGAAGGTGACGGCCTCTAATTGTCCAAGTTGCACATGACCGTCGCGTCGCCACACTCCTTATATTAATATACACAAGTGGGTACCTACGCTGTGTATAGAATACATGAGAGGGACAATTGTAAGTATATATACGCTTGTACGTGCGGAAACGATGAATGAACTGCCAAGTAGACCCGTTTCTCATAGCTGATGCGTTTTTTTTTTTTTTTTTTTTTTTTTTAATAACGTAACTTGTAAGAAACAAACTCGTGCGCGTGTATCCCAGTTAAAAAAATAGCTCCTTGCGCCTACATGCAGCTGGATGGCGATTGGATTATTAATGAACAAGTCCAGCGGCCACGGGCACGTGGAGAGTGTCGTTTTAATTGTTACGAGCGTCGGATAAGTTTTTATTTATCTAGCGTGAAAAAAGTAGGCGCTATACATATATGAAGCCGCGTCTGCGATCGCTTGTTCGGATGGACGTTCGCGAGTGTCTGTATCGGAACCTGATCGAGAAAGTTCATCGACTTTACTCGCGAGTATAGGTGCGCGATGCAACTGATTAACGCTTGCGCAATTAGCCGATGTATTATTTATGCGTTGGCGACGCAAAGTTGCCGATTGCGCGTTCAATCGGGTCGGTTTCGTTCGATAGACGTGCCAATCTCATCTTCTTTGTGAGACAATGTGTTTATTCAAGTGTCATCATTCATCGAGTTTTGATAAAGGCGTGTGTTGCACCGCAATAATTTTCCAGACCCGATAAGCAAAAGAAACGTTTGTGCAGAAATTCGCTGATGATGGGCCGCGGCGTGACAACTTTGTCGTTGTAATATATGCACAGACGGTCCACAATTGATTATTTCGGTTATCCCACTATGAGGATGATTTTTTTGAAAAAATATGAAATTTACTGTTTCGGCGCAGTAACGTGGCGAAAATTGTCGTCTAAAGGGATTATTTCATCGTACAAACAATGAAAAGTAAACAATAAAAATTCACGTGTAAACAATACGTCCACAGTTTATGGACGATCGAGTGTCATCAGTTTACATTGCCGGTATTAATTTCTCTCGGTGCTAGGGTGTGTCGTGAAATATAAATTTTTTTTTTTTTCAGCTCCACTGTCGTACATGTCGCAATAAAAAGCATCTCTTTCCATATACATTTCAAATCGAATATCGTGCAATGGGCATTCCAATTGAATTTAATTATCAATCGGAATAGGTGATGGTTTGTAACGCGATCGAGCGTATTTTTTATGTCAGTAATCGTCGTAAAAAATGAATCTCGAACTTTATTGTTTTCCAAAGGATTTGATTCTTATCGAGCTCCATAGTTGTTTAAACTGTGGATTTTGCGGGGACTGTTTGAAGGAAAAAAAAAAAAAAAAAAAAGTCAACAATCGCGCCGAGTTAATAAAGTGGAAAATTTTTCTTATCTTCGTTTTAATGGCCAATTGTTACTTGCTTGGAACTGTTAATAAACATTACGTTTACTTATATATACGAGTCAGGAGTTATCGCGAGGGCGAAAAATTTCAATGCAAAAAGGAAATAAGTGCCTGCGTAACAATTTCTGCAAAAAAGTCAATTTTTTTCTTTTATTCTCCTTTGTCCCGAAACCTCAAATAATATTAAAAATTCAATGTTAAATATTTTTTCTCCTCCGGACCGCAAGCCATGATATTATAAACATATCAATGAAAACATCAGTAAATAAAAAAAAAATAGTTAATCGGACAAAAATTACTTGAGTTTGGCTGGAATTTTAATAACGTCTGTAGAGTCGATTCCACGCATGATGTAAAAAATACTCGGACAATCATACGCGCGGCAATAATTTTTGCTCCAATGAAAATGAGTAAACAACGTCATTAATATATTTTTTTTTTTTTTTTTTTTTTTTTGATAAACGATGAAAAAATAGTACATCAACGTGCACACTGGAATTTAAAGACCAAAAGCACGAAAACTCTTTTCGCCAGACAGCCAAATTACGCGTTTCCTCTTCCGTACGCCAATCAAGAATAAAATCCTCAGCTGCCCAATTAAAAATCTCAAAAAAACACGCGATAATCCGCGCAACATAAATCTCGGAGGTGTAGACGTAACGCGAACGAGGAATGCAGGAACAATCGGCGCTTATCGCGCGCGAAAATCACCGTCAACACGCGTCTTATGAAATTCAACGGTGAAAAAAAAGACGAGCGTTAGTCCCCTTCCGCGAGACCAATACAGGTATCACGAGTGATAACACCGCGTGGTATGCATCTTTGCTGTTCCGATCCATCGCGAGCATTTGCATTATGTTGGGTATTTATTGTGATCCGGTCAAGGGCGTGATGTCATCTGTCGTGGATTTTTTTTTTTTTTTTTTCCATTGTATAGGAATGACACTGGTTTTTGTTCAATAACAGTGCAGACACTGTTCGGCGCGGGAATCATTTCTTTATTGACAGCGTTTACGTGAGCTACGAGTTTACGATTGTTAGTAGTGTCATCTCACCCGATTTTGTACCGATTTTTATTTACAGGATCTTCCCAGGCTCAAAGTTCTAGTGAAAAAAAAAAAATTCTCTGATTGCACGTTAATTTTTGTTTGTTTACCGTTGCTAAAATAGTCGATTTATAAAATGCAATCCAAGTGCGGTTTATTCAGTCTTGAGTCGCAAAAGGACATCTATATGTATAAACGACCAAAAACTAGCGCGACTGAATTTTGTTCCAAATGGGACAAGTTTCACGAAAGTTGCGCCATTAGCATACCTTGACCAGATTTTGGGTGTAAAATTCAAAACGAACAACACCAACGGGAACAATAAATTCAAGGCCCAAGGTCGTGAAGTCGAGGCCGCGCGCCGTGTCAACGTTTGTTGCAAAACTACTAATTCCGACCCTTTGGCCCGCGCGTCCACGTTTTAAAAGCCTTACAATGGGTAGCAACAAGGAGAGCGATGATTTTAGCTACACTATACCTAAGTGAGAACAAAGAAAAAAAAAAAAGGGAGGGAAGCTGCACGTACTAGTCCGATCTGGTGTTTTAGTATATCGAAAGGCGCGTGATGCGAATCCGTATGTTATACAGTTGCTCGTTCGCACTCGCGTCGTTGACCGGTAATTTAATAGCCATCGCCGATTAGGTTTGTATTTGTATAAGATTATTGTACGGGTAAGCAACAAACGTGACAATTAATCGCAATTTACCGCTTATATCAGGAAATTGGAGAGAAGAGCGCCTCTGGCAGCCGGCAAAGGAGTCACGCAACCGAACGATATGACCTGCGCAGTATATATATATCGGTAATTCAAACGGGGCAGAAAATCCGCAGGGAGAGGCTTTTATGGACACATCAGCATTTAGAATTGATCTCGAGCGTCTACCGTATAGTTGTAACATGCTAATGATGACTGACACGCGCGCAGCGTACATACTTATATATCGCGTAATTTAAAACAACAGACTTCCTACATGGTTTCGTCGAAAAAAAAAAAAAAATAAAAAAAAAGCGTGGAGATGAAAATCTAGCCCCTGCAGTACTCCGGAAAAGCCCCAAGGTTTTCCCAGCGCCGAAATCCAGTGATAATAGCCAACCTCTCGGTCGAGCGCGAAGGTGACGGCCTCTAATTGTCCAAGTTGCACATGACCGTCGCGTCGCCACACTCCTTATATTAATATACACAAGTGGGTACCTACGCTGTGTATAGAATACATGAGAGGGACAATTGTAAGTATATATACGCTTGTACGTGCGGAAACGATGAATGAACTGCCAAGTAGACCCGTTTACTCCACATCGCGTATATAACGTGTATACCGACCGCTGGGGTATAATATAGCTCTCTCGGAAGGACGTGTACAGCTCAAGTGCTATTTTCCTTCCTCTTTCCGGTTTTTTCGAGAAAGGTTTTTTCGTCCAAGGTCAAGGCGCCGCTCGTATTTACGCGGGTGTCTTGGGCGGTTCGATCAATGAAAAGCTTTGTTTATTTTCAGGAAGAAGCTCTTTAACGGTCAAACACACTTTTTTTTTTTTTTTTTTTTTTCCAACTCATCACTACCAATCAAAGCGCGATGTTTCTCGGCAGCTGAAACAGGTGGATAATCATTTCCCGTTCTCGTTAGGTAACCCGCGCTCGTTACCGATTTTTTTTCTTTTCCTTTTCGTCTCAACTCTCATTATCATTGCATAGGTTTTTTTTCCTCGAAACAATGAGGTTTCCTTTATCGGCGCGTTAGCGGTTGAGTAAACACACACAAGTGTTATCCACGAATGAAAAAAAAAGCCTCATCCAAAAATGCACAGGAAACAAAGTGTCTCTGTACTTATCCCTTACGTACAACGGCTCCACGTCTATTTTTGATAAATTGAACGATTCGAGCGAGTGCAGTATACGAGCGAGCAGCGATTACAATACATAATATACGTATATGGATCCAGGCCAGAGTTTATAAATAGGCGTACAGGGTACGATGTACGTATACGTACACCCAATAATAAAATACTCGTGTGTATAATATGTTACACGTAGGTACACGTACACGTATGTCTTTCAATCGCTATACATATCGTCTTATCAAAGTATACATAGGTAATGTCCCCCCCCCCCGTGTCGTCTAAGCTAAATGGCATATGGCACACGCTGTGGCCACGGGGTCCGTATGTGCTTCACCAAGGCCACTACTACCTATATACTGGTGGCTGTACGTAGTCTTCTTCATTGAGACACATCTCGCGTTGTAATGGGCCATTTGATGAAAATCGCCGACAGCCGTGGGTACGCATCTATATACGTATACATGTGTATATTAAAAGTGCAGTGCACGAAATTACGCGCTATTGCCTTCTATGTCGTGCGGTGCGATAAAGTATACCGTGCCGGAAGCTACTGTACACGTGATCGTGTGTCTTTATTGCGTGGCGCCAAACACGAGGGTTACTCAGCTGATCCTTTGGTGTCTTATAATATGGTGTACTTAATTGTCACTCTCTCTCTCCTACTTTCTTTCTTTCTTTGCGGATAGTTGAGCTGGTGCGTGGGTGTCACGAGTTTTCCATCGTGCGATTGGAGCCAGTCGAAGTAAGGGACGGACGCTATGGTAAATGGGGAAGGGGATGGTATTTTATTTTTTCATTCATACAGTTCAAAGAAGCGAGATGAATATTTAATTGGTGGAATTTGATGAAAAAAAAAAAAAGGTTATTGCTTGTCTTTGCGAAAAAGTGTATTTCATATGTAACGGGCGCCAAAAGGAATGAGGGCAGAACTCTACGAGGCACAATTCGCAGCCAGATAAATCCGGTGCAAAATAAATTGTTCCATTTGAAGCACACCGCATCTTTTGTCCGCATTTGAGTATAAACGGTATTATGATTAATGAGGTGGCGTCTGGCCATCAAAACGATTATCAGTATTTTTATCTTTTTATCAAAACAACGTTGGCTTTATCGGTCGCGCTTCGGGCGATTTATAATTATATTCCATTGTGACTCGTTTTGCCATTGTTTAGAAAATAATATACAATTTATCTTTGGATTTGTATACGCTATCATGAAATAATTTCCGCTACGTCTTTCGTCTACATGGAATTTTATCGACACCATTTTTGTCCGATCTTTTTTTTCCACATTAATTTCAATTTTGACCCCAAACGGTGATAAATGGTGTAATTTTTCGTTATCTTTGCTTGATTCGAATACAATTTTCCATGGTTCCAGATCATTTTCGCATTGTAGACTCGTTTGCTTTCAATTATAGCTGCCGTTCGATGCGACGGATTTTTATAAAATCTCCCCCTTCGTATCGAACTCATACATGTAAGCACATATTAAAATTCAAAAGAAACCAAAGAAGCAGACGGCAGTTACTGATGTGTTGACACACACGACCTCTTCACTGCCAATGAATGAGTCCAATTATGTGAAGCAATTGTACGTTTAATTAGCTTTTCGGGGAAAAAAAGAAAAAAAAAATTGGCGACGACGGTAATCTAAAACAGGAAAATGAGAGAACCGATGAAGATACTTATACACTCTGTAATATTCCGGTCGGCAAATTTTTTATTTTTATTTCGCGATAAAAGACCGTTCGTGCGTATTTGTTCGAGCAGTTCGGCGCCAAGTGATTGTTACATATATAGGCACGGTTATTAATGTATAACCGATAAGCGTGAAAATAAGAAGCAGCTTCTCTCCGGAGTCTGCGCCTTGGGCAAATCGCTCGTGCAATCGTATGACCAACTCTCGTTTCGAGGAAGCTTTTTTTTTTTTTCTCATTACACCCAGCACCGGCGCTAATTTCTTTTTCGCGGTGCTCGTAATCGACGGATCCTCGCAATCATACGTCTATACATGCAAATTGTTTGAGACATTTTTTAACGCCACCTTACTTACCTCGTATGCCAATGTGATGCAAATAATAAAAGTATGAGAAATACACAGAAAAAAGAGCGCTCAATCTATATTTTTCCACTCGCATGATTTCACGCTTTTAGATACAATTTGTCATTTAAGATATCGGTATTACACCGAGGAGGGCGATTTACTTTACATCGAGGTCATAGGTCATCACCCGCGACAAGTCTCTTTCTTTCTAATTTTTTTTTTTTTTTTTTTTTTTTTTTTTTTTTTTTTTTTTTCTTGCCCGATTAGAAACGTTGACGCGACCATTTGGGCAAAAATTATTGCCCGTGGACTGTGTGCCATTGTTGAAACTTGTATGTTTTGACGAGAGTGGCAAATTTGCTAAAAGAAATTGTAATGGGTAAAAATAGTTCAATAAATATCCTCCGTGACGCATGTGTCTTTTTCAGGTGGAAACATGTCCGGAGCCGAGAAACTCGACGCGATCGTGCAATCAGGTGTCGACCGGTGCTATTTTGCTGGCCGATATCCTGCCATGCGTCTTCATCAAGCTGACCGCGCCGTTTTTGCCCTTTTTCGTGCAGTAAGTACCTTTTTTTTTTTTTTACCGATTTGGCTAGCTTATATTTAAAATTTTTTTTTTTTTCTGTAGTCCCAAGCTCGTAAGCGATGCAAGACTTCTCTGAGCACGTTAACAAAGCTATCGTTGGTAATATGTTATTGAAAGATTTTTTTATAAATCGGATCGTGTAAGATGGCAATACAAAATAATTAGTATTCGTTTTTGGAAAACTAAATCTGAAAGAGACTAAAAATGTATTTTTTGACATCTTGTGACCAGAGTCTCGAAAAACTCATAATTACCTTAAACTTTTAATCAAAAGCGCATACACGTCGATGTTGATTTATCGTCTAAAAATAAACAACCGATGCAACGACGATTAATGCTTTTTAACGCGCAAAACTGAGCACATTTGATTAACTTTAGGAAGCGATAAACGTTCGCGTGCGAGCGTATGTATATATGTATACGCGACACATTAAAATAGAAGAAGCTCTTACACGTATACTTTACCAATGTTTTTCCGCTTATTCGGTATCTCGCTCAAGGGCAATGAAAAGTAAACATCGCGCGCGAGCACATCGTCACTCGCGATTAACTGTGTGGAGGCTCGTCGTTTCGGAAGTTAATCTCCCAACGCGCGTGTTTCGTTGAAAAATTGCCGGGAAAACATATTTTGCCTGCCGAAGTCACTGAAACGTCAGGAAATACCAATTCGATGGTCAATATCAATCGTGTATTGGTATACGTTTCCGCTGTTTAGCAAAATACGACGCGTGTGCCGAATAATATTTTCTCGACGCGACAAGTGTTTATCATCGGAAAATAGATGAGCTACGTATATATAATATGTCGCAATTGATATGTAACCATTGGATCGCGATGTGCGTTATTGCGACAGGGTCTGCTCTCGCATTGTGATTTTTTTTTCCGTTATTCATTGTGCATGCATTATTTTGACATGTGATTTTTTATTTTTTATTTTTTTTTTTCTCAAAGCAAAGGGAAGTCTGGTTATCGGCAATCTTATGTATGACGCGTCCAACTCTCTTGACACTTGCATCCACAAATTAATGTCCACGTGTAAGCTTTAGTGTATGCTAAGCAATTTTCACACTTCTTACAGTGAAATTATAAGTGTGAGGTATTCTTACTATTAAATATCCATTTGTAAATGTGTTTCTGTGCAGAGATATACTTTACGTAGGATAGCATTTTTTTAATAATACTAAAACCGATTTTTTTAAGTTTGTAAAAAAGAAATTACTTTTAATAACAGAGATACAAAATAAATTAAAAAAAAAAAAAAGTAAAGTATACACGAACAGCGTAAAATAAATTTGACGTTATGCCGTTACATTAAGCCGTAATGCTTTAACACTAGTATCTAGCTCTAAAGTAATGAATCTCTGTACAAATAAACGTAAGAAATCGTGGTGATATTATTTTATGGTTCTATGTAATTATCACTGCGTACGATTTTAAAAAAAGTAAAAAAAAGATATGAAAAAAAAAAAAAAAAAAAAAAAATGTTTTGGCATCAATAAACCTATTCAATTAAATAAATTTGATTTTTACATAGTGTATTATTATTATTATTATTATCCTGGTGTACATTTATATTTCACTGTAAGAAAATGAAATATAGTTGTCCTAAGCAACTCTGCGTGATACGGTTAGCCATTATAATTAAAATTCATATTGATCATTATCATGTATATGTATGTAATTATGCTTCAGAGACGCGTGGCCCGAGAGATTATAAAATATATGCAATAAATACTTAATATATACGTGTGTGTCCATGAAATTGTTTCACCAGGTCGTTAATACGACGATGATAGTATGAGCCCGGCCCGGGCCATACGTACATAAGAGACCAAGTGATGGCAATGTTCACGGAACGCGAGCACGTCTTATTAAAAATTATGTACTTTATAGGGCGATTGATTGAGTAGCGACGAGGTGATTGCGGTTGCGCATCGCGTCGCGAGGTATATACTTTCTATATACACCTTATTTTTCACCTCTACTATCAATTCTATACTTCCTACTGTACAATTTTTTTTCTTTTTTTCGCATATACCTTGACTATCTACCAATTTTCATTAGTTTTTAAAAACTTGAGAGAAAAACATTTTTTTTTTTTTTTTTTATACTTACATATTGTTTTTTAAGAGTGTTCCACCGAATTGTAATTTTTTTTTTGTTTTATAATTAGTTCATGGCATTAATTTTTATTAAATCTTGCACGTAAACGTTTTTTAAAGTTACAGCTACAAAAGAATCGCATTTTTGAAACTGCCGATTTTTTGGTACTATAATTCATAATACGCGAGAAAAAAAAGAACATTGAGTGCAATTTCAACAAAACCCCTATAGGGAACGCTCTGATCAACGTGAAAAAAAAAACAAACTACTTTTATCCATTTACCATAATGTAAAATCGATATTCTGCGCGGCTCTACGAGACTATAACGTACTTAAACACCTGTACCTATACTGTATACACACGATTAAAAAGAAAAAAAAAAAAAAAAAATACTCATAGACTGCGTACGATAAAAATACATGAAAAAAGAGTCCACTTAAGCAGGACAATATCGCTCTTTACAGCGCACGGATGGCCACGTGTGTGTTGTTCTCAGCCACTGGCTTCCTACTGGTCTCGATGAGCGACGGCCGGCTCATCATGGCCGTCGCTGGGGTCGTCATCACGTCCCTGTCCTCGGGACTCGGCGAGGTCACCCTGCTCAGCTACAGCCACCGCTTCTCCAAGTAAGCTACATTACTCCCTTCATGGTTTTTTCAATCGATACTGCGTATCCTCAATATCATTCAGCTTGGCCAGGGTTTTTTTTTTTTTTTTTTCACGAGAATGTAAAGTTGACATTTCTTTCTTTTTCCCCCTATATCGTTGCGCAGGAAAGGCGCTTATCTATATAACGATCGGTAACGCATATCCACCTCGCTCTCCAGAGCATTTAATCCCCGTCACCTAATTTGAACAATAAAAGCAAAAAACTTCATCAACGCATTAAAACGATCTCTCAACAGGAGCGTAATATCGACGTGGTCGTCGGGCACCGGTGGAGCCGGGATAATCGGCGCGCTGTCGTACACGTGGCTGCTGTACTTTCTGAGCTCGAAGGACACGCTGCTGGCGATGCTGGTAGTGCCGGCGATCCAAGCGATCACCTTTTGGCTGGTGCTCACCCACCCGGAGCCAACGATAACCCTCGTCACGGACAACGGCGGAGTCGGCAGCCAAGAGCAGATCATCGAGGCGCCCAAGATGAGCACGGCCCGGAAGATACGGCTCGTGCCGGGACTGCTCAAGTACATGATACCCCTCGGGCTGGTCTACTTGTTCGAGTACTTCATCAATCAGGGACTGGTGAGTTTTGCTATCGATCTAGGCCGATCTTCATTTTCATCGATGATACAGCGATACAGATCGCGTCAAGTGCAATTAACACGCGTGACGGTTTAAACATAAGTACCTACTACTCCGTTATCTCGTTAGAAGCCGTCAAAAAAAAAAAAAAAAAAAAAAAAAAAAAAAAAAAAAAAAAAAAAAAAAAAAAA